TAACTGGTGACCCACCTGGAAAAAAGCATCTGATGGCTTTGTTGGCTGTCCCTGGTCAAATTGCCTTATTGTATGCCTACATTGCTAATATACATGCTGAATCTGTTGGAAACTTGTATGATTATTTTGCTGAATAAATATCTCTATATACGTACTGTAATGTGAAAAAGTGTTGAACCCTTTTAAAAAAATCAGTCACCGCTCATCCAGAACTATTACCCAATGCTTTATAAGTGAGTTGCGTTAAAAATCTGCTGTCATATTTATACCCACCATTCATTCATCCCATACATTTGTATAATGGTTCTCACTAATGGGACATTCTGAACTTTATGTCCCAACTTGCTCAAGTAAGGAGTCAACTCTGTTGGGGCATCATGTTAGTAAATGAAATATCCAACATCACATGATGATTCTCTACTGCTGGCAATTACAGGATGATCTATTAACATGGACTCACAGGAAGTGATAAAGACTGAAAACGTTATTGTTAGTTTCATTTATAATATTTCTAATATTATTACTAAAGCATTTGTGTTATCCTTCTACCCAATAATGGTGAACTCTGTAGAAGAAATCTTCTGTAATTTGAAAACAGCAGCTGTCTACCTGGTACTACAGTACATGAACCACACGTACTGTAAGGCGACAGCTGCGGACTTCAATGAAGCTGTCCTCAAATTACAGAAGATGTCTTCAACAATATTCACTGTAATTGGGTACAAAGATTACATTAACACATTAGCAACAATTTCAAACAAATAATAAAAATATCCATAATCGTTTGTCTTTATTACTCCTTATCACCATCATCATTTTATGGCCATTTTCAACACTTTCTTGGATTAATTGTGATAATCCGTTGGCAATTTTCCATGCTGCGCAATCTCTCGCAGCCTCTCTCAACAGGTTCCATTTAAATGCCAACACCTTTATAATGAGTACAGTACACCATTATTCTCCAACTGCCACCACAATTCTCATATTATAACTTGCTAGTGAATCACAGTACTGTAATACCACTGTCCATCACCATTATTAAGCTGTTCACTCCTCTACCATTACTGTACTGTCACCATAACTCTTATACAGTAGATACTTTTCTTGGTACTGTAAAAGGCACAACTAGTGCACTAAACTTTGTGAATATGTTCTTTATTTCCTAACTGAACACAACAGTATTTTTAATAGGATATTTGATACATGCATAAATACCAACAAAGCATTTACGTTATATTTATACCTCACAAATCCTTATAATACAATTTGTACATTAGTTTGACATGAAAATCTAGTTCTATTTATAAATACACGTCATGTGTTGAGACCAACTTACTGGTACAGTACAAGGTTCTGCCATGGCCACATGGCTCTAACTGCAGGAATATGGTCTACTTCACACACACACAATAAAAAATGCATCCACTCACAGTGACAACAAAAATTGCTTTACTACAGTTCACAGGGGGTACTGTACTGTAGTTCAAAGTTCAAAGCAACATTTAATTCATCATTAAAGGTGGTAGTTTTTTGGTTTTTGTTTACTATTATTTAAAAAATTATTTTAGGTTTTGTCAATATTTTAATGTTCCATCAAAGTATCATAATGCAAAACCAAGACAACATTACTTGTGTTTAACTTGATGAGTATTTCATGGTTTGACTCACTCCTGTATTGTTACTCTGCAATACAAGCCTTACAAAAATAAGGTACTGAGGAATTACAAAATTCTACCTCTAAACAAACAACAGAAAATGTTGCATATCATTACTGTCTTGAATTATTGCTCATGTTTCACTTATAATTGCAAGAAACAAGCAATATGATATAAGATAGCTATTAATACTCCATAGGAGTTGGGTAGAGCAGACCCTGAACTAATAAAGTCAGGGATATGTATATACAATTACTGCTGGGAGAAAATCTTAACTTGTGCTTGTTTGTTAACTCACAAACCCCGCCTTAACCCAAAGGTTAAGTACTACCACAGTCAACGGCAACAATGTGGAGTCTTAAACAAGCCAAGCACACAAGTTGTAATTGTGCCTTAACCAATACAAACAGCAAAAAATGTTCCTAGATAAGATGAGAAAGAAAGCTTGTCCTGATGGTCAAGATCTGCCTAGCTATTACACAGTGGCTGTCTGCCCTTAGAAAAGACAGTGGTGAAGGCCCATCCTGGTAAGCACAGGAGTACAACTGTTCAAAGGGAGACAACTTGCATAAGTAAAAATATGTGGTTTAAGGCCTGCCTGTCTTGCCTATACAGTACTGTACTGTACAAGATGAAATACCTGCATTACCTAGTACACTTAAGTACTGTATCTGTCAAATGAAAAGTGTGGGAACAAGAGGCTTCTATAAAATAATTACATGAAGTAGATACTATTATAAACATGTGTCCAAGGAAAGCATGTACAGTAATAAACCATAGTACAGTACAATAATTGTCAGTTGGTTATGTAATTATTTTCTGCAAATATTTCATTATTTCTCTAACACTCTCAATGTTACTACAGTAAGTCTATAAATGTCAGCTTTCAAAGTGTCATCATTCTCCTACAATCACCATATAACTTACACTTCAAACTTACATGAAAACAAGTAAACTCATCACTCACACCACCACAGTCACCGAGTCAGTTGCCTGATTGTCCAATTTCTCTTCCTTTGCACTCATGTAAAATATAAAAATTAAATTATAATATATCTTTAAATTACAGAATTAAAAAGTTCAAATCTTTCAGAATATCTATATAGATAATTTCATAAAGTAGATTTACAGTTGACAGATACTTTACAGTAGTATTATGAGGAGCCTTCACCTGACAGTACATCATGGGTGAAAGACCTGCCGTTGCCAGCAACACAAGTACAGTATGTAAATCTGCCCTAGACGAACACAAGAACAAGGATAGACCTATTCTAAACAATTAAGAGGACAGAACACAAGAGGATGATAGTTACAGTAATAAAACACAAGAGGATGATAGTGTACAGTAATAAAACACAAGAGGATGATAGTGTACAGTAATAAAACACAAGAGGATGATAGTGTACAGTAATAAAACACGAGAGGATGATAGTGTACAGTAATAAAACACGAGAGGATGATAGTGTACAGTAATAAAACACAAGAGGATGATAGTGTACAGTAATAAAACACAAGAGGATGATAGTGTACAGTAATAAAACACAAGAGGATGATAGTGTACAGTAATAAAACACAAGAGGATGATAGTGTACAGTAATAAAACACAAGAGGATGATAGTGTACAGTAATAAAACACAAGAGGATGATAGTGTACAGTAATAAAACACAAGAGGATGATAGTGTACAGTAATAAAACACAAGAGGATGATAGTGTACAGTAATAAAACACAAGAGGATGATAGTGTACAGTAATAAAACACAAAAGGATGATAGTGTACAGTAATAAAACACAAGAGGATGATAGTGTACAGTAATAAAACACAAGAGGATGATAGTGTACAGTAATAAAACACAAGAGACTGGCGGTGTACAGTAATAAAACACAAGAGACTGGCGGTGTACACAAGAATGGTAGGCAGTGTGGTATAAACTTTACTACCTCAGTTTAATTCAACAATTTCTTGTCTACATATTATACCTGCGACTTCATTATGTTTGACAATTGTGCAGTGTAAGTAGGATATACTGAACACTACATTTCTGGTCAACAGTGTTAACTCATATAAGTGTAAGTACCTATATTGAAAACTGTACAGGTCTGGCCAACTTGTAATATTCACTCACACATGAACCACAACAATTCAAAAGGTGTATAAAGTTCCTGATTGGAGGCACTTGGCCTGAGAGGTGATAGTGAGGTAGAGGGAACAACTTTTGAGCTCAGAATTGGGAAGGTGACATACATCCTTTTTAACAAGCAAGAGGTACTGTACATCTATAATCCTTCCTTCCTGAAAGTGAGTGAGGGAAAGAAACATTGAACTAAGTGGCTTAAAATAATTTGTTTTTGTTAATGAAGTAAAAAAAAAAAATCTTAAGTATACCACATTTGAAATATTTCTAAAACCTTTTGGTTTACTTAAGCCACAATGTTATTCTACATTTATGGCCGGGACTTTGTGTGTGCCACCATCCTATACACTACAACCAAATATTTACACTATTAGCCTATCTGTGATGTTCCCCACCCACCCAGCATGATAGAGCAAAAGGTCTTTGTATATAAAATTAAAATTCCAACTTTCTGAAATTATCAGTTCTTGACAGGCATATCAAGAAGTGCATAAAAAAAAGGATAACTGAAAATCTGGATACATATGAATTTCAATAATTTGCTGAAAGTTCTGCTCCCATGCCACCAACACCAAGATGGATATGTTAGTATGCTTGTCATTTATATACAAAAAGTCCATTACCCCTGTTTGGTGGTCTATGGTTGTGATACATATATTTCTATCAGCTTATACTCAGGAAATCACACATCGTCACCCAACAGTCATACAGCATCTAGCAGGATCCAAACGTCCCAAATGGAAATGTGTGAAGCTGACTTAAAACAAGACAACTGTAATCATAACTAAATTCCTCAACAAAGGTAAAACAAGTGATAACTTACACATGAATAGGGTATTGGTACAACAACTCTGGATGACATGAATACTCACAAGGCACTACTGCTTCAATTCTATTCTGAAACAGAAACTAACAAAGCCAGAGAAAAACACACACTTTCTTTCCCTGTAAGTGATGTACAGTATGTCACGGTGTCTCCACTTCCTCCCTCTTACCCTACAAAGTGTGTGTGGTTTAGGCTTACCCATATTACACATCTTTTTCTTGTAAATAAATTAGTGCCTTGTAATGATAAGAGGAATCTGTTTCCACCTGGGCTACAAACGACAGTACCGTAGTCCAATAATAATCCTTCATATGATTTACCAGTACTGTCTAGAATAAATTATTTATGCCAAGGAGATTTAATAATCCACAGTGGATTGTTGGAGTGGGATTTTGTGTATACAATACTAGTGGAGTGTCGGACTTCTAGGAAACTACCACCCAACAACAGGTGGTAGTCATGAGTCACTCAACAGTACAGGTGGTAGTCATGAGTCACTACAGTACAGGTGGTAGTCATGAGTCACTACAGTACAGGTGGTAGTCATGAGTCACTCTACAGACAGGTGGTAGTCATGAGTCACCCTACAGTACAGGTGGTAGTCATGAGTCACCCTACAGTACAGGTGGTAGTCATGAGTCACTCTACAGTACAGGTGGTAGTCATGAGTCACTCTACAGTACAGGTGGTAGTCATGAGTCACTCTACAGTACAGGTGGTAGTCAAGAGAGTCAATTGTTTGACAAATCTACTACAGTGGTACACATTTGATACTAAGATACAGTGACATCCCAGTTAGCTGGAACAGTTGGTGCAGAGTTGTCCTTGGGATGAGAGATTTCCGTGTAACGAGACGACTCCTTCAAACCCGGAAAATCCCATATCCCGGAGTCTTTTCGAGTACAGTATTGTCTGGATTTATGCGGTTTTTGTTTACGCGTTTGGTCATTTACGCAGTGCCTTGCCAGAATGAAATGTTTTAATTAAGTGGTAAATTTCATCATATACGCGGCAAGCGGCTGGAGAGGTCCAGACCGCCGTGCCATTTTTAACCCATGTGGTCCATTCTTGACCATACGCGGGAAGCAGCGCGGTGAGTGGTGCGCATTAGGCCCCTCTTACGTTATCGCTGACATCATATGACGTATCGGACTGTGATTGGGCCACGCATTCTTACCACCCACGCATTCCTTCCGCCGCTAGCTGTGATTGGTCTAATGTAACATGACGTGCCCTGCCACCAGAGGGTAGAAGTCGCTGACCTAGCCGGGCCAGTCTCATTGTTCTCAGTCCGCGTATACAGTTCTCTCTTGTGCCCGCTATTCCCCTCACAATGGTTTCCGCTGGACCCCCACCACCCGAGAAAAACCTTGAATTACCTGGACCAAGCCATGATTATGTGAAGGAAATCATCGAGTTCGGGGAGAAAATTAAGCTCATTCTTGACAACGACCCAGACGAGCATCGGTATGAAGTGTCTAATAACCATCTGACGAAGATTATGGAGCCATATATCCAGATCTATCTTGACAACAACAATGGTAGTCGTCAACGTAGTATTAAGGACTTCTTCGCCCGCAACCAACCACAGCCAGCCCAAATCAGTGATAGTGATAGTGACAGTGAGGATATGGACTTTGAGGGGTTTGTCTGGAAGGCCCTGCAAACCTCTGCGAGTAGTGAAAGTGATTCACCGGAGGGCAACTAATCTGCCCTCTGCCTCGGAACCAGCCGCCATCCACGTAAGTCTACTAATATAAGTGTTAAAAAATCTAATATTATTGATATTTCTCTTAAATATTAATTGTGTGTCCATACCATCATAAAATTAAGATGTTATTTTTACTACAACGTTCGTATTGTGTCGGAAAAAGTGGAGTTTGGGGGTCGGCCCAGTCTCTTATTTCAATTTATCCCATATGTTGTTATTTCGTTTAAGCGTTTCTCGTTTTACGCGAACCTCCACGGGTTCAATTGAACGCGTAAATGCAGACTACGTATACTGTACTGTTCTGGGAAAGTTCCCAAGAGTCTAAACTGCGCATCTCACACAGACAGACACTATCACACATCCCCAGAATGTTTCTGAGTGCTGGGGAAAGTTTTCCCAGTCTGAACTACACATCTCATCTCGACTCTAAACTAAGAATCCCATCTCGCACGGACAAACACTCTCCCATTACATTTAGATTGCGGGCATGAGCGAACATGTTTACGGTTAGCAAAAAAGTTTATGTATAAACTTTTATTCACAACATCTGTTCTAATTGTGTTTGAGAGATGAATTTGATACAGTAAAACGTTGATTTAAAGCGATTCAATTTAAGATTATTGATTTAAAGCGACACCCACAATTAAGGACAATGTTTTAGTCTTTCCTATTTTGCGCAAGTCAATCTGGGGCATCATATTTTAAAATTCGCACCTAATGTTTCTCTGGGCACGCTACACTGTCCTAAGGGCAAAGATGCACTGTACATGTACTCAAAATAATGTACTAAATGATTACCAAAATTTTTGTCTAGTGCAAACTATAGCATGATTTTATTCAAATTAATCAATATCTTATAAGAATCCCAGCAATATAAATTATATTCTCCCTGGTCACTTCTGTGACATTTTATAAACAAAAAACAAAAACTCAATCTAAAGGACATAAATAAACAAATAAATACTTCACTAGACCTTTGGCCCCAACTGTCAAATGTGTCACTGTCACCCCCCCCATCTTCCCAGCCAGGGTTGGGTGGTTATAGGCTTACAGTTTTTATATTATATAATATCACAGACTAAAGTTAAGAGAATATAATTTGCATTGCTAGAATCCTTGCAAGACAGTGAATAATTTGAATATAAACGTCAAATATTTGGCACGCGATAAAATTTTTAGCCCTTTGTAATAAAATTAGTAATTAGAACATGTCAGTTCAGTGACATTTTTAAGAGAAAAACTTAAAGTCACTCTTAAGGACAGATAAATAAATAAACACTAGACCTTGGCATCAACTGTCAAAAATATCACCTCACTTCACCTCTCCCCCCCCCCCATCTTCCATCAGCTGATCGCTAGTAAACAGGCCATTTCACATCACATAATTTTAGCTATGTTGATTTATGAATGTTTGTTTTAACATACCGGTAATACTACGAAAAACAATGTATTGTCATCTGGGTATGCTCTCAGTCTTTTTAGTACTGTATTTTGTAACTCTCAAGGACCAAACTAATTTATTCCATTGAAACAACACCTCGATTTCGTGTGAATTCGGTTTAAGGCGACCTCTCTTGGAACATATCTTGTGTTATATCGACGTTCTACTATACCATAATGATCCTGAATAAATTCTCTACAAGACGGTTCCAATAATAAATCCTTAAACAAAATATTTTAACACAACAGGGTGTCCATAAAGTCTTGGTGTAGTTTAAAATATTAATAACTTAGGTTCTTTAGGAGATCAAAACAATCTGTAAAATGCATTGGAGAGGTAATTTATTCAAGGTTTTTTATGACCAAAGAAATTTATTTATTCCAATAATTTTTTCTGTTTTTCCAAATAGTCTGTTCCATCACTATACTGAATGTCTTCAATAGAAGAGAAGGTGAATTGTGTCCTCTGGTAAGCTGAGTTAAAGTCTGTAACAGCAGTTAGGAGAAAATTTACAACTCGTTACAAGAAGGAAGCACCGCACAGAAATTCATTTACAAGATGGATGAAGAAGTTTAAAGAGACTGGTTCCGTTAATGACAAGCCACAAACTGGAAGACCGGGAGTAAATGAGGAGACTGTGGCATCTGTCGAGCATGCTTTTCTAAATAGTCTACGAAAATGAGTTGTAAATTTTCTTCTAACTGCTGTTACAGACTTTAACTCAGCTAACCAGAGAACACAATTCACCTTCTCTTCTATTGAAGACATTCAGTATAGTGATGGGACACTCTATCTGGAAAAACAGAAAAAAAAAAAAATAGAATAAATAAATTTCTTAGGTCATATAAAACCTTGAATATATTACCTCTCCAATGCATTTTACAGATTGTTTTGATCTTCTATAGAACCTAAGTTATTAATATTTTAAACTACATCAGGACTTTATGGACACCCTGTTGCAATTATGAGGATTCCACTATGCGCTGGGGAAATTTTTCTCAAGAGTCTAAACTATGCATCTTGCACAGACAGACACAAGAGCTATATTTATTTATGCAAACACCTCTGTACACGTACTAAATATTGTAAATATTCACCAGCAGATGCTGTTGTCTTGAGCCTACAGTAGGCATATACAGTACTCTGCTGAATATAATACAAAACTGTAATAACTTTTAATTTTTTTACACTTGTGTTGGAGGAAGGGTAGGGGATTAGTGGGTCTCATGTTACTGACCTGACCTGATGCAATGTCACGTTCACCTATTGTATACAGTATAAACTCTTCTCTCATTTACAATGGAGGTGGGGTGAGGGATTAGTAGTCGCATATAACTGACCTTCTGATGCAATGTCAGGTCACTCACTGACTGGGTGGGGGATTTATGGGTCTCATGACCTGAAGATGTCTTGAATAATGATGAAAACTAAGGGACTCCTGTGTTGCCCACTTACTGAATGTACAGTACAGTTTATGTATTTGTAATAATTTTTTATGTCTTAACACTGCTTTAACACTATTCTTGGCTGATTGTATCCTGAAACAGTAATGTACAATACTGCATGACAAATTATATTTGCAAAAACAGCAACTAGCAAGGAAACAACCTTCTATAATGGCAGCAGAATATGAACTAAGTGATCAAAGCAGCCAGGCCACCCATGTGCCTGGCACATGGGGATACATTGTAGCAAGATGCAATCTCTCAGAACTCCCCCAAAATTTATTTACAGGCCCAGAACGGAGAGGTTTGGAGAACTATTCTTCGAATCTCTTCGAATTTTTTTGAGAAAATGCGGCTGATTTTCATCCATGGAAACTCATTCACATCCGGAATGGAGAGAATTTTCCTGGAATTTTTCCACCCCGATTTCCATTCCAGCTATTGGAGAGTTCCGGGGATCGGAGATTCCAGCTAACGGGGAGATTACTGTACTTATAATCTAGGGGTTTACTAAGTACACACACACAAGACTACACATCACACCATAGTCGAATGCACCTGTTGTAGTAGTTAAGAGAATGAATGATAGTGAATGAACCATGTCTCCATTGATATTGTTCACTTTGAATCATAACATAAAATGAAGCAAGGACCACAACTTCCACACAAACACATAATAATAGAGGGTAACAATAGTAATAATACCTGTAACAATAAATAACTCAAATATTTATGCTCCCAAAACAACAAGAAAAACCTACTTAATAAAATTAAATAAAAAAGGATTAAAAATAAAAGTATCAATCACACTACAGTACATGACTTATGCTCTCAATATTCCAATACTGTACAAACTTATTTAATAAAAAATAAATAAATAAATACATAAATAAAATACGATATTAATAAATGTATTAAAACTAAAGTACAGTATACACAGTATAACTTTTTCAGCCAGGAAAGATAACACTAATAATACCAAATCATAACTGATGATTTTTTTTCTTAAAAAAAAAGTTAAAACTTCAGCATAATTACTGTACTAAGACTGGTCAATAAATGTAACAAAGAACAGACCAACCACCCATCATGGCTAGTAAGGTGATAAGCGGTGAAATAATAAAATATGAGTCCTATTGAGATTCCAAGTTTACATCTTTAATTTGACTTGATGTACAGGGGCATAGGAATATCAAACAAAAGGGGGGTTTTGGGGGTACACTTTATGCCCCCCCCCCCCATTATTTTTAAATCTGACCAATATCTTGGGCATTTTGAGGCTATTTGGAGCACTTGATATTACAAGACATTCTTATGTAAATATTAATTATTTTTTTACTATACAAAAATGCCTGAGTACAATACTGCATTAAAGAAAAGGTATTGGAATTTTCTGAAGAAAAGGACCCCCTGGATCCGCCCCTGATGTGTATAAAGAAACTATCGGTAAATGCCTAAATATAAGTGTCCAGTTAATTTTGAACCATGAACTTTAACATGTTCAGTACAGTAGATTCCCATTACTTTATGCTATGCTTTCAATATATTGTGGCACCCAAAATAACTCCCATTTTTATTTATTAGGTGGTCAAACCCCTGTATGTTGCAGTATAAGCCAACAGATATTAAATACAGCACAGTACAGGGCCCAGTTTCACTAATAACTTACAATCACCCTAAGTCCCTATGTTCAACCTTAAGGCTGAATGGATGATTTACTAACAGTTTATGGTGACCATAACCCAACTTATTGTACAGTAAAAGTTACGTTGTCCATAGAACACCCGTAAGCTTTCACAAACAGTCTCAAGACACACAGAGCTGCCAGACATACAGTACTTCAAGCGTCACTAGTGAGAGTGAAGCTGTGAAGTTGTACGGTAACTAATGATTGCTTTAGCTCACGACAGTGCAATCCAGGAGAAAGGGTATTTATGGATCCTCTGGACCCTCCACAAATTGATGACCACCTACTGCTACGAAGGGATATACTCTGGGTAGATACGTCTGTGTTAATAGCTTTGAGATTTTTTGCAGTGGTAGTTTCCAGAGTGTAGTTGATGACGTTACTAGCTTAACACATTCAACTGTGTAAAGAATGATCAAGTGCATTTGCTCAAAAATAATAGTACTATAATAATAATAATCATATTATTAGTATTTTTAATAATATTATTGCAGTACATATTATTAATAATAATAATGTTACAGTATTAATATTATTATCATTATGTATTACTATTAAAAAAAATCTTATCTGAGAAATTCAGCTGCCTTTTCTTTTAAACTATTGTCCCTCCATTACTCATATGACGTGTGACTTTAAGTGTCGTCTGCTTCACAGTGTTTGATCCGGGCACAGTGATTAGCCTAGCGAGGAATCAAAACAAATGCACCCCAACTCCATCTAGTGGTTGCTTACTGAACTAAACTTACTTGCGGTCACCGTACAAACCTTTAATGAATTACCTACAGTAAACTCTCGAAGATCCGGACTAAAAGGGGGGACCACCTGTTCAAAAAAGCCGATTGTCCAAATCTTCTGGCAAATATTCTAAACGTATAAAAACGATAAATAATGATATTAAAAACACCAAAAATACAGTACATAATATCCTGACCACTGGGGTTAGCAATGCAGATTTTTCCCGTGAAAAAGTCATAATTTTGAGCAACATATTACTGTACTCACTTTGTAGTGATATATACTATGCTAAAGGACTAAAATCTTTATCCTTTGTGCAAACTATGCGATGTTTATAATGTACTCAAATTAATCGCTATCTTGCAAGAATTCCAGCACATTTGAGTACAGGTTTGCCCTTAGGACAATTATTTCTTTTACTTTTTTCACGATATGTATTTGGATGGTGTGTGCATGTAAATGAGTATAAATAAATAAAGAAAATTATGTATATCTACCCAAAACTACGAGTTGAAAAACAACCGTTAACACCTCACAGCTTGGCCCAATAGCCTGGTGGTTGCCGTGATGAGTCTAACCTGGCTATAATGCCATGATTACTAACTATTGAGCATTATTATGTCAGTAAACACTAACAATAACAGTAAATCCAATGAAATATGGCAGAGAGGGAGGAGAGTTCAGTGCAGACGACGCTGAACTAGCAGTCACTCGGCCCACTCCCCTTACCCGCACCCTTTGCCCGACGTATGATCGAAACACATATGTGAGAAGTACATATCTTGTACAGGGGGTCCCCCCCAGTTACAAACGGGTTCCGTTCCTGAGGACGTTCATAAATCAGATTTTTAAGTAAGTTGGAACACATGCTAAATGCATACCATAAATACAAAACAATGCTTAAAATACCACTATAAAAAAGCCCAAGTCCTTCGATACATCGAAAATCACTTAATTTAAGACAAAAGAAGAAATAGAATGACAAAATACAGAAAATGAAAGTAAAAATATAAGTCATCAAGTAAATAAAATACTGTAAATTTCAAGTTTAACCCTGTTTGTAAGTCAGGGACCTCCTGTAGTCTAATTTGAAAATGGTGATGGGCACAGTGATAAACAAATTCTATAAACCAGTGCATTCACCTACGATAACAAAATAAGAAACATTGTATAATTACTAGAGTGAATGAAATATTCCCACAAACAACAATTGACAACTGTTTATGTTTCCCACTTCCCCGGGCACCTGTGTCCCGGCCGGTCAACCTAGCATCCTCGGGCCTGAACTGTTCTTTGCTCTGTTTTGGGAATGCTTCTTCGCCCAGAACCCCCCAATTTTTTGGTCCAAATCTTCCAAAATCTGGATCTTCGAGGGTTCACTGTACAGGACTGTATTACTGAGATTGCATGGTCACCATAACCTCAAGATAAAGGGAGAGATACGATCAATTATACGGTCATGTTTGTGAATCTGGACCCTGTACTGTTAAAAAAATTCACATGTGTTAGGGAGATGTGGGTTGGGTAACTTGTTGGAATTTCACTAACCTGCCATGTTAATATTATCTTAACACTTCATACTGACACATATACAGTATCTTAACACTTCATACTGACACATATACTGTACCTTAACACTTCATACTGACACATATACAGTATCTTAACACTTCATACTGACACATATACTGTACCTTAACACTTCATACTGACACATATACAGTATCTTAACACTTCATACTGACACATATACAGTATCTTAACACTTCATATTGACACATATACATTACAGAGCTGTACACACAAGGTATTCCTGTGTACACATAAGTGTTCTTATGTACACATCAAGTGTTCATACATACACATCAAGTGTTCTTACATACACATCAAGTGTTCTTACATACACATTAAGTGTTTTTCCATACACAGCAAGTGTTCCTGCATATGCACAAGCTCATTAACTCCTCATACTAATAAGATGGTGAGAAGATACATCCTGGTTAACTCTCTCACATTAACAACAATGATGCAAAGTGACAAAGTTAAGGTTGACATGCTCTCTTGATAAGGTGATGGGCAGCAATGATAATATTGTTTAAGTGTTGGTTTTCATGTTTTCATCAAGTGTGTAATAAATGTTGGGCAGCATTAAGTAACTTGATGATGATGATGATGATGGTGCAGACTGAAAATAACTGTTGTCAGCACCATAATAGTAAAATAAAAAGTTTATAGTGTAGTACAGTATGTGTATCATCTGACATGATGAAAACAGCAGCAGCAGCTACTGTAATATTTGACACAGTAACACACAAACACAAAGTAAAATGTATTTGGATAAACTTGAAGAGTTGGAGGGTAATAAACCAACCCATATAAATTACAATAATTAATTTAAAAAGTTTTTCACATAAACCACAACTATTTCTGTAGCATATTAACATATTTCATCTAAAATTTAGCATTCACAGAATGTTAATAATAATAATAAAAGTAATAAAAAATGTATATTTTGTGGGTGGTCCAGAAACCTTTCCTGAGTGAGAAACATCACATTGGTCGTGTCTCTTGTGTTCACTTCAATGTATTGTATCTCTTGTGTTATCTTAATGTATTCTCTTATGTTCCATCTTAAAGTATTCTCTTGTGTTTGTGTTCATCTTAATTATTCTTTTGTGTTCATCTCAAAGCTCACCATCACATAGAAAACTTAAAAAATGCTATTTAGTAAAGCTTTTGATAATGATGTAAATGGCCAAAGATCACTACATTGGGGGTAAAGAGATAAGACAGGCAGCAGAAAGAAGGATGCACAAGCTAACGTATGAGGCAGGCAACACACAGTCTGGCAGGCCCGATACAGTCATGGTGACAGAACGCACCACACTTGATGCATATGATCATGGCTTTCATGTTACAGGGGCAACCATCTTCACTAGTGTCACTCTTGCCCTGAGGTAGCATCATGTGCACTCCCTGGTTCATGGGCGTCATCACTGTCGCCATGCCGTTTAGGCTCCCACCCGGGCCTATCTGGTGCATGTTATTCATGGGTTGCATATTGTTCATCGACTGCATGTTGTTAACGTGTTGTATGTTGTTCATCATCATGCGCATATTGGGTCTCATGGGCATGTTGGGGTGTTGTGAGAGTGGTGGTTGAGGGGTTGGTTGCTGGTGCTGGTATGGCTGTGACTGAGACGTCATGATGGGACCGCTGACTGGCATCTGTGAGGGATTTACTGCACTGGAGCTCGTTGACATCACCACGCCATGACCAAAACCACCCATGCCATTCATTGTGCGTTGTACTGATGTGTTGATGACAGGCGGGTGGTAGCCACTCTGGGTACTGTTAGGGCTATCCAATGAGCTTTCTATTGGTTGAGATGCCCCAGCCCGTGTCGTGACAAGTTGGTCACTGTCACAGCTACTTACACCTGAACTGGGGTCACCTTCGGATAAAAAATGTTGTCCGGCTGACGTGAGAATAGTGGCAGGTGAGCCCTGAGCATTGGTGGTCTGCACCACAATCCTGGGGCCAACACTGGAGGGTCGTGGAGAGAGAGCAACCATCACCCCACTCTTATTGGGTGGTGCACTGGCTGCTCTGGGAGGGTTTTGCTGCTGGTTGTTCTCACCACAGTCACCATTAATACTCGCTATATTGCCCAGCCTTACCACCTGCAGGCCTGACATTGGCATCCTCACAACAATGGATTTACCTGCAGAAGATGGACGCAGGATGGTGATAGGTCTCGGTGAGGCAGCCGGAGGAGCCATGCTCCCATCACATCCCTCTGGCTGTAATCATAAATTAAAAAGTAAATACATACTCCATTTTCTATACTATCATATATACATCACATAAAGAAATTTAATATAGCACATTAATATTCAATACAGTATAAAATACTAAAAAGCTGATCAAATATGCTTGGGTTCATCTCTGTTGTCATGTTGGGTGATGTATTAAGGTAAGATGGTTATAATACCTTCCACACTTTCACCAACATTCATACACTTCCCTTTCTCACACACACCCCCCTCTACACACACACACACCTCCCCTCTCTCTCTCACACACTCCCTCTCTCACACCCTCCCTCCACACACTCCCCTCTCTCACACACACACCTCCTCACACACCCTCCCTCTCACACCCCCTCACACACACACCCCTCCCTCTCCTCACATGCCACCCTCCCCCCACCCCCTCTCTCACACACACCTCCCCCTCTCACACACTCCTCCCTCCCCTCACACTAACACCCCTCCCTCTCCCCCTCACACACACCCTCCCCTACCACACCCCCTCTCTCTCACACACACCCCTCCCCCCTCCCCACACTCCCTCACAGACTCCTCCCTCTCACACACCCCCTGCCAGACCTCCCCTCACACACCCTCAGCCACAGACTCCCCCCTCACACACCCCCAGACCTCCCCCTCACACCCCCTGCCTTCCCTGCCACACAGCATCCTCCCTCCCCACACCCCCGCCTCACACACACACCCTCCTCCTCTCCACACACCCTCCCTCCCTCCTCATACACCTCTCTCACACAGACTCCTCCCTCTCACACACTCCCTCACACACACCCCTCCCTCTCACACACCCCCTCACACAGACTCCTCCCCCTCACACACCTCTCACACAGACTCCTCCCCCTCCTTCACACACTCCCCCCTCTCACAGACTCTCTTTTCTCCCTACCACTCTCAAACTCTCCCCCTCCATCACTACCAGACACACACACACCCTCCTCATAAACTTGCTCTTTTTTCACAACCTCTTCAAAAGTTAATTTCCTCAATTCAAATACAGTACACCATATTTTCATCACCTTTACCCAACTCCCAATTTTGTTAAGATGAGGGAAAAAACTCGACGATGGAGGGAATTAAGGAGGAGAAAGATGCAAGACAAACATAGAAAACAAAATATTGAAGCATGTAGAAATACTCCACCTAACCCAACCAAAAGTAATGTAATGTAACCCACCCTAACCTAGCTCAACTCAGCCCAACCTAACCTGACCTAACTTAACCCAACCTAACCTAACCCTTAATCCAGCCTAACTCAACCCAACTCAAATATCCTAAATCATCTTAACCCAACTCAACTTCAAGTAAGCTTAATGCAACCGAATAAAACCTATTCCAGCCTAAATCAATTCAACTTTACCCAAACCAACCTAACCTGACACACTCATTAATATCTACAACATACACATTCAGTGTCATTTATTAACTTCCACATTAACTCACATTTTCATATAGTTCTCACTTCACACTAAGTTAAGGCACCAGGTTCACTTCACACTCAGTTAAGGTTATCCAAAAGATTAATTATTAAAAACATTCATACAGTTACACTCATTTCACTTCTCTTCTCTTACACAAGATAAAAATAAATCTTCCCTGAAAAAATCTAAGTAACTGACAACCATCCACATGTAAAGTATTCTTCAAATCATTACTTTCTAAGATGGGGACCAATTACGACTGGGTTTACTTGACTAAAAGCTGTACGGTGTAAAGTTTATATAAAATTATATAGAACTTATAGTGTACTATGTAAAGTTTATAACACACTGGACATTAAACACTTACTCACAACACCATACTGTACCATTTTCTTAGATACAGTGTCTCAGGAAATTGTATACAAACTGCCTTACAGATTTTTGTAGATCCTGTTAATGCCTGTATTATAAGAGCAACATTGTCCTCATTTGTTGATGTGTGAGGTCCTCCATAAAGGAGAACAATGTTGCCGTTGTAATACAAGCATTCACGCGATCTCCAATTTTTTTTGTAAGGTAGCAGGGATACATTTTTCTGAGAAACCCTGTAGGTACATCTTCCTCTGAAACCTCTAATAATATCCCACACTTCAAAAACATATGCTAATTATTCATATAGTTTATCCACTTCTATTGTTAATGTTTCAATTCAAGATGCTTTTCTACTTACCACTACAATTAACTTTTAGTGTCATAACATCAGACAACAATGTTACTATGTCTTGACATCAAACTATTTACACTGTGACAAGAGCCATGACAACATCAAGCATTTAACAGTATTACAGACCCATGGCAACATCAAGCAGTTAACAGTGTTACAGTGACATGACAACATCAAACTGTTAACAGTGTTACAAAGCCATTACAACAACAAGCTTTTAACAGTGTCATAGAGCCATGACAACACCAAGCTGTTTACAGTGTTATAGAGCCAAGACAACATTAAGCTGTAACAGTAACAGTGTTACAGAGCCATAACAAATCTAAGCTTTTTATTGTGTCACAGAGCCATGACAACACTAAGCTGTAACAGTGTTAAAGAGCCATGACAACAATAAGCTGTTTACAGTGTCATGAAAACACCAAGCTGTTTACACTACAGTGTCATGACAAGACTAAACTGTTTACAGTTAGTGTCATGCCAATGTAAGGTTATCTATACTACAATTCAAACAACATTTATGACTCCTGTTTATCCTTATAACAAAGAAACATAGAAAACAACTTGGGAAACAAAGACATTTACAGGTAAATGAAAAAAAGTGCCAGAAAACACTTAAAACAGACGTTAAACATGTACTATCACATGAATGTTGTGATAGGCAGCAAGTCTCCAAGGCATAATAGATGACATGCTATTGTAGATGTCATGTAATAGTCAACAAATAGTGAGGGTTTCTTGCTATTGGAAACAACTAGCCCCATGACTATCTGGACACAAAGTTGAAAGACGACCATCAAGGGAACAGTTCAACAAATTTTCAGTAAAATTACAGATGCAGATGCAGTTAGTGCCAAGATTGAGAGGTTTAAAAGTTCTGTCCATATTAAGGCAGGACTGCCATCTTGGATGGAGTACACTAACTTCAAATACCAATTAAAAACAAGACCAATGGAAAATTATTCTGGGTAATTTCACAAAATCTAAACAGTGGTCATCATTAGTGGAAGCCGTGGGGATGGCAGCCATCATGTGAACATGTCATGTTGCTTGTGTTCCATATTTGCACTGATGATGGCCACTGTCCCTACAGTTAACTTCACTGATGATGGCCAGTCCTCAGCAGTTAACTTCACTGATGATGGCCATCGTCCCTACAGTTAACTTCACTGATGATGGCCACTGTCCCTACAGTTAACTTCACTGATGATGGCCACTGTCCTCACAGTTAACTTCTTCACTGATGATGGCCACTGTCCCTACAGTTAACTCTCTACTGATGATGGCCACTGTCCCTACAGTTAATTTAACTGATGATGGCCACTGTCCCTACAGTTAATCTCACTGATGATAGTAATACTGTCCCTACAGTTAATCCTTTCATCACGATGGCCACTATCCTCACAGTTAACTTCACTGATGATGGCCACTGTCCCCAAGAAGTTAACTTCACTGATGATGGCCACCATCCTCCAGTTAACTTCACTGATGATGGCCACTGTCCTTACAGTTAACTTCACTCGATGATGGCCACCATCCTCCATAGAAGTTAACTCTCACTGGATGAGTGTCACTGTCCCTACAGTTAACTTCACTGATGATGGCCACCATCCCTCCAGTTAACTCTTCTTCACTGATGATGGTCACTGTCCCTACAGTTAACTTCATCGATGATGGCCAGTCCCTTTACAGTTAACTTCACTGATGATGGCCACTGTCCCTACAGTTAACTTCACTGATGATGGCCACTGTCCTTATACAGTTAACTTCACTGATGATGGCCACCATCCCTCCCAGTTAACTTTCACTGATGATGGCTGCTCGTCCTTACAGTTAACTTCACTGATGATGGCTGCTCTCATCCCTCTCCAGTTAACTTCACTGATGGCGGTCACCGTCCCCAGTTAACTTCACTGATGATGGTCACTGTCCCACAGTTAACTCTTCACCGATGATGCACACTGGTCCCTGCCACAGTTAACTCTTCACTCGATGATGGCCATCCCTCCAGTTAACTTCACTGATGATGGCCACCATCCCTCCAGTTAACTTCACTGATGATGGCCACCATCCCTCCAGTTAACTTCACTGATGATGGCCACTGTCCCTACAGTTAACTTTCACTGATGATGGCCACTGTCCCCAGTTACCCTCACTCGATGATGCAATACTGTCCTCACAGTTAACTTCATTGATGATGGCCATCATCCCTCCAGTTACGGTCTCTCACCGATGATGGCCACCATCCCTCCAGTTAACTTTCACTCGATGATGGCCATCATCCTCCTGCTAACTTCTTCACTGATGATGGCCATCGTCCTTGCCAGTTAACTTCACTGATGATGCACATCATCCCTACAGTTAACTTCACCGATGATGCATTACCGTCCCACAGCTACACTTATCGGATGATGGCCACCATCCCTCCAGTTAACTTCACTGGAGATGGCCACTGTCCTTACAGTTAACTTCACTGATGATGGCCACTGTCCCTACAGTTAACTTCTACCGATGATGGCCACCATCCTCCAGTTAACTTCTCACTGATGATGGCCACCATCCCTCCAGTTAACTTCACTGATGATGGTCACTGTCCCTACAGTTAACTTTACTGATGATGGCCACTGTCCCTACAGTTAACTTCTTCACTGATGATGGTCACTGTCCCTACAGTTAACTCTTCACTGATGATGGCCACCGTCCCTACAGTTAACTTCACTGATGATGGCCACTGTCCTCGGGTTGTTAACTTCACTTGATGATGCATACCATCCCTCCAGTAACTTCACTCGATGATGCATTACTGTCCCACAGTTAACTTCACTGATGATGGCCACCATCCTCCAGAAGTTAACTTCTACTCGATGATGGTCACTGGTTCCTTACAGTTAACTTCTCATTCGATGATGGCCACCATCCCTCCAGTTAACTTCACTGATGATGGCCACCATCCCCTCCAGTTAACTTCACTGATGATGGCAGTCATCATCCCTTGTTAACTTCACTGATGATGCACACCATCCCTCCAGAAGTTAACTCTTACTCGATGATGGTCACTGTCCCTACAGTTAACTCATGATGGTCCCTGTCCCTACAGTTAACCTCCTTGTGATGGCCACTGTCCCTACAGTCAACACTCCCACTGATGATGGCCACTGTCCTACAGTTAACCTCCACTGATGTGGCCACTGTCCCTACTTAACCTTCTACTGATGATGGCCACTGTCCCTACAGTTAACTTCTACTGATGATGACCACTGTCCCTACAGCTAACTTCTACTGATGATGACCACCGTCCCTACAGTTAACTTCTACTGATGATGGCCACCGTCCCTACAGTTAACTTCTACTGATGATGACCACCGTCCCTACAGTTAACTTCTACTGATGATGGCCACCATCCCTACAGTTAACTTCTACTGATGATGACCACCGTCCCTACAGTTAACTTCTACTGATGATGACCAACGTCCCTACAGTTAACTTCTACTGATGATGACCACCATCCCTACAGTTAACTTCTACTGATGATGACCACCGTCCCTACAGTTAACTTCTACTGATGATGACCACTGTCCCTACAGTTAACTTCATGCCTCGATGATGGCCACCATCCTCCAGTTAACTTCATAATTGGACTGATGATGGCCACCATCCCTCCAGTTATCTTCACTGATGATGGCCACTGTCCTTACAGTTAACTTCACTGATGATGGCCACCATCCCTCCAGTTAACTTCACTGATGATGGCCACTGTCCTTACAGTTAACTTCACTGATGATGGCCACCATCCCTCCAGTTAACTTCACTGATGATGGCCACCATCCCTCCAGTTAACTTCACTGATGATGGCCACTGTCCTTACAGTTAACTTCCACTGATGGCCACCGTCCCTACAGTTAACTTCCTCTGATGATGGCCACCGTCCCTACAGTTAACTTCCACTGATGATGGCCACCGTCCCTACAGTTAACTTCCACTGATGGCCACTGTTCCCTACAGCTAACTTCCACTGATGGCCACTGTCCCTACAGTTAACTTCCTCTGATGATGGCTACTATCACTACAGCTAACTTCCACTGATGTTGGCCACCATTTAAAAGTTAAGAAGAGAAAATCTGTGAACCATGTAGAGTTAACCAGAGCAACAATTCAGCCAGATGAACTGATGAGCCAACAACACAATATCACATCTAAATAATTACCACTACAATACAGTACAGATATGGTAAACAAACAAAGTGGAGAGCTTCCACTATCCACCCACATGAACCACTTATACAATTGTTACTAATGAATGACAATTATTAATATTATTGTATTGTAATGTAAACTTAGAAAATAGTTTTATCTTTGAAATTTAGTATTACAGTTGTTCGTTCAGGATGTTATAATGACTCTACTGACCATTAATATTGCATTGTTGTTTGTGTTAATATTACAGTGCATTGTGTTAGTTGTTTGTGTTAATATACAGTATTGCAATACAGTATACAGTACTGTACAGTATATTGCCTGGTAATAATATAGTCTACACAATGTTAGTTGCTTGTATTAACATTATATTGTGCCGTTTGTTTGTGTTAACATAACATTGTGAAGTTTATTGTGTGGTAGTATTATAGTTTACACTGTGTTAGGTGTTTGTGTTCATGTTACATTGTGCAATATATAGTCTGTTTGTACTACAGTCTACAGTGTGTTGGTTGTTTGTGTTATATGATGTAATGTATTGGTCCTGTTATGCTCTTGTGTTCATATTGTTTTATGTGTTGTGTATCATGACTCTCCACTAAGCTGTGCTGTATGTATATTGTTCCTATTTACAGGAAGATTGGAAGGTTGGAGGGCAGGCAAGCAGAAAGGTAAGTGTAAAGCAGACAAGTAGACAGACAGGCAGGCAGTTATACAGGAAGGTAAGTAAGAGAACTGGTACATGATAAAGAGTAAAATTAGTGGGTACAGTACAGTACAAGGAGGTTACAATGAAAGAAAGTTGCCACATGCAGATACAAGATCGTGCAACACCAAGAGCTGATCTCAAACAGCTGATATGAGTACAGCTAGAGATGAAAACCTACTGAGCTGACAGTACAGATATCTATGCTTGCTGAGTCTCACCTGCAGTATGAGAGGTCGGGTATTGGACAAACACACTGCAGTAGTTGGAATAGATGTCAAATCTGATGTTGATTGAGAGTTGTTGGAGGCTCCAACACCTAGAGGAGAGAGTGGGGATGGGCTAAGGGGGGTAGAAGGGGGTCCTAGTGGTACAGACTGGATCTTGGGAGTCTGGGACTCTGAGGGGATGGACACTAACAGCGGACCGCTGCTGCCAGAATGTAGCACCATTACACGACCGTTGCTGTTGGTTCCTCCGGTTGGCTGCGACACAACCACCATGGTTGTGCCGGACTCACCACCGTGACCGTTGAGATTGAAGCTCTCCCCACAGTTGCCTGCACTGACACTATCACTACCGACACTACTGGTGCCACTGCAACTAACAATATTGTTATCCAATCCGCTCTGCCCTGACACGACGACATTAGCCTCGGCAATATTTGTTAAAGCACTGTTCTCCCTTATAGCACCACCACCACAGGCTAAGAAGGGTGTATTATCCAGCACAAATGCTGAAGGTCTAGAGGCAGATGATGCAGATACCTGGGAGGTGGTAAGTTGAGGCGTCATCATCTGGCGAAGAACGAACGTTCCAGAGTTAGCGGCAGCAGCAGTTCCTCCCTGGGTGTGTTGTGCCATGGTGGTGTTGGTGCCACCCACCGAGAGAGCCACTTGTCGCACTGTCCGAGGGCTTCCGGCCATCAGCTGGGCACCAGATACTGGTGAGGGCGTACTACAGCTGTTGCTACTGGTTGCTACTGTTTTGACCACAGTGATAGTCTGAAGCTGAGGAGCTGCCTGGACTACCAGATGACTGTTGTTGTTATTATTGCTGCTGCTGCTCACCACAACCGCTGCTGTCATCCCAGAACTACTGGTGGCAGGTTTCACCTCCGCCAGTAGAGAAGCAGGAGACTTAAGTTGAGCTTGTAACTGGTCCCGGTTAGGACTGTTAGCAATTACAGCTTGAACTATTTCATAAGATCTCTGAATATTAACTCCACCCGCATTTCTGCTTTTTGTCACCTTGACAGTCATGGTCCCACTGCCTGGCACGCTCTGAAAGTTAAAAGTAAAGTCAAGAATTTTGACTACAGTATTAGTTCCATAGTCAAAACTCTAACCTGAAAAATGAAAAAAAAGTAACAAATATAATCTAGTACTGTACACGCACTAACAGCCACTGATACTCTTGTAATACAGTACTTGTTATGTTAAAGGTGTCACAGCTGACACCGTTATCCTTAACCCTTTAGAGGGCAGCGGCACACTTAGGTACTTTATTTTGGCTAATGCCAGACAATTTTATTCAGCTGAGAGAAACCCCTGCACTCTTAAAGGGTTAATTTCAAAGTTGGTTCATATTTTGTAAGCATGTTAAACGCAAAAAAGAATTCTGTATGGTAAATTTTTTTTTACAGTTTCAAGTACTGTATTAACCAACTATGAAGATTTCTCTACTTAATGCACTACAGTACATCGACACTCATACAACAGTACTTTAATTTCCCCATTGTTTCAAATAATTACCTAAAGATTTCTTCCTCATACACTTGCAAATTCATTATTTTTACCTATTTACCTTATGGCCACCCACTAGAGTTGGCCATGCTGAAGGAAGGAGGCCAGTGGCCTGTGTAGGATCCCTTTAATGTTCTTGATAATTATGTCAAGCGCACTTTTGAAACTCAGTGCTGTTTTCTATTCTGCAGCTTGAGCTGGTAGATCATCTAATAGCTCTACCACCACCACCACCACAGCTTGAGTTGGTAGACTGGTCCATAGGTCTACCACCACCACAGCTTCAGCTGGTAGACTGTATCATAAGTCTACCAAGACCATACCTTGAATTGGTAGACTGTTCCATAGGTCTACCAACAGCACAGCTTGAACTGGTACACTGTTCCACACATATACCAAAACCACAAATTGAGTTGGTAGACTGTTCCACAGGTCTACTACCCTCTGCCCTCTGTGTGATGCAATTCTTTGTTCAGTTTGTCTTGCACACCATCTTGGAGAGTGTGAAGTTCTGTTACCTTGTGTTGATGGCGTGCGACAGCATAAAAAATGGTCCTGATTCACATTTTCCATCCCCTACAAATCTTCAATGTCTCTATGAGAGCTGCCCTATTGTATCTTGTCTGAGGAATTGTTAGTCCTGAAGCCTTCAGTCTACTTGGATAATGGAGATGACTTTATCTAATATATCTAGTATATGAAGATATTAATATCTGGGGAAAAAACAAACTTGATCAAGAGAATATCACTGTTGGCAGGTAAAAAATAAACCTCACTGTTGACAGCGACAGAAAAGAAAACCTCACTGTTGGAAGCGACAAAAAGAAAAGCTTACTGTTGATAGCAAATATGAGAAAAGCTCACTGTTGGCAGCAACAATAAGAAAAGCTCACTGTTGGCAGCAACAATAAGAAAAGCTCACTGTTGGCAGCAACAATAAGAAATGCTCACTGTTGGCAGCAACAATAAGAAAACGTCACTGTTGGCAGCAACAATAAGAAAACTCCACTGTTGGCAACAATAAGAAAACCCCACTGTTGGCAGCAACAATAAGAAAACTCCACTGTTGGCAACAATAAGAAAACCTCACTGTTGGCAACAACAATAAGAAAACTCCACTGTTGGCAACAATAAGAAAACCTCACTGTTGGCAACAACAATAAGAAAACTCCACTGTTGGCAACAATAAGAAAACCTCACTGTTGGCAGCAACAATAAGAAAACCCCACTGTTGGCAGCAACAATAAAGAAAACTCCACTGTTGGCGGCAACAATAAGAAAAACCTCACTGTTGGCAGCGGCGTAATAAGAAAACTCTCCACTGTTGGCAGCAATAAGAAACCCACTGTTGGCAACAACAATGAAAACCTCACTGTTGGCAACAACAATAAGAAAACTCCACTGTTGGCAACAATAAGAAAACCCCACTGTTGGCAGCAACAATAAGAAAACCTCACTGTTGGCAGCAACAATAAGAAAACCCCACTGTTGGCAGCAACAATAAGAAAACCTCACTGTTGGCAACAACAATAAGAAAACTCCACTGTTGGCAACAATAAGAAAACCTCACTGTTGGCAGCAACACTATGAAGCCCTCACTGTTGGCAACAATGAGAACCTCACTCTTGGCAGCAACAATAACAAAACCTTACCGTTGGCAGCAACAATAACAAAACCTCACTGTTGGCAGCAACAATAACAAAACTTCACTGTTGGCAGAAACAATAAAATGCCACTGTTGGCAGCAACAATAAAATACCACTGTTGGCAGCAACAATAAGAAAAGCTCACTGTTGGCAACAACAATAAAGAAAACCCACTGTTGGCAGCAACAATAAGAAAACCACTGTTGGCAGCAACAATAACAAAACCTCACTGTTAGCAACAATAACAAAACCTCACTGTTGGCAGCAACAATAACAAAACCTCACCGTTGGCAGCAACAATAACAAAACTTCACTGTTGGCAGAAACAATAAAATGCCACTGTTGGCGCAACAATAAAATACCACTGTTGGCAGCAACAATAACAAAACCTCACTGTTGGCAGCAACAATAACAAAACCTCACTGTTGGCAGCAACAATAACAAAACCTTACTGTTGGCAGCAACAATAACAAAACTTCACTGTTGGCAGAAACAATAAAATGCCACTGTTGGCAGCAACAATAAAATACCACTGTTGGCAGCAACAATAACAAAACCTCACAGCAACAATAACAAAACCTCACTGTTGGCAGCAACAATAACAAAACTTCACTGTTGGCAGAAACAATAAAATGCCACTGTTGGCAGCAACAATAAAATGCCACTGTTGGCAGCAACAATAAAATGCCACTGTTGGCAGCAACAATAAAATGCCACTGTTGGCAGCAACAATAAAATGCCACTGTTGGCAGCAACAATAAAATGCCACTGTTGGCAGCAACAATAAAATACCACTGTTGGCAGCAACAATAAAATACCACTGTTGGCAGCAACAATAAAATGCCACTGTTGGCAGCAACAATAAAATGCCACTGTTGGCAGCAACAATAAAATGCCACTGTTGGCAGCAACAATAAAATGCCACTGTTGGCAGCAACAATAAAATACCACTGTTGGCAGCAACAATAACAAAACCTCACTGTTGGCAGCAACAATAAGAACCACAGTTGGAAACATCAACAGCAGCACCCTTGTTGGTAGAAACAAGAAAACCCCACAGTTGACAACACCAACAACAGAACTTCACTGTTGGCCAGGTAATGCTATGGCAAGAGGCTTGTTTAGGTTAATTAGACTGGTTAGCTTATGTTTTTCCCACCAACCTTGTTATAACTTCCCATCAACCTTGTTATAACTTCCCATAAAACTTGTTATAACTTCCCATCAACCTTGTTATAACTTCCCATCAACCTTGTTATAACTTCCCATCAAACTTGTTATAACTTCCCATCAACCTTGTTATAACTTCCCTTCAACCTTGTTTTAACTTCCCATCAAACTTGTTATAACTTCCCATCAACCTTGTTATAACTTCTCTTCAACCTTGTTATAACTTCCCATAAAACTTGTTATAACTTTCCATCAAGCTTGTTATAACTTCCCATCAACCTTGTTATAACTTCCCATCAAACTTGTTATAACTTCCCATCAACCTTCTTATAACTTCCCATCAACCTTGTTATAACTTCCCATCAAACTTGTTATAACTTCCTTTCAACCTTGTTATAACTTCCCATAAAACTTGTTATAACTTCCCATCAACCTTGTTATAACTTCCCATCAAACTTGTTATAACTTCCCATCAACCTTGTTATAACTTCCCTTCAACCTTGTTATAACTTCCCATCAACCTTGTTATAACTTCCCATAAAACTTGTTATAACTTCCCATCAACCTTGTTATAACTTCCCATCAACCTTGTTATAACTTCCCATCAAACTTGTTATAACTTCCCATCAACCTTGTTATAACTTCCCTTCAACCTTGTTATAACTTCCCATAAAACTTGTTATAACTTCCCATCAAGCTTGTTATAACTTCCCATCAAGCTTGTTATAACTTCCCATCAAACTTGTTATAACTTCCCATCAACCTTGTTATAACTTCCCATCAACCTTGTTATAACTTCCCATCAAACTTGTTATAACTTCCTTTCAACCTTGTTATAACTTCCTTTCAACCTTGTTATAACTTCCCTTCAACCTTGATATAATTTCCCTTCAACCTTGTTATAACTTCCCATCAAACTTGTTATAACTTCCCATCAACCTTGTTATAACTTCCCTTCAACCTTGTTATAACTTCCCATCAAACTTGTTATAACTTCCCTTCAACCTTGATATAATTTCCCTTCAACCTTGTTATAACTTCCCATCAAACTTGTTATAACTTCCCATCAACCTTGTTATAACTTCCCATCAACCTTGTTATAACTTCCCATCAACCTTGTTATAACTTCCCATCAAACTTGTTATAACTTCCTTTCAACCTTGTTATAACTTCCCATCAAACTTGTCATAGCTTCCCATCAACCTTGTCATAACTTCCCATGAACCTTGTTATAACTTCCCATCAACCTTGTTATAACTTCCCTTCAACCTTGTTATAACTTCCCATCAACCTTGTTATAACTTCCCTTCAACCTTGTTATAACTTCCCATCAACCTTGTTATAACTTCCCATCAACCTTGTTATAACTTCCCTTCAACCTTGTTCTAACTTCCCATCAAACTTGTTATAACTTCCCATCAACCTTGTTATAACTTCCCATCAAACTTGATATAACTTCCCTTCAACCTTGTTATAACTTCCCTTCAACCTTGTTATAACTTCCCTTCAACCTTGTTATAACTTCCCTTCAACCTTGTTATAACTTCCCTTCAACCTTGTTATAACTTCCCTTCAACCTTGTTATAACCTCCCATCAAACTTGTTATAACTTCCCATCAACCTTGTTATAACTTCCCTTCAACCTTGTTATAACTTCCCTTCAACTTTGTTATAACTTCCCTTCAACCTTGTTATAACTTCCCTTCAACCTTGTTATAACTTCCTATCAACCTTGTTATAACTTCCCTTCAACCTTGTTATAACTTCCCTTCAACCTTGTTATAACTTCCCTTCAACCTTGTTATAACTTCCTATCAACTTTGTTATAACCTCCCATCAAACTTGTTATAACTTCCCATCAACCTTGTTATAACTTCCCTTCAACCTTGTTATAACTTCCCTTCAACCTTGTTATAACTTCCTATCAACCTTGTTATAACTTCCCTTCAACCTTGTTATAACTTCCCTTCAACCTTGTTATAACTTCCCATCAAACTTGTTATAACTTCCCATCAGTCTTGGCATATAATTTACAGATCTCATAAAGATTAGGAACCCCGATTATTGCACAAAATGATAAAACACCCTAATGCTAAAAGGAGTTGAGTTGAGTTAGGTTAGGTTAGGGTAGATTCAAATACCGTTTGTGTGTTTGGTTAGGTTCAGTGTACTGTTCAGTGCTGCAATATACGTCATGCAAACTTCCTTTTAATTACAAGTTTTCAGGAGCTTCAATTATGTATTCCCATCCAGCTATAACAAAATTTCTCAGATGGCACAACAAACTTTCACGAGATACTTTCCATTTATAAGCATTCCCCTTTCCACACCGGTGTGTTGGGTTGAAGGAGGAACCTTGGCACCTTTCATAAGGAGAACACTAGATACAATGATCCGCATTAAGTGTAGAAAGAGAGAGAAAAGAACTCAGAAAACAAGTAGAAATATCCATACATATTACTCAAAACCTTAACTCTGATACACTGTACGGGCACATATTTTATGACGGACAAGATCAATCCTCAGTAGTGTCCATAAAGTGAAGATACTTTATATGAGGCTCTGTTTTAAGAGGTCTGCCAGTGCTGAGACTCCAACAGTCATGTAAAGCAATTCACTGTTACCCAGTCACCACATTCATGATGCCACCATCATACACCAAACACCACCATTCCTCTTGGATACTCAAAAGGAAAATTCCATGCCAGCAACCACCCACAACTGTTCCAGCAGCATCTTCTGTACATCTTCTTACATTCACAGATGGCAGATATCATCAGTGAAAGTTAGCTTTGGGATGGCAGCCACCACCAGTGGAAATTAGCTGTAGGGATGGCAGCCATCATCAGTGAAAGTTAGCTGTAAGAACGGTGGCCATCAACTGTGAAAGTTGGCTGTAGCAAGTGCAATCATCAGTGGAAGTTAGCTGTAGAGACAGCAGCCACCACCAGTGGACATTAGCTGTAGGGACGGTGGCCATCCTCAGTGGAAGTTAGCTGTAGGGACAGTGACCATCGTCAGTGGAAGTTAGCTGTAGGAAGTGGCGATCACCAATGGAAGTTAGCTGTAGGGATGGTGGCCATCATCAGTGGAAGTTAGCTGTAGGGACAGTGGCCATCATCAGTGGAAATTAGCTGTAGGGACAGTGGCCATCATCAGTGGAAGTTAACTGTAGGGATGGTGGCCATTATTAGTGGAATTTAGCTGTAGGAACAGTTGCCACATCAGTGGAAGTTAGCTGTAGGAAAAGTGGCTATCATCAGTGGAAGTTAGCTGCAAGGGTGGTGGCTATCATCAGTGGAAGTTAGCTGTGAGGGTGGTGGCTATCATCGTGGAAGTTAGCTGTAAGGGTGGTGGCCATCATCAGTGGAAGTTAGCTGTGAGGGTGGTAGCCATCATCAGAGGGAGTTAGCTGTGAGGGTGGTAGCCATCATCAGTGGAAGTTAGCTGTAGGGACAGTGGCCATCATCAGTGGAAGTTAGCTGTAAGGGTGGTGGCCATCATCAGTGGAAGTTAGCTGCAAGGGTGGTGGCTATCATCAGTGGAAGTTAGCTGTAAGGGTGGTGGCCATCATCAGTGGAAGTTAGCTGTGAGGGTGGTAGCCATCATCAGAGGGAGTTAGCTGTAGGAACAGTGGCCATGATCAGTGGAAGTTAGCTGTAGGGATGGTGGCCATGATCAGTGGAAGTTAGCTGCAGGGACAGTGGCCATGATCAGTGGAAGTTAGCTGTCAGGGTGGTAGCCATGATCAGTAGAAGTTAGCTGTAGGGACAGCAGCCATCATCAGTGGCAATTAGGTGTTTGGGCAGCAGCTACCTCCAATGGGCGTGTCATGTTCCTTGAGTTTCATTCTTGCATGTATTGGGGCAGACTAGGGAATCCTTCTCAGTTATTTATGGATTAATATATTACGGATTTGTAAAATGAATATCATCATTTCATTTCCTGATCATTTTATGACAAAGCAAGAGGAGTTGCTACTGTTTTATATACTGTATAATGTAACCAACCGTCCACGAACGATGTCTTATACCAACAAGTGGAATAATTACTTACAGAAAAAGAAGACTCTATAATGTATGGAAAATGTAACCAAAAGTTATTTCCTTTTACCTTGGCAGAGAAGAGAAAAGATGAAAGGAGAGAAATAGAGGGGAAGTAAAGATAGACAGATACTGTAATCATACTGCACAAGAGAAATGAGCATAGCATAACAAGTTGTGATATTATAAGGTAGAGCAATATATGCATAGAAGCAACAAAAAAAACAAAAAAATTATAATACTTACCTGAGGTAGAGTCCTAACAGTTTTAATTTTGGAGGCTACACTGGTGACAGACGAGGAAGGTAACGTCTGCGTGATGACCCGTGGACCCTGACCAATGGATGTCACGCACGAAGAGACTTCCACTGGTCGGGCGTGGCCAGCCACCATTACTGTTCTGGTGACAGGGGGGCTGGGAGACGGTGCCAACGGCAGCGAAGGTGAGAGAACCTGCACCACGGGAGAGAGCCGTGAGGGAGATGGTGCAGGAGAAACTCTCACCAACGGAGAAGTTCTTGAAGCCGGAGATGTTGGTAATTGACCACTTGAGGACTGAGACAAGGAGTTGACCACTACCATAGCAGCAGGCTTGCCGGAACCCCCGGTTTTTGCCTGAGATATAACTGGGGGACTGAGCACCTTTGAACCACTAGAAGCCACAGCACGCACTGTTCCCACCACAGGAGTAATTGTCACTCGTGAACGGGGAATATCACTGAGAGTACCAACGTGGCCCATCAGTCTCTGAGCAGAGTGTGGCGTAGTGCTGTGCTTTGCAACAAAATAGTTTGATAATTCTGAACTTGACACACATATTTTTTTGGTGGGAACAGATGTAGGAACTGGGAGGGACTCTTTCCTCTTCAGTCCATCTTTTGTAAATCCACTTGGATCTACAGACATAATTTGAGAAGGAAGTGGCAACTTGTCACTGATTGGGAACACTGTATGGCTGCCACTGTTCACTGTATTTATGTTACTCCTGTTGGGAATTACTGACAAGGAACTGGGAGTCACAGACAAGGACGAAGGAACAACACATAAAGAACTAGGGAGCACTGACGATGTGCAGGGTTGTACTGAGGACGAACACGGCAGTACAGAAGATGAACATGAGAGCACTGGTGATGATGAACGAGGGAACACTGTCGACAAGCAGGGGACCGCTGACGACGAACTCGGAAGTCCCGGCGATAGACACGGGGGTACGTACGATGAGCAAGAGTGAACTGACGAAGAACTCAGAGTCAACGATGAAGAATTTTTTACGTCGGAAGAGAAACTAGCGAGCTCCTCTGCAATTTTCTTTTCTCTAAGAGCTCTTTTGGCAGCTCTTCTCTCAGCTCGCCGTTGGTCACGGTTGGCAATGTGTTGAATGACCTTGGTCAGCTGTTGCATATGAGCCGGAGAAAAGCTGGAGGTATAGGCAGGAGAGGCACGAGACAAGTCTGGAGGGGAGGCGGGATACGTGTCCCCAGAGGGTGATGAGGGGCTGCTCACGCTGCCTTCTCCACCATCTGTGCCGCACCACGGCTGCTTCACGCCCCATAATGGCTCAAAATGAGCAACCTGTCCAGATAAATATCAGCATTCATAAATTACACTACTGCAATATAAACATTAAAAGTAAAAATTATCAAGATTTGATGCAACATTGAAGAACTAACTCTTAGGAAACTTTTTTTCCTTTCTGCATGGTTTTAAAACCTAAATACAGAACAAGGCTTAAAGAGTTGTGGGAAGATTAGTTTACCTATTCTTTCTAAATTTTCATTCATTGGACAAGTGTGAGAGAATCAGTATGTCTGAGGATTTAGTCACTGCACCAAATATCAGTGCTGTATGCTAGATACTGTATTCAAGTTTAATTGTGTTTACAAGCTTAAGTTGGGTAGAAATACACCCCAACAGAGGAACACATAATAAGTAACCTTCCACATGTAGCAAAATGTGGATAATATAAAAAAAATAACATCAGGACAACATCAATAACCACCTACTCACAGAAAGATGAAAAAGAGCTTATGTACACAGTGAATGTTCCTAACCAAGTTCAGTACAATACCTAATATCACTCTGATAAATTGATCACTGCCAAAATGTAGTTCTATAAAGGACAAACAAAATAACTGGGTTTATTCTGTCTCTTTCTATACGATACCTTCCAGGGGTCCAATTTTGTGCGTTCCTTCTCAGCCTCAACTTTTAGTTTTACTTGATTATCATGGGTAAACTCTCCCTCTCCCAGACGACACCGCCACGACTCACAAGCACGCCCAAAAAACTCATTATTTAGACCCTGGGGGACAAGTCTGTTGAGCAAAAAAAAAAACCATATTAATAAAACCCATCTTGAAAAAACAAGATATACAGTTGAGTTGAGGATGTCAATTATAGATAATTAGCAGATAAAGAAGTAATAAGGCAGTAAAAATACATATAAGCTAAAGTTTTTCACACCTGCCAGTATCCCACTAGTGATGTGTTCATTCAGATACTAAATGACTTATCACTCCAAACATAATTAAATTGTATTAACCTAACTTAAACAACTAAACACGTCTATCATCTCTCCAGTACTATACCAACCCTGGTAATACTGTAAATGTCCCATAACAATAACCCCCCCTCCCATTACCTATGACAAGTGTGGTAAAGAGGAAGCAAAGAAAATATGATGTGTCCATAAAGTATATGACATATTTCAAAACTTTGTAACCTCAAAAATAATATAGACAGAACACACATGGAAGTCTATTAGCATACGAAAAAAATTGGAATTGTTCGTTAAGTATAATAAGATTGGTGTGTTCTATCTGTAATAATTTTAAGGTTATTAAATTTTACAATAGCTCATATACAGTATATAATTTATGGCCATCCTATTATATAATATTTCATGGTCCTAAACTATGTATCTCCTGGAATTTGTAACTTTCTTAGCCCATAAAATATTATCAAGGTTTATTTCTTGTATCTATCTTTAAAAAAATTTGCAGATAGTAGACAATGGCAAGATTCATATTCTATATGAGTAAGGGTTGTTAAGAGAGTGAGTGAAAATTGATACAGTACAATGTATTCATAAAGGTAACTGACACATATAGATAAAGACTCACTTCAGGGCATCGTCAGGGCCAACAGCCTGGTCCACCAGAGGCAACAGTTGTATCAGTCTGTGTTGGTATGCAGGTGGGAGGGTGGCAAAGGTGTGTTTATTGAGGATTGCTCTCAAGTTGACACCAGCCAGGATGGAGTCGGGAGTCTCCAGGTCAACATTGCCTTCCTTGGTCTGGGCCAACTGTGCTGCTGCTGACAATTTACGCTGAGACCTGCAGTCAACCATAATACAATCAATAACATATAAATATTTACCACTAATATACAATTTTCATTTCCTAGAGCAGAATAAACATTTTTAATGTTTCATTAAATAAATTATTAAAGGGTTAATAATGAAAGAAGACAATCACCCGGCCGGTGACAGCCTAGACTGGCAAATGGCATTTATGTACTGTAGTAGAACTTGGAGTTCTAATGCTACTTTATAGTTGTGATCCACACCCTGCTATCACTAGTTCTCTCTCTCCAACACACATCTCTTAGCCTTTAAACGATTTTCCATGGCTTTCTTAAATTTGTTTCGCACAAATATGCACAGCACGAGACTTTTTTTCGGAAAGTACTTTTCATGTCTAGCGAGGACTACGTGTAATCAACACACTTACATACAGTGATTTCTGCTATAACGGGTGTTTTGATAACGCGAATTTGCTCGAACGCGATTTATTAATAGAGGAACGATATTTGTATAACGCGAACGCTTGTTTGCTGTAACGCGTTTTTTGCTTACTATTTCTCCAATTTTGTGGTATTAACTGTGAATATGGTAAAGAAGAATATCTCCAAGAAGCATTCTGGTGATCGAATTCCCGGTGATGATCGTAAAAGAAAGGATATAACACTTGAAGAGAAGCTCGATGTTATCAACCTCAAAATCACCCTTCTCCCCCATCAAGTTACATTCATATTTTTTCAAGGTAAAGTGTTACATTTACTGTATGACTTCATTATTAGATATGAATGTAACATTTATTTAGACTGTGCTATCCTTTGTGTTAGGCTAACTACTAAATTTTTTTGATTTCCAGTAATCTGCACCTAACCCTATTTTCTCCATAAACCCTGTTATTTCTATTACGCGATTTTCTATAACACGTTATTTTACAAGAACACAACTATCGCGTTATAGCAGAACTGACTGTATTCACAAGAGAGTATGCAAAGTAATAAAAATCAAAACATTACCTACTCAACATAGTTCAATACAAAATATATAAATACCTTTTTCTAGGCTTGAAGCCTGGGATAGCGGCAAGATATGTCTGCATAGTGGTCATTGAGGGGGACGAAGCATCACGTGCAGAAGGAGACGACTGAGAGACCGGAACACGCACCACTCTGGAAGCTGTACACAAAACATAAATAGAATTACCAGGGAATAACTCTGAAACCACAACACATTTTACGCTGAATGTTTTATGTACAGGCAGACCCAATTTACGAGTTATATCCCTGAAAAATCTACGTAAATCAAATTTTCATAAATCGACCCACAATATCCCAGACTCCCATTATACTGTTTGGACGATACAAAACAGATGCTATTGATAGATATAAACAGTATTTACATGTGTTCATTGTGTCTTATAATGTGAGTTTTTACAACTATAATCTCATGAACCCCTGACCAAAATGAACAAAGACGTCCAGTTTAATGACACTGGTACTGGGGTCCTCATTCTACGTCAGTGATGTGTTCCAGAAAAGAGCAACTTACAGTGAAATGTTTTATAGTGACGAATTTTCCCCCATAAGAATTAATGTAATTAGGGATATATGCATCCCAATTCGTACAGTACTGTACTCCAATACACCTTGAAAGCTCAGTAAATCAGTTTACAATGGGGTCATTATAACAAAATGTACTGTATAGTAGTATTTGATATAATTATTTATCTTTGAGTGATACATGATGGCTTGAATTTGCTACTTGTACGCTTAGACAACTGATTAATGAATAAACCAGAGAATAGGCAGATGCATAATACAATACAAAACTATTCATGGAGTGCTGATAAATACACTCGTATATTGTTATTTACAATGTGTTGAATACAGCTGTTGTGGTAAGCACCAACCATCTTCAGCAGCAACAGCAGAGGTGCATGAGAGGAGAGCACTGGCAATACTGAGAGGGAAAGCAAGGACAGTCAGCTGTTCGTGCTTTGTGAACAAGGCACCAAGAATTTAATGCAAAGATATAAACCATCTGGGGTTGGGTGCGGGATTTTCCCCAGGAAAATTGATTATATTACTATAATTTTATTAAACCAGCACCAAATGAACGTAAATAATAAGAGAATTATGGTGAAACTGCATACTGCCATGTTAATGGGTTGAATGGAAAGGCAGTTGTCCGGCCACCCATAAACCTAACCTCCCATCTATCCTACACAGAATTCACTTCTCACTTCTAAATTTTCTTATTTTATAGTTCATTTTCTTTATTCTACATTGCCTTAGAGCATTGAAATAACATTTCTACAACCTCTATGGTCTCTAATGTAACAATGGCATGTGCACAGCCTTCTCACAGCTAACAAGCGTTTGTGTTATGGTGATTTCTCAACTCGATATTCCCCCCACACATAATATACCCCTACACTCTTTATCTTATATCTTTATATTACTGTACTGTATTTTTTTTATTCACAAGGCACACTAGTGACTGAAATAACTTTTCTGCAAATTCTGTGGTTACTTACACATAATAAGGGCACAAACATTCAGTCGTGTGAAAGGTAACTGATGTATTTTGGTGTGGTACAAACTTAACACTTGTAAGGCACTTTTTTTTTTTACTTATTACAGTTATTTGTACATTATAGCTATTATGTACTTTTAACAATATTTATATGTATCATATTCAGGTACACAGCGACTTAGTATAAAACAGTGAATGATGCAGACAACCTAAAGTGAAAAAATTTATGTCCTCATACAGTATAATGAAAAATTCATCCTATATTTGTTAGCGACATATACATTACTGGTACTGTATAGCAAAGAAACTGTTAATGTATTAGGAAACGATATTTGAAGCAGTGGCCTTGTAATATATGGCCGCCACTGCAAATATCTATTTCTGTTTATTGTTTAGTTAAGAGTGTATCTTCCATGGTGGTGCAACTAATATGTTGGTAAATATGCCAATGAAATAACCCAAGTGAGGAAAGTACAGGTATACTAGTAGTAAAAAATGGCATTACAAGTGTTTACCATATATTATTTTTCTATTTTTTTTTGTTAATGTGGAGTTTTTGCTTGTTAACCAAAATGTGATTTTTTTTTCTGCAAATTTTTGTAAAACAAATCCTCATAAAATGGGGTCTGCTTGTACTGTACATAAAACATGATGGTATGACTAGGGAACAACAGTGAAACATATAACTCTGGATGTTGTATATAAAACATTGAACTTATCTACTTAAAAGATAAAGGAGTCTACCTTATCATTCTCAAGATATTGACTAAACAATGGGAGATGGAGAAATTTTTTTAAAGGAAAATATTGAAACATACTTTTTCAAGAAAGTTGAAGTACGACTCACCCTGAGAGCCTGAGGAGAGTGTGTTGGAATAAGCACCAGATTGAGACAGACCCATCAGCACAGATGAGCTAAGGTTGTGTTGGTGGGCTCCACTCGTAGCAGCAGCTACGTTGTTAGCTATGCGAGAGCTCACCCTTGTACCCAATACGGGATGGAGGTTGCTGGATGAGCAAGCTTTACTGCTTAATCTTGTTCCAGAAAACTGACTGGGAGAATGGGTCATCTTGTTACCTGTCCTACACATGGGTGGGGATGGTGTGGTGGCCAGTGTGCTGGTAGGAGATTTGACGGAGGTGTGGAGCAGTGGTGGGGAGACAGAGGCGATTGTGGTAGTGGCTGTAGTGGTTGTAGTAGGAATGGTGGTAATTGTGGTGGTGACAGTGGTGGCAACAGCAGTAACAGTAGTGGTAGTGGTGGTATATGTGGAGGTCGTGGTGGCAAGAGGCTGGGCAGACTGAGAAGCAGGGTTGGGAGATGTGGCTGCAACCGTCTTCATGGTGACACGGGTGATTGGAGGAGAGTTGCCGGCAGCAATAGAGGTGTTCCTTCTTCTTCTACGAGCCTGTTGTCGCAGGGCGTGCTTGCCGGCCGCTCCGGGGTAAGACACACGACGTACAACAGCACCATTTACCTACAACAATGGTTCATACTTCAGCCATCATACACAAAAAGAAATGCAAGAAGGAAGTAAGACAAAAAAGAGTAATTTTTGAAAAAAAAAAAAAAAAACAACAACAACAACAACAACAATATGAAGAAGTAAGAAAATGTGGCTGACCATTAAAGTGTCACCATAACATACAGGTATACTGCATCTGATACAATCACTGTACTGTACTGTACTGTCATAATTCTTCTTATTATAAATTCAAACATTAAAAAACTATTGTCTTTATACTGCAAATCTATAATTACAACTACATATCTTTCTAGTCTGAATTATCACCAATACTGTATAGATATTGTGTAAGTCAGCCTTGTGTGGACCTTGATGTACTGTAAATACCTTATGTGCAGCCATTCCAGGGGAGAGATCAGGGGGCTCTGGGGGTACAGCAGCAGTAGCATCATCCACGTGAGGTGGCAGTTCCAGCAGTTGGCCGATACTGTTTGTGAGTGGTGGGCGGTTGTCATCCATGCTGCCCACCGTCTGGCACACATCCTCACCTCCACTACCACCAACTGAGGTGTCCACAGGCACGTCTCCCATCTGGTCTGTCTCTGCGTCCTCGCCTGGTGATCAATTAACAACACTCAATTTCTAGTTCACCTGGTGTGTACACATTTCTATAATAATACTGTATAATAATTTAATTGAGATTTGACTGCACCTCTTTCACCGTGGGGATGTGTACCAGAAGACCAGAATATAATTCAAGAAGTGAACAGCTGCACAATTCTGGACTGTACAAACATTTATTACTAGATAATATAAAGTTAGATACAGCATCAGTAATCCTGGGTAACTTACTGGGAGGTAAATAAAAATGAACCTTTTTGTTTTACAGTAGAGGTATAGGTACAGCAATTTACTTTCATATCATAAAAGTATTTTGCAATCATGACATAAGTACTGTATCATATTTTAGGGAAAGATCATAAAAAAAAAAGCAATCACATTAAAGTGAGATCTTTTTGTGCTATTATTATGAGTGCAAACCCAATCAGATAATCTTTCCAAATAAAAGTAAACATTATTTAGGTAATATTTAATTCTGGAAAATGTTTTCAACAGACACACAACAGAGGGTGTAGACATACCGTGAGGCGGCGGCTCCGAGACAGGCACTGCTAGCGTCTCCATAAGGCCACATTGACTGACCTTGCTTGTCCACCCACCACACTTTGCAAAGACTTTACCTATGGGGCAAAAATAAGAAATCAATCAAACTTGAATTGTTGTGGGGAAAGGTAGTAACAAGTGTATCAATTATTTAACATTTAACTGGCATCTAAGAATTCCCATCACCCCACACATGCACAAAAAATGGATCATAAAGAACACGAAACTTCCACAGATGATGGCGGCCATCCCTAAAGTTAACTTTAACTGATGATGGCCATCATAAGGATGAATGGTGGTCATCATCAGTAGAATTTTCACGTTTCTGCACTCCATTTTTGTAGATATTGGGGGGGGGGGGGGATCCTTAATTAGTGTAGCGTTTCGAGTGCTAGAGAATTCTTTAGAACTGGTGCCTTTGAGAAACAAAAGACAAGCTTTAATATCATCATCATTATCAAGGGTTAACTACCTGGCATCTGATGGCCCCTGAATCTACTGAGGAATTTTCTAAGGACCAGTTAATTGGAAAACTTTCAGGGGAAGACAAACTGGTTAGCATTACTTAATTATATAAAAGATATACTGTATTGTATACAAAACTCCTTAAGCTTGGTGAAACTAATAAAAATTGGGAATCAACACTAAAACATTCAGGAAAACTCATCTTCCATATATATATATATATATAAAGTCCATCAATATAATAAGTCAACACCAGAAATGGGGCCAAATACATATTTGTATTTGAAAATACAGTACAGTACTGTAAAATCAGTATCTGTATATATATATATATATATATATATATATATATATATATATATATATATATATATATATATATATATATATATATATATATATATATATATATATATATATATATATATATATATATATACATATATACTGTGCTTGTACAGTATTTGATAATGTTAGAAGTTGAGCATATTTATTTGTATCTGTATCTTATGCTTGTATTTGTTTCAAATACAGTTCAAATGCAATAATAATCTAATGTAAATTGAAGACTATATCAGCCCTTTAGCTAAAACAATGATGAATCAATCTTAATATTATAAACTGGTACAGTAACTTGTTTAAAAATTCAAGTTGGCAACTCTGTCTTGGCTTAGAGCTCTCCTACTCAGAAGTTTGCCTGTGTATAATTCTTGTCCAAACCTGGTGATGTATGTTGTATTTGAACTGTAGTTGATTCACGTATGGTGTTAGGGTTGCCACAGGTGAAGGTACAGTACATCTAAAATAAAGCGAGGAGTCAATTTTTTGTCCTAAATACAGTATTGTATAGTACTGTATACTGTATAGTGTATGTTTTTACCATATGGTGACAAATTTTCAATTAATTATATGTAAAGATAAAGAATATATATAAAAATAATACCGTTAAAATTTGGCGATACCCTGTACAGTGTATATCAATAAATCAGAGAACCGTCCTCATATCTGAGAGTTGAGAACCACAGTTACATCCACCATTAAAACATTTTTGGGCTGTTTTTATCAATCCTCTAAGGTTTTACATCTCTTTGGAGAGCCAGTTTTTAATTTCATTCACCCACCCGTCACTACCTTCCCCTGGCTCTCCTACCCCCAACTTTGTCCATTAATATTTCTGTTATTATCCCCCCAGCCCCAATTATTATATGACCAAAGTATCTCTTTTTTTTTCTGTAAATTTTAAGTACTGTATTGTATTTCTCTTGAAGTTTTTGTTAACCTCAGTACTTCTTCATTTGTTTTCCTGTCAGTGTGACTTATCTTTAACATACAACTATAGCACCACATTTTGAAGGCCTCTAACCTCTTTCTGGTGTCTGCTGAGTGTCCAAGCTCCTGACCCATACAACAGTCCTCGTCAATTATATATCCTTTCAGCAGCTTCTTTCTCAAATTGAAGTTAATGTCTATTTTAAGGTCCTTTAGATTATTAAATGCTGTTTTTGCTTGACCTATTCTTGTTTTGATTTCTTTGGCAATATATGACCAATTTCAACTGTTTACAGGTCAGTAACAATAACAAACTATGGACTGTGATATTTTTTTTGTATAAGCTATATGATATGGTTTTTACTGGCCTATGTATTATATTATTGGACTGAATAATATATGAATTACTTCTTGTTTCCCACTCAACCAAAAATTATTACTAAAACTAAAATTAATCACCACCTTGATAAAAAAAAAAAAACATAAAAGACTTGGTGTAAAGTATTAAGGATAAATCAAAACAAGAAAAATCAAACAAAATTTGGTGAAGTTATAGTGATTTAAAGCTTCATAACTTGCAGAAAATGTTTTTTTTAAGACAAAGAGCATCAAAGATTGTATTTTGTGTTTCTTGATGTGTAGTGCATTGTATATGATATATGGTGTTGTATGTGTGTGAGGGACTTTTGTCTTTCCCACTTGTATCAATGTTGAAAAGATATAAATTAGGCCTTTGCCAAGTCACGTGTAGTTGGTGTTGATGGTGGTGATGGGGAGGAGGTGGAGGCAGCGTGGCCCTCCCTCCTCTCATGCGTTTGTTTTCGTCGTTCTACCATCATTTTCCGGCGTTTGTTCAGTTTCTCTCTCTTGTCTAGTACCTTCTTCGATACTCGTGCCATTGTTCTTGCTATCTGATAACACAAAGTCCAGAAAAATAAGAAATAAATCTGAGAGGCCAAACCACCCATGGAATATTTGGAATTTAAATTACCGATACTCGGAAATTTTGGTACGTACGTATTTGTATTTGAAGCTCCGTATTTGAGGATTTTCAAACTTGAAAATTTGGATTTGGATTATCATATTTGTATCAATATTTGTATTTGGACATGGGTATTTGACCCCATCCCATATATACTGTAAACAGTATATATAAATATTTTAATATTTTAAAAGTTTTACCATTTAAAAATAGTACAGTGGGCCTAAATGTGCCTGTACAGGATACTGTACTACTTTTAAACTATATCAAATGGCATGTTTTTTTTCTTCAAATTATTCCATTGCAAAACATTTCATCACATCTTTGCCTCTTGAAAGTATTTGGCAACATGTTACACTGTACTACAGTTTTAACTACTGTACAACCATCACAGAACTGGGATACTGATTATCAGCAAAATACAATCTAACAATTTTCATTTTATACGTAATAGACTTTTTCTGAACGCATTTTAGAAATCAAATATGTAAAAAGAAAATTCACATCTGTGGGAAACACAAATGTAATTTTTTATATCATGAAGAGTAGAAACCCCCACTTATTTCACCTGATTAAGCACCATGGCATTAAATTGGGGGGTTAGGTTAAGTTAGATTATGTTAGGTTAGCATTAGTGTGTTTAATCATCAGGTGAAATTAGATGAGGTTCACAATCTTCATGAGGTGTGTAATTTCATTTTCTGGAGGCTGAAAAAACTGATCCAACGACCGATGTTTTGAGTGGCACTGTAGCGTCTAAGAACCAAATATTTCTACACGGCCCGGCCTATATGCAGGCTAATTTGGATACGGTAGGTTTCTTAATCATGGCTAATGGATCTCCTTTGGGGCTCAGTGAGAGTCATCCCCCAATGGGTCAGTGTAAGTACAGGAGTAAACTGTAGTACTGTAGGAAACCTTCCATATTCAGTAGTGTCTCACTGGACAACACACTTCTTACAAATAACAAAGACTGATAGAGATTCAGTAAAGTCATCATTCAAGTACATATAAGATCATTTTAAACACAGACAGTTCAAGTGTATAAACAATGATAAACACAAAGATGATTTAACCAGTAATATATATATATAGTAACACAAGAAAGTTGTTGAAAGTTTATTTCTACTAGATACCATTGAACCCTTGTTACTGTGACTCATGACATAAATATTATTAATTAGGTAGTGTGAGTCACAGCATTATCACAAAACACTGGCTTACAGCATCAAATTATCTTATCATCACAGCATGAACTTACAGCATCATCATAGCACACTTACACAGCATTAACTTACAGAAAACAGCATATAACAGCACATCAACTTTCAGCATCACAGTATAGACACACGGCATCTCAGCATACACACTGCATGATCACAACACAGTGACACATAGTATCATCACAACACACTAGCACAGCATCATCATAGCACATTGGCACACAGCCTCATCATAGCACATTGGCACACAGCATCATCATAGCACATTGGCACACAGCCTCATCATAGCACATTGGCACACAGCATCATCATAGCACATTGGCACACAGCCTCATCATAGCACATTGGCACACAGCCTCATCAGAGCACATTGGCACACAGCAACATCATAGCACATTGGCACACAGCATCATCATAGCACATTGGCACACAGCCTCATCATAGCACATTGGCACACAGCATCATCATAGCACATTGGCACACAGCATCATCATAGCACATTGGCACACAATCATAGCACATTGGCACACAGCATCATCATAGCACATTGGCACACAGCCTCATCATAGCACATTGGCACACAGCATCATCATAGCACATTGGCACACAGCCTCATCATAGCACATTGGCACACAGCCTCATCATTGGCACACAGCACATCATGCACATTGGCACACAGCATCATCATAGCACATTGGCACACAGCCTCATCATAGCACATTGGCACACAGCATCATCATAGCACATTGGCACACAGCATCATCATAGCACATTGGCACACAGCCTCATCAGAGCACATTGGCACACAGCATCATCATACATTGGCACACAGCCTCATCATAACACATTGGCACACAACTCATCATAGCACATTGGCACACAGCCTCATCCTTTGATGGCACAGCATCATCACTTAGCATTGGCACACAGCATCATCGCCTTTTTATTGGCACACAGCATCATCATAGCACATTGGCACACAGCATCATCATAGCACATTGGCACACAGCATCATCAGAGCACATTGGCACACACAGCATCATCCAGAGCACATTGTACACAGCCTCATCATAGCACATTGGCACACAGCCTCATCATAGCACATTGGCGCAGCATCATCATAGCATTGGCACACAGCCTCATCACAGTACACTGACTTAGCATCATCACAGCACGATGGCACACAGCATCACATCACAGTACACTGACACAGCATCATCACAGTACACTGACACAGCATCATCACAGCACACTGACACAGCATCATCACAGACACTGACACAGCATCATCACAGCACACTGACACTACACTGACACAGCATCATCACAGTACACTGACACAGCATCATCACAGTACACTGACACAGCATCATCACAGTACACTGACACAGCATCATCACAGCACACTGACACAGCATCATCACAGCACACTGACACAGCATCATCACAGTACACTGACACAGCATCATCACAGTACACTGACACAGCATCATCACAGCACACTGACACAGCATCATCACAGCACACTGACACAGCATCATCACAGCACACTGACACAGCATCATCATAGCACATTGGCACACAGCCTCATCACAGTACACTGACAGCATCATCACAGCACATTGGCACACAGCATCATCACAGTACACTGACACAGCATCATCACAGTACACTGACACAGCATCATCACAGTACACTGACACAGCATCATCACAGTACACTGACACAGCATCATCACAGTACACTGACACAGCATCATCACAGCACACTGACACAGCATCATCACAGTACACTGACACAGCATCATCACAGCACACTGACACAGCATCAACTAAAGGTCTAGTCCCATCACTCGTTGGTGACTAACGGAAACAGTGTCTCCTCCTACCATTATATCTCAAGTGCAGCAAAAGTATCATGATTAAGGTAGTCAGCACCACAGCACAGCACCACAGCACAGGAGCACAGCACATACTTGAGGTTCACAGCAACATAACAGTACCGACCCAACCTCAACCTCCTCCCTTCATTCCCTCATTAATCAAATTCCTCTTCTCCCCAAGCCATTTTAACAAGACAACATCATGAGGTAATATGTGTTAGAGAGTGAGGCACACCAGCCTGGCACACCAGCCTGGCACACCATATACTAACACCAATAACCAGCGAGACCTCAAAATGACCATCCTCCTCCCATCGTTGGTGATAGACTTAATAACCTCATTTTCTCCCCCCCACCATAATATTTAACGACTGACAGATATAACAACAATTAAGTCTCGTCCATGAGAGTACAGCAGCATAACACGTACTTGTGGCATAACAGCACGGGGGTCATAGTGAGGGGTTGAAACACGGGCTTAATACAGGTTGTCAGCCATTGTTGATGCGTTTACCTCTAGTTCCACCATCGGCCGCCAGGGGGACAACAAAGAGAAACACGTGAGCAGCGACTTGCGGACTTCTCTTCCTTTTTCTTATAAATTATATTATAAATGATCAATAATGATTATATAGTACTATAATTAAATATTTTAAGTCTTAGTATTGTTAGTATTATTAAATATTGGAAGATAATGTGAGTTATATTCAAGGGTCGTTAATCCATTTGTTTACGATGAATGATATGATAGATGTATGATAATAGTCAACTGCATAATACAAAACAAAAAAAGGTATTGTGATATATCCATTACCAAGACCGAATGAGAAAACAAACTTTATTTTCAATTATATTTGTAATGTTATAATGTACAGTTAATAATATTAGTCTTGACCAAAATACATTTGATAAATGTACGATAACTATCTGTACAAATGGCATACAAATTCATTTATTATACATCCAATGTCACATTTTGAGGCGGAAACAATATATCTTGTATACAATAAATTATTAGAATATAATTGTGGATGATTATAAGAATTTTGATCCCAATAGTCACAATAGTCGTTGCTTATTATGGACAACATGAATGGTGTATGATAACAATGAAATGCTTATAAAATACACTAGTTGGTAATTATATTATGTTACATATTTAACGGAGGAAAAATACAAACCTAAAGAATTTTGTATTTTATATATTATATAAAAAATCTTAAAGTTGGTCTATTAAAAGCATAGAAGTACACAAGCAATGTATATAGTCAGTGCTGGCTAATTCCTTCACTTCTATCTTCCTTATTGTGTCTACCCTATGTTTCTGTATCTTTATAAGTCTTGAATATATTTCTATAACACTACCAATAATTTATCCATGATCATATTCCTGCTTTTAATTCACGTACGAGGTGTATCATGAGATGAGGTACTGTACAACAGAGGCGTACCGTGAATGAGGTACTGTACGACAATGTGTACGGTGAGAGAGGTACAACAACTCGCTGGTGGTGTACGAAGGCCATGACGAGAGGTGGAGGACTCAGCCAGAGACAAGACGCGGGACGGCGGTGCTAGGGAGCGTCATTCATCCCTTACACTATTTCCCTCAATAATTTACATGTGATCTCGAACCCAAATTGAGTTTGTTGTTTTTTTTAATGTCGAGTGTGTAAACTGTCACGTTTGTGGGATAAAAGAACCAAGAATTTATCCTTATATAGAGAGATTATGACCTAGTTTAATGGTCTCATATTTCTGCACCTTGGGAGCTGCCGCTGGTGAGTCTTGTTCCCAGTTCTATCAATAATTTTCCTCTTATTTACATCCCACTTAAGTTTGAATGTTGCTTGAGATTTATTGAATAAGTTGTAACGTATATTGTATAATTTGATATTCAATTTATTTGTAAATTAACGCCATTACATTGAAAAGACATTTGTAAATTTGTAACTGTTCATTGTCAGTCAGGCATGGAGTGTCTGGCCTCAGGTTTCTTAGGCAGACTTTATTTACCAAGTATATTTAACCCATCAGTTAAGACTATACAATAATTCTGGAAGCTATGACCATCATTATTAATTTTAATGTTTTTAATGATGTTAAGTTGATCAAGACACCAACATCAAAATTTCATGGTCTTTTTCCACACTTGTATGTGTTAGCCACAATTACCTGTTGCCAGCTCCCCGTGCTGAACTGTCTGTTGCTTCTGTCACTACAGTCTCTTGTCAGGTTCTCAACTCTAATATAATTTCTTACAATGGTAATACTTGGTCTAGTCATAGCAGGAACTTAATGAAATTTCTCTGCACTCTGCCATATTCTCCATTGCATCTCTTGTGTACCCACCTCCCACTCTAGTTGCACATTATTGGGTAGCTGCCAACACCTCTTACAGACAGCACATGACCTTTTTCCACCTCTGGTCCCGTGCTAACACCTCTAATCAATACTTTTGTTTTTGTCAAATTCACTCTCCGGCCCTTTGACTATTCCATTTCTCCACGGCCTTTTCTTTATCATCTGCTCTCAGCGCTAAGTCATCAGCGTAGGCCAATCCGGGTTAGGGTCATCACGTACCCAAAAAAGTTAACTCGTACCCACGCCAACTCGTACCCAGGTAATTCGTACCTAACTCATGAGAATAGTCATACCCAAGATTACTTACACCCAATTCAATAAATAATCTGTACCTATTAGTATATATATATATATATATATATATATATATATATATATATATATATATATATATATATATATATATATATATATATATATATATATATATATATATATATATATGTGTATATCATGCATTTTAGCTTTATCTATGATTACAAAAAAAAAGATTATGTTAATCTTGTAGGAAAGTGCAGTTGATTAGTGACATGTAATGCATAGCTTTGAAATACTGACATACTAAGTAGGTTAGTATTAACATAAGAACTTAAGAGTGGAGGAAACTGCAGCGGGCCTATTGGCCCATACTGGGCACTCCCATTTACACCCAACCCCTATTGCTCATATATCCATCCAACCTATTTTTGAAGCTATCCAGCGTATTCGAGTTAATGATGATGTTTGGTGACTTGTTTCAGTCGTCAACTACTCTATTTCCAAACCAATGTTTACCTATTTTGTGCCTAAATCTAAATTTGTCTAATTTAAAACCATTGTTACGAGTTCGCTCCTGGTTGGATAGTTTGAGTACCTTTGTAATGTCCCCTTTGTTTAGCCTTGACTTCCATTTATACACCTCGATCACATCGCCCCTCACTCTACGTCTCTCAAGGGAGTGAAAATTAAGATGTTTTAACCTGTCTCTACACTCAAAGTTCCTAATGCCCGGGATTCTATATTCATTCTGTAATCCGGTGACCAGAACTGAACTGCGTAATCTAAGTGAGGTCTCACAAGTGTAAGATATAGTTTTAGGATGACCACCGCTAGTCTCGTAACTAACACTCCTTTGTGTGAATCCAAGTACTTTATGAGCCTTCTTTTGAGTAAATACACATTGTTTACTTGGCTTAAGATTCCTACTTATCATTACTCCTAAACCTTTCTCGCTGTCTGATTTCTCTATAACATCGTTGTTCATCTGGTATCTGGTTTCTCTGTTTACATTTCCTAGAATAAGTACTTTATATTTACCCAAAATTAATTTCATCTGCCATTTTTCAAACCATTCAAAAAATTTGTTAACATCTTCCTGTAGTTTTGAGGAGTCCTCGTCAGATTTAATTACACGCCCTATTTTAGTGTCATCAGCAAATTTACTTATGTTGCTGGCTACTCTGATATCTATGCCATTTATTTATACTTGTATAATAAATAATAATTGTCCAAGTACTGAGCCTTGGGGTACTCCACTAGTGATGTTGCTCCAACCGGATTTAGTGCCGTCACACAAACATTGCACTACAGGTACTGAACGTGACAGGGCTGAAACGGTACTGGAGTTATGAAAGAAGTCCGAGCTTATATTCAAAGCTGAACTCGCTCACATAGGATTAGTGGACCTCCAAAAATGAGAGATTAGCATGGTTAGTGACCCAGGCGGCATGCCTTTGATCATCCGATGTCGCATCCTTCGATAGTCGCGTATCACAAAGTCTCCGAGTAACCTGACTGATACATGACCATCGAAGGACGTGACGTCGGAACATCAAAGGGATGCCGCTTGGAAGTTCTGCAGTCGACTTATATGCCAAAAATGGGCCTAATTCAAACTTTAAACCTGAAAATAATAGGATTGACTTATACGCTGCAATATGCGGTATACTGTATTCTTGTATATATATATCGTAAATTGGGTACGAGTTATCTTGCAATTGGGTACGACTTGACATGTTCTGGTGGGTACGATCTACTTGGATACGAGCCGTCCAGCACCCGGCCGACCCTAGTTATGCTATATTGCATCCAACAGAATTATTGTTTAGTTCTGTCGGTACTTCATTATAATCTTCAGCATTATTGAAGTGGTGAAGATGAATGAGTGTGTGTGTGTGTATCCTGACAGGTGAGGCTGACCAGCGGGTGAAGAAGATGATGGGTGTCCGGGGGAAGGTGTCAGCCGAGTGGAAGAAGAGGGTCAAGTCAGAGTACACGCGGCTCAGGTCACTCAAGAGATTCAAACGTGCCGACGAAATCAAGGCCGCGTGGAATGACAATCGAGCCAAGTTAACTGGTAAGTGGTAACTGAGTCAAGCTGATTAGTAACATAGCATATTGGAAGTTATTCAGGTTTTATGAGTATTCATTTCATTACAGTGTTTTGCAGGGATTATTTGTGTGATGAGTCAAGGTTCATGTAGAAATACTTTAATAATGTAGGATTAAATTTTGGAGTAGTTATGAAACTCTTAATAACTGATGGAGTAGCATTTTTTGGGGTAGTAAAATGTTTAATTTCGGGAATTAACTTGGAGTTGTTTTTGTATCCAATAAAACTTTAAGTACAGTACTGTACACCAGGATGAAGTCACAACGATGGCTTCTTGATACTTAATGACTTACTACAGTATTCTCTCTCATTTTTTGTGCATATTTAATAGACAAGATGTTGCTGACCCACAAGCCTGGTAAATGGTGATGACAATAGTTAGATGGGTAATATTTTGTAGCTCAGTAGAGGAAGAAGATAAATTTGTGAATTATTGTGTTTCTGGATGTTCATAAACAGTTTGTAAATAGTCTTGAAGATGATGTGTGGTGTGACCTAACTGGGGAATAAATGTTGTAATTTGTGTAGGTAATATAGCACTGAACTTTACTGTAAGTCACCCGGTGAGGTGCACCAGGAATGTTCCTCAATAATTTCTCAATGAAAATACCTTGTCATGAAGCCCAGTTCTTGGAATCAGTTATTGTTTTTCAGATTTTATATTTTGTTTTTATAATTTGAGATTCATAATGTTTTCACCTTTGTAAAGAAATATTATTGTTTTTTAATAATTTTCCAGACTTGTTAGAGCAAGAGGATCAGACAGTGATTGGGATGGGACCTGTGTGGGTGTGTTCTGTGGAGGCTCCTCCCCACCAGGCAGTGATGAGACGCACCCACATAACTTCCTCTAGTGGAGAACCCCTCTCTGTCCCTATTAAGACCATCAATGCTGTCAACCCCATCCCTACCATGTATACTTGGGCACCTCTCCAACAGAACTTTATGGTAAGAAGTTATTATCATGCATATATACATACAGTGAGTTCTGCTATAACGCGTGTTTTGATAAAGCGAATTTGCTCTAACGCGATTTATGAATTCGGAACAATATTTGTATAACGCGATCGCTTGTTTGCTATAACGCGATTTTTGCTTACTATTTCTCCAATTTTGTGGTATTAACTGTGAATATGGTAAAGAAGAATATCTCCAAAAAGCATTCTGATGATAGAATTCCCGGTGATTATCGTAAAAGAAAGGATATAACACTTGAAGAGAAGCTTGATGTTATCAACCTCAAAATCACCCTTCTCCCCCATCAAGTTACATTCATATTTTTTCAAGGTAAAGTGTTAAATTTACTGTATGATTTCATTATTAGATATGAATGTAACATTTATTTAGACTGTGCTATCCTTTGTGTTAGGCTAACTACTAAATTTTTTTCGATTTCGAGTAATCTGCACCTAACCCTATTTTCTCCATAAGCCCTGTTATTTCTATTACGCGATTTTCTATAACACGATATTTTACAAGAACACAATTATCGCGTTATAGCAGAACTACCTGTACTTGGGTACCTCTATAACACAACTCTATTATAAGAGGTTATTATCATACATATCAATTCATCTTAAAATGGTCACATATCCCTGATGTCATGGGGTACTTTTCAGTTTTTTATATTTTGTGTTTGTGTTTAAAGAATTACAATAATGTGACTTGACAAATTTGTGAGCTATTGTTTTCAGTGTTGGTATTAAGCAGTTCTAGCTTAAAACTTTTTATTTTTTTTGTATCATTTCAGGTTGAAGATGAAACTGTTCTTCACAATATTCCATACATGGGTGATGAAGTCCTGGACCAAGATGGTAAATTTATTGAGGAACTGATCCGCAACTATGATGGCAAGGTTCATGGTGACCGAGAGACTGGCTTTATAGACGATGAAATATTTGTTGAGCTTGTTGACACTCTGGTGCAACAGTATCAGGTGAGTTTGTATCACCATCATCATTATTAATCATTGTAAATCATCATCATCAAAAATCAATCCCGGTATTAATTGATAACATAAGCAAAATAATGAAAATTTTCACAAATTTTATCTGAATTAGAATAAGGAAGTACTTGTATGACAAATTTTTTATTCTTAGTATTCTTGCTACAGGCTCTGATTACAGTAAAAAAAACTTTGGTAACAAGTACAGAATCTACTGTATACAGTACTGTACTTATGTCAGACTAAAATAATTCCATCTCTGTTGTTCAAAACAGCTAAGAAAAAAGTTCTTTGGAGTATAAAGCTTCCTATTGACTGTATCATATCATACATACAGTATCTCAAAAATATAAAATAAATTTATTTTTATCGACAGTAAACAATTGAACTACCATATATTGTGGTCTTTCAGTCGACTTTTGAAGCTCCATTTTATTTTTTTCATAACGAGAGGTCGTCTTACACAACAGGTATAAGATGTCAACCTCTAAGTACGCTCCACCACTAGCATCAGATTTTCACTTTAACTTACTGATAGGTCTCAATCACTTAATTTCCAACACTCACAAACAAATTGTACCTAACTAGCATTTTCCCAGAAGGGTAACTGTTACTGAACTTGGCCTATATTATGATAAGTTCATGTTTATAAGTGATGGACATGTTAATATTAAATAAATTTGAGGTTTGCAGCTGTTTTCAGTGAAGGGGTAGCTCATTTCTTATTTGGAATGGATGTCTTGTTGTTATAGAAAAAAGAGATGGGAAAGGACAAAAGTGATAGGAGAAGTATTGGGAGGAAGGAGACCAAGACAAAAGATAAAGAAGATGATGAAGAAGAAGAGGAAGAGGAGGAGGAGGAAGAAGAAGAACAAGACGACGAAGAAGAAAATAATTCACGAAATAAAGAGGTATGTTGGAAGAAATATTTTTGTAAGTTTGTCTACCACTATCAAGTTACAAGTACAGAGCATGCACAAGGTCCTGTTACCCCCCTCTTGAATCTGATATTTGAACACACAAGACTTGTGAATTAAAACATTGAACACATGAGGGAGGAATATGGGAACTCTACACGTGCGAGTTGTGATTCGAAATTGAATGCACTAGTGTTTAGCTATGTTTTAACCCCTACGCCCCAGTTGACATTTCGGAACATTCATCTAGGGCGCCCCGGTTAACGTTCCGGAACGCACGCCTTTTCACTCCATTGTTTGAAAGCCCAGTGCAGGTCATGAGGTTCCAGCATGGCTATTTGGTGGTCACGCAGGGTAGCATGGGTGGGCTCAGTGCAGTTAGTACGCATTAGCCCGTCCCCATGGAGAGTTGTACCTCAACCTCTCAGGCTAAAAGTACTGTAGTGTAGTATTACTGGAAAATAATGCTACGATTGTTATAATTGTATATATTTGTGGAATTATAATTCCGATAATTATTTATAGGCATTACTTGCTCTCCCAAACACAAAGACAGCCTGGTGACAGACTGCGTGTGTCGCCGAGCACTTTTTATATAGTAATGCAAATGAAATATATTCTAAATGAATTATTTATAGGAAATAAGAATTATGATCAGTAAATATTTGCATTACTGGCCATCCCGGATACATAGGCAAGCAGAAAATGGCCGTCAAGTGCGTAGTGACCACAAGCGCTAGCTGTCAAACAAGCTGTCCCCTTATCTCCTTCAGCACTGCTGCCTCAGGGAAGTTTCTAGAGGGTCAATATATAGTTTTTGTTGCTTATTTTTTATTGTTTTATCATTTAAAAAGGTTAAAAGTAATTTTGAAAACGTTGACCTTTCTCGATTTACCCCGTGTGGGGGGGGGGGGTACGGCCAACGGCACACCTAGCCCGGGGCGTAGGGGTTAAACCAAGGTGTTATTTGTACTTCCTGTATTTTTGGTGCCTTTATTCCAACTTCGCAGTGGTTCTTTTATTTTGTTTTTTATCTCACAGTACTGTACAGCTACTACTCGACTTACGACCGCCTCAGTCGTACCAAAGTTTTGTCAAATTGCGTATTTTCGAGTCCCGACGTTAGTGATTGCGCTGTGTACTGAAAATTTTTTCGTTTGTAATTCACTTTATAATGGCTGGCAAGTTTAAAAGTGAGAGTTTTGTGGTGCTGAGAAGAAAAAGAGACACCCATTTTAGATTATCTATGTATTATTTAAGCATTTTTGACATGACCAATTCGACTTACGGCCTGGATTTGGGTCCCTAACCCCGTCCTAAGTCGAGAAGCAGCTGTATTATAATTGGCCATCTTAACTAATTCCCAATATTTAGGCTGTCCTCAAGAATACAGGGGGTCTATGTGTTAAATAGTTTTTTATAATATTTGAATTATTATAAATGTAGGGAGATATTTTTTCTAAAATTTTATGTTACATTAATTTTAATAGAAAATGCCTTTTACTAGTAAGTGATTATCGTATAGCATCATATGACTTAAACTTTGTTATGTCAAAAGATGTATAAATCAGTAAATCAATAATTCCCAGATATTTTTATTTATTTATTTATTTATTATATATTTTTACTCCAGGATGAAAGTTGGGATGGTTCAAGCACTTCAGGGACCAAAGACTTCCCATGTGCCTCCATCTTCCAGGCTGTGTCTGCTCTTCCTGATAAAGGTCTCCCAGAAGAACCTAGGAAAAGTATGATATTTACTTTATCTAAAATTATTTTAGGTAATGCAGGTATACTGTATACATCAAGTAACTTGGAGAGAGATATTGTTTGTTTGTTTGTTTATGGCAAAAAAAAGGTGGCTGGTTTCATTGACAATATTTCAAGCAACTTGGCCTCCTTAGCTTGGATTCAGATTCACCATACAAGTAATTAATATTCTTCAGTATTAGTGATGTTAAGGTGCTGCTAGTTGAGGTAGTCAGAAGGTAATTTTTATGCCATTTTGGATGATATATTTTTCTGTTGAATCCTAGCTGTCATTGAAATTTGTCTATACTTCTCCAATTATGGAAATATTTTATAATGTGAACTTTGAAGACTCCAAATCTTGATTCATTTACATTGTGCACTTGTATGCTTTCTTGGTGTCTAGTTGTTACAGTTTCATCATTAGCATTCCATTCTTAACTTGGAAGAGTACTTTTTTTTACTTTTACAAATATATTTATTTTGTGATGTAAAGTGGCTGGAACAAAGAACTGCCTCAGGTTCTTCCTTCTTTAACTCTCCTTTATATTTATTAACTGCCTCAACAGATTTATTGTGCTATATTATTCCCTGTCACATCCAAGCCCTATATCTGTTTTGTTTATCTCAGATGTTTCACACAGCCCAGTTCACCCAGCAGCTGCATATCCATTCACAGAACCACTTCACACCCTGCCCATACATGGACTGTGAATGCGGTCAATTTTGACGTGTTGGATGGTGTTCAAAGTTGTGTATTTGTGTGTGTGTGGAGACTGTGGCTTGTGTGAGAGATATACTTAAGTTGTGTGCTTTTTATTTATTAAGGCTATGGTTAACATTTTGCAGATATATAGAACTAACTGACCCAACGGCACTTCCGCCTGAATGTACTCCTAACATCGATGGGCCAAATGCTGAGAGTGTCCCTCAGGAACAAACAATGCACTCCTTCCACACACTCTTTTGCAGACGATGCTTCAAATACGACTGTTTTCTGCAACTGTGAGTTCTTCCTCTATACAGTATTTTAGTTTTTTATTTTGCCAGACCTGGTATGCGAAAAGTAATTTGAGTACAGTATTCAGAAACATGTGTCGGTGATACATGAACATTGGTTAGATATTTTTGGGATAGATTATTCTTTCATTATTTTCTCTCCCTTATGAATTTGGGAGGCATTTTATTATTTATTTGTAGAAAACAATTCATACATTTGTGTTGGGTTTCTTAAAAAGTGGATTCATACTTAGTAAGGAGGACATACTGTGTTAAGAATATTGGGACATTAAGATATTTTAGTTATGATGAAGAAATTTATGAAAACATTTGAAATGAAACGGCAAGTAATCCCTATAGATATTTAGGGCGTTAATGTGAAGGAAGTTTAGCAGTGGATTACTTGTGGATTGAACGTAGCAAAGCGGTCTTTAGGTGCTGTCTTGTTTCATAACTTAGCTCTCCCAGCGTAAAAAGCTCTGGAATGAAAAAGAAAAGAAGTGATAAAGATTAAACAGTATGGTGTGTTAAAAATGGTTTGAGGGTGCAAAAAGAACTGGTTAGGAAAAGGTACCATCATGTTGGGAGTAGGAGAGAGCATTTAGGTTGAACAGCAGTGTGAGAGAGCATTTAGGTTGAACAGCAGTGTGAGAGAGCATTAAAGTTGAACAGCAGTGTGAGAGCATTTAGGTTGAACAGCAGTGTGAGAGAGCATTTAGGTTGAACAGCAGTGTGAGAGAGCATTTAGGTTGAACAGCAGTGTGAGAGAGCATGAAGGAAACAGCAGCGTAAGAGAGCATTAAAGCTGGACAGTGTGAGAGAGCATGAGGTTGAACAGCAGTGTGGAGAGAGCATTTAGGCGGAAATAGCAGTGTGAGAGAGCATTTAGGAAGGAAACAGCAGTGTGAGAGAGCATTTAGGTTGAACAGTGTGAGAGAGCATTTAGGCGGTTCAGCAGTGTAGAGAGCATAAAGGAACAGCAGGGAGAGAGCATGGGTTGAACAGCAGTGTGAGAGAGCATTTGTGGAGGAAGCATTAAGATGGAGGAATGTGTGGAGAGTTATGGCCAGTAGTGCTGTTACTTGATGTGTTCTGAAAGTAAGACCTCAAGTTGATGACTGACCCTTGAGGAGAGAGGATATTACTTGAGCCCTGTGAGCACAATTGTCTGTAGACATATGTACTCAAGTGAGCTCTTGTAGATATTTTTCTGCCCTTTTTTTGTAGTAGTGGCTATGGAGTGAAGTAGATGAATAAGGAGTTAACAACAATTCATCAAACTGGATGGGGATTTTGGTGAACATTATCTGGGTATTAAGATAATATATGTCAAGTAGGTACCTGCACTGTAGAAGTTGTTGCAGTCATTATAAGGATTGTAGTTGATTCCTTCATATATTTAGTAGTCATGGTATGGAGTAAAAATAAAATGATTCACTTGAAGGAATGTACAGTGTACAGTGGCTTTTTCCAGTATTTTCAGGTATTATGGAATTTGGCACCGAGTTGATCCACCTTTTAAATTACCCTATACAGTATTGACTTATTTTGAAGTACAAGAAAATTGTAAAATGTAATTTCTTGAAAAGGGATTTAGTCTGGGGTGAGGAAATAGTTGTGCATAGTTAGTATATATTAACTGGCACTTTTATTTTATTTGCAAAATTCATTCATCTATGAGACATTATTAACACAACTTCATAAACATCTGTTGTATAAATGTCTCTTTAAAAGTTTCTGGGGATGAGAGGGTTAGCACCTAGACCACTGCATGGCTGGTGGAGAGTTGCTGGAGTGGCTTCTCAGTTTGGGATTAATTGATATACATGTTAAAAGTTAGTGCTATTGACATTTTCTACTTAATATGTATTTATAGGAGCGGCTGTACAGGGTGTCTCATAGGTCAGGTGTGCTATAGTGTACAGGGTGTCTCATAGGTCAGGTGCTATAGTGTACAGGGGGTGTCTCATAGGTCAGGTGCACACCATACAGAGTGTCTTATAGGATTACACACACTATACAGTACAGGGTGTCTCTATAGGTCAGGTGCTATAGTGTACAGGGTGTCTCATAGGCACAGGTGCTATAGTACAGGGTGTCTCCAGGTCAGGTGCTATAGTGCAATAACTATGGTCAGGGTGCTATAGTGTACAGGGTGTCTGTAGGTCAGGTGCTATAGTGTACAGGGTGTCTCATAGGTTGGTGCTATAGTGTACAGGGTGTCTCATAGATCACACACTATACAGTACAGGGTGTCTCATAGGTCAGGTCATACACACAAGTAGGTGTCTACTGTCACCTCACAAAACAGTACAGGGTGTCTCATAGGTCAGGTGCATACAGTGTACAGGGTGTCCATAGGTTACACAATGCTATAGTACAGTGCAGGGTGTCTCATAGGTCACAGGTGCTATAGTGTACAGAGGTGTCTCATAGGTCAGGTGCTATAGTGTGCATAGATTTTACACACCATACAGTACAGGTGTCTCTTAGATTACACACACCATACTACAGAAAGGGTGTCTCATGGTCACAGGTGTTGACCAGGTACAGGGTGTCTCAGGGTGTGTCACTGGATTACCACCATAGTGTAAGGAGTGTCTCATAGGGTCTCAGGGTGTCTCATAGGTCACAGGTGCCATAGTGTACAGGGGTGTCTCATAGGTCACACACACCACTTTAGTACAAGGTGCTGATCACACATAGTGTACAGGGTGTCTCATAGGCACACCCATAGTGTACAGGGTGTCTCATAGGTCAGGTGCTGTAGTGTACAGGTGTCTCATAGGTCACAGTGCACAGGGTGTCTCATAGGTCAGTACAGAGGTGTCTCATAGGTCAGGTGCTGTCTCATAGGTACAGTACAGGGTGTCTCTTTAGGTTACCAGGTCCATACATTTTGGGGTGTCTCATAGGGTGCCTACACACACCATACAGTACAGGGTGTCTCATAGGTCAGGGTGCTATAGTGTACAGAGGTGTCTCATAGGTCAGGTGCTGTAGTGTGCAGGGTGTCTCATAGGTCAGGTGCTATAGTAGCAGGGTGTACAGGTGCTGTAGTGTCTCATAGGGTCACACACACACACTATAGTACTATAGGGGTGTCTCATAGGTCACAGGTGCTATAGTGTGCAGAGTGATTGTCTGGGTTACCTACAGTACAGGTCAGGGGGTGCTATAGTGTGCAGAGTACAGGGGTGTCTCATAGGTCAGGTGCTATAGTGTACAGGGTGTCTCATAGGTCAGGTGCTATAGTGTACAGAGGTGTCTCATAGGTCAGGTGCTATAGTGTGTGTCTCATAGGTTACACACACACCATGTACAGAGATGTCTCATAGGTTACTGTACAGGGTGTCTCATAGAGTTACAGGGGAGGGTGTCTCATAATTTTACACACCATACTGTACAGGGTGTCTCATAGATTCAGTGTACAGGGTGTCTCATAGCATTACAGTGTCAGGTGTCTCTTATAGGTCAGTACAGAGTGTCTCATAGGTCAGGTGCTATAGTGTACAGAGGTGTCTCATAGGTCAGGTGTGCTATAGTACAGGGTACAGTGGTGTCTCATAGGTCACAGTGCTATAGTGCAGGGTGTCTCATAGGTCAGGTGCAGTGCAGAGTGTCTCATAGGTCAGGTACAGTACAGGGGTGTCTCATGGGTTACCGCACAGTGTACAGAGTGTCTCATGGGTCAGGTGCTATAGTGTACAGGTGTCTCACACAGGTGCACAGTGTACAGAGTGTCTCATAGGTTACACACACACCATAGTGTGCAGGGTGTCTCATAGGTCAGGTGTGCTATAGTGTACAGAGTGTCTCCATAGGTCAGGTGCTATAGTACAGAGTGTCTCATAGGTCAGGTGCTATAGTGTACAGGGTGTCTCATAGGTCAGGTGCTATAGTCCACAGAGTGTTTCATAGGTCAGGGTGCTATAGTGTGCAGGGTGTCTCATAGGTCAGGTGCTATAGTGCAAGCAGGGTGTCTCATAGGTCACACACTATAGTGTACAGTACAGGGTGTCTCAGGGTCAGGTGCTATAGTGTACAGAATTGTCTCATACACACACCATCACCAGGTGCTATAGTGTACAGGGTGTCTCATAGGTCAGGTGCTATAGTGTACAGGGTGTCTCATAGGTCAGGTGCTATAGTGTACAGGGTGTCTCATAGGTCAGGTGCTATAGTGTGCAGGGTGCCTCATAGGTCAGGTGCTATAGTGTACAGGGTGTCTCATAGGTCAGGTGCTATAGTGTGCAGGGTGCCTCATAGGTCAGGTGCTATAGTGTACAGGGTGTCTCATAGGTCAGGTGCTATAGTGTACAGGGTGTCTCATAGGTCAGGTGCTATAGTGTACAGGGTGTCTCATAGGTCAGGTGCTATAGTGTGCAGGGTGCCTCATAGGTCAGGTGCTATAGTGTGCAGGGTGTCTCATAGGTCAGGTGCTATAGTGTACAGGGTGTCTCATAGGTCAGGTGCTATAGTGTACAGGGTGTCCTTTTCCATAACTCATGAAATGTGTGTGACAAACTCTCACTGTACTACACTGTACCTTCCTCATGACCACAACATTGTATATCTACCAATTAGTTTATATAGGTATACACTTACACACTATCCCAAGGGTAAATCAGCCAGTCAATTCATGTGTTGCTGTGTAAATAAAAATCTTACTATTTATTGTGATAATACAAAGTTTTTTTTTAATTTTGATAGTCATAAAAATATATTTAAATTTAATTATTAAGGATACAATCCCTTATGTATTATTTATATTTTTACATACATACTATAGGTCTTTATACAACTGCATTTTGTGGTATGAATGATATTAGAATGCTTTTTAATTGTACATTATATTGTAAGACTAATATATTTTGAAGTATATATATGTATGCTAAAATATGTTAACATTTGTAAAATTTTTGGTGATTCAAGTGTAAAATATGTGTGGGTTATTTTGTATATTTGGTGTGTGTGTGTGCGTGCGTGTGTGCGTGCATGCATGCGTGTGTGTGTGTGCGTGTGTGTGTCCCATGGTGTTAGTCTTCAACATTTCTCACAGTTTAGGCATTCTTGGAAATCTTGTAGAGTAGTTGGTTGAAAGGAGATTATATTCATGAAAAATTTTGCTGATAGCTGGGCAGGATGTGTGCAAGGGTTTGGTAGACTGCAAAATAGTGAATGGAGCAAAGAAATTTGTTTATTGGTCTAAGTTTTGCCTCTACAGTATTTGTCAGTTGGTGAGCGAGTTATGCCGCTACATTACTCCTTTTATTACCTTTTTCATTGTTTAGTGTAATGAAATTGCTTCAGGTGAATCTTACTTTTTCACTGGAAATTTTCTGTTATATTTAACATGAAAAAGAAAGATATAGGGCAGTGTATGTGGCAATGCAACTTACTTAACAACCATCAGTCAGTTAGCCTCTACAAACGGTAATGGCAACCTTAGAATACCTTGAGTGAGTGAACCTTATATGAGAAGTCTGTTGTTGTTTTATCTTGAAGAATGTTGAAGCAGTTAGTTCCAGTGGAGTGATATATGGATATATTTTGAGAGTTTTTCTGACATTTTAACTTCACAGAGGAAAATGAGTCCTCTATTGTAGTATTTATTTTGCTTGTGTGAATGTACATTTGTGAGTATTTTATTTAGTAATGGGCTATAGGTATTGGATATGTTATGATGATCATTATGTTGTTGAGAAGTGAATACCTGCATAGAAGTGATTGTAATATGCATCTTGTGAATGTTTATTGGATGTGTTTTAAATGAAATATGCTGTATAAATGAATTTGCTTATTATATATGTTTTCTGAAAGTTGATGAGAACCATAATTCTCTTAAAAAAAATTTTTATTTAAAAAAAATTGACTGGTATCTTGGTTTGTGCATGAAATTATCATGTGATGGTTGCGTCCATATGAGATGAAGCTGGGAGATGCAAGACTAAGGTGGAAAGTGCTATGTAGTTGTGAGGGCTTTCCAGGAGTAGGTGAAATCTTTGATAACAACGAATTCGAACATCCTAGATATTCCTATCGGCAGTGATTCGACCCAGACGTACCTAAAAGAACAAAATTAAGAATGACACGTCCAAAGTGATCAATTCATTGGAGCAAATACTTGAACTGTGCGGGACTCTTGGATAGCCTAAACAGAAATGGTGGTTGAATGCAAGACTCAAACAGTGAAAGCCGCGCGTGACTTTGTGAGTTTGCCCGGGTTGAGGACCACTAAGTCTTACAGTGTAATCTTCCCTACAGCCACCAAGGGAAGCACAGACGCCCCAGGTAAGGGAAAGCGAGTCTTCCCCGAGCGTCTTGCGGCCACCTTGCTAGTTCTCCCACCGTGGGGCACCGCTCCCTTGGCCCCCCCGTAGGAACAGTGTAACTTGGGGCTGACCTATACTGGGGGCAAGCTTGATCATAATGGTTATGGGAAGCTTCTTAGTTTTTCTTCTGCTTTTAAATAACAAATGGAAAGATGCTGTTTTACATGCATGTTTAGCTTCAAGTTTGTGGCTCCCATATGTTGTGCCTCATATGACCTGTGACCCTTGACTAGGTGATGACATGTGACCCTTGACTAGGTGATGACCTGTGACCCTTGACTAGGTGATGACCTGCGACCCTTGACTAGGTGATGACCTATGACCCTTGACTAGGTGATGACATGTGACCCTTGACTAGGTGATGACCTGCGACCCTTTACTACTTGATGACCTGTGACCCTTGACTAGGTGATGACCTGTGACCCTTTACTACTTGATGACCTGTGACCCTTTACTAGTTGATGACCTGTGACCCTTTACTAGTTGATGACATGTGACCCTTGACTAGGTGATGACCTTTTACCCTTTACTACTTGATGACCTGTGACCCTTGACTAGGTGATGACCTGTGACCCTTGACTAGGTGATGACATGTGACTTGATGACCTGTGACCCTTGACTAGGTGATGACCTGTGACCCTTTACTAGGTGATGACATGTGACCCTTTACTAGTTGATGACATGTGACCCTTGACTAGGTGATGACCTTTTACCCTTTACTACTTGATGACCTGTGACCCTTGACTAGGTGATGACCTGTGACCCTTGACTAGGTGATGACATGTGACCCTTTACTAGTTGTTGACATGTGACCCTTTACTAGGTGATGACCTGTGACCCTTGACTAGGTGATGACATGTGACCCTTTACTAGGTGATGACATGTGACCCTTGACTAGGTGATGACCTTTTACCCTTTACTACTTGATGACCTGTGACCCTTGACTAGGTGATGACCTGTGACCCTTGACTAGGTGATGACCTGTGACCCTTGACTAGGTGATGACCTGTGACCCTTTATGACCTGTGACCCTTGACTAGGTGATGACATGTGACCCTTTACTAGGTGATGACATGTGACCCTTGACTAGGTGATGACCTTTTACCCTTTACTACTTGATGACCTGTGACCCTTGACTAGGTGATGACCTGTGACCCTTGACTAGGTGATGACCTGTGACCCTTGACTAGGTGATGACCTGTGACCCTTTACTAGGTGATGACCAGACCCTTGACTTGGTGATGACATGTGACCCTGACTAGGTGGGATGACCTGTGACCTTTACTAGGTGATGACATGACCTTGGATCAGGTGATGACCTGTGACCCTTTATGAGGTGATGACCTGTGACCCTTGACTAGGTAATGACATGTGACCTTTACTAGGTGATGACCTGTGACCCTTTACTAGGTGATGAAGTATCCCTTGACTAGGTGATGACCCAGACCCTTACTACGAGGTGATGACCTGTGACCCTTGACTAGGTGATGACCTGTGACCCTTTACTAGGTGATGACCTGTGACCCTTGACTAGGTGATGACCATGACCCTTTACTATGATGACCTGTGACCATGTGACCCTTGACTAGGTGATGACCTGTGACCCTTGACTAGGTGATGACATTGACCCTTTACTAGGTGATGACATGTGACCCTTTACTAGGTGATGACCTGTGACCCTTTACTAGTGATGACATGTGACTTTGACTAGGTGATGACCTGCTGATGACCTGTGACCCTTTACTAGGTGATGACATGTGACCCTTTACTAGGTGATGACCTGTGACCCTTTACTAGGTGATGACATGTGACCCTTTACTAGTTGATGACATGTGACCCTTTACTAGGTGATGACATGTGACCCTTTACTAGGTGATGACCTGTGACTCTTTGACGAGGTGATGACATGTGACCCATTACTAGGTGATGACCTGTGACCCTTTACTAGGTGATGACCTGTGACCCTTTACTAGGTGATGACCTGTGACCCTTTACTAGGTGATGACCTGTGACTCAACCTAGTAATGACCTGTGACCTTTGACCTGGTGATGACCTCTACTAGGGGATGACCTGTGATGTGACTTGGTTATGACTTGTGATCCTGGATTGGGTGATGACCTGTGACCCTTGACCTGGTGATGACCTTTGACTTGGTGATTTCCTGTGACTTTTGAACTGGTGATTACCTCTGACCTTTGAACTGGTGATTCCCTGTGACCTCTGAACTGGTGATGATCTCTGACCTTTGACCTGCTTATTACCTGTGACTTTTGATCTGGTGATAACCTGTGACTTGACCTGGTGATAACCTTTGACCTTGTGATGATCTGTGACCCTGACCTGGTGATGACCCGTTGACTCCATCATCACCTTGACAGTGGACATAATAATAATAACCTTTCAGCTTTGGTCTGTGGCCTAATGGATGACCTCATTTATTACTTTCAACCTGTGGTAATTATTTTACCTGTGTATTGATGTATAAGGTTATATACTGTAGTGTCTGGCTAGTAACATGTCTGGCTAGTAACATGTCTGGCTAGTAACATGTCTGGATGGTGACATGTGTCTGCCTAGTGACATGTCTGCCTAGTGACATGTCTGGCTGGTGACATGTGTCTGCCTTGTGACATGTATCTGGCTGGTAACATGTGTCTGGCTAGTGACATGTGTCTGGCTGGTGACATGTGTCTGGCTAGTGACATGTGTCTGGCTGGTGACATGTGTCTGGCTAGTGACATGTGTCTGGCTGGTGGCATGTGTCTGGCTAGTGACATGTGTCTGGCTGGTGACATGTGTCTGGCTAGTGACATGTGTCTGGCTGGTGACATGTGTCTGGCTAGTGACATGTGTCTGGCTGGTGACATGTGTCTGGCTAGTGACATGTGTCTGGCTGGTGACATGTGTCTGGCTGGTAACATGTGTCTGGCTAGTGACCTGTGTGGCTCATGACCTGTTTCAAAAGCTGGTGATGATCAGTGACCCGTGTTGGCTCAAATTGTTGACTAATAACATTACCAGTGACCTCTAACAGTGTGTCATATGTTCCATGGAGTGTGACTTATGACGAGATTCACAACTTAATGTGTAGGTCAGACAATAGAAGGAATAATACTGTGTAGGTCAGACAATAGAAGGAATAATGCTGTGTAGGTCAGACAATAGAAGGAATAATACTGTGTAGGTCAGACAATAGAAGGAATAATACTGTGTAGGTCAGACAATAGAAGGAATAATGCTGTGTAGGTCAGACAATAGAAGGAATAATACTGTTTAGGTCAGACAATAGAAAGAATAATACTGTGTAGGTCAGACAATAGAAGGAATAATGCTGTGTAGGTCAGACAATAGAAGGAATAATACTGTTTAGGTCAGACAATAGAAGGAATAATACTGTGTAGGTCAGACAATAGAAGGAATAATACTGTTTAGGTCAGACAATGGTAGGAATAATACTGTAGGTCAGACAATAGAAGGAATAATACTGTGTAGGTCAGACAATAGAAGGAATAATACTGTAGGTCAGACAAGGTGGAAGGAATAATACTGTTTAGGTCAGACAATAGAAGGAATAATACTGTGTAGGTCAGACAATAGAAGGAATAATACTGTAGGTCAGACAATAGAAGGAATAATACTGTGTAGGTCAGACAATAGAAGGAATAATACTGTAGGTCAGACAATAGAAGGAATAATGCTCTTTAGGTCAGACAATTGAAGGAATAATACTGTTTAGGTCAGACAATAGAAGGAATAATACTGTTTAGGTCAGAATGGTAGGAATAATACTGTAGGTCAGACAATAGAAGGAATAATACTGTTTAGGTCAGACAATAGAAGGAATAATGCTGTTTAGGTCAGACAATTGAAGGAATAATACTGTTTAGGTCAGACAATAGAAGGAATAATACTGTTTAGGTCAGACAATGGTAGGAATAATACTGTAGGTCAGACAATAGAAGGAATAATACTGTGTAGGTCAGACAATAGAAGGAATTAAACTGTAGGTCAGACAATGGAAGGAATAATACTGTTTAGGTCAGACAATAGAAGGAATAATACTGTGTAGGTCAGACAATAGAAGGAATAATACTGTAGGTCAGACAATAGAAGGAATAATACTGTGTAGGTCAGACAATAGAAGGAATAATACTGTAGGTCAGACAATAGAAGGAATAATGCTCTTTAGGTCAGACAATTGAAGGAATAATACTGTTTAGGTCAGACAATAGAAGGAATAATACTGTTTAGGTCAGAATGGTAGGAATAATACTGTAGGTCAGACAATAGAAGGAATAATACTGTTTAGGTCAGACAATAGAAGGAATAATGCTGTTTAGGTCAGACAATTGAAGGAATAATACTGTTTAGGTCAGACAATAGAAGGAATAATACTGTTTAGGTCCAGACAATGAGAAGGAATAATACTGTTTGGGTCAGACAATGGTAGAATAATACTGTAGGTCAGACAATAGAAGGAATAATACTGTGGGTCCGGACAATAGAAGAATAATACTGTAGGTCCAGACAATGGAAGAATAATACTGTTTAGGTCAGACAATAGAAGGAATAATATTACTGTGGCAGGTCAGACAATAGAAGGAATAATACTGTTTTAGGTCAGACAATAGAAGGAATAATGCTGTAGGTCCAGACAATAGAGAATAATACTGTAGGTCAGGAACAATGGAAGGAATAATACTGTTGGGTCGAACAATGGTGGGAATAATGCTGTGTAGGTCGAACAATAGAGAAGGGAATAATGCTATTATTGGAATTAAAGACAATAGAAGGAATAATACTATGCGTCAGACAATAGAAGGAATAATGCTGTTTAGGTCAGACAATTGAAGGAATAATACTGTTTCCAGATTCAGACAATAGAGAGAATAATGCTGTTTGGGTCAGATAATGGTAGGAATAATGCCTTAGGTCGAACTAATGAGAAGGAATAATACTGTAGGTCCAGACAATGGGAAGGGAATAATGCTGTAGGTCAGACAATGGAAGGAATAATACTGTAGGTCAGACAATAGAAGGAATAATACTGTAGGTCAGACAATAGAAGGAATAATACTGTAGGTCAGACAATGGAAGGAATAATACTGTAGGTCAGACAATGGAAGGAATAATACTGTAGGTCAGACAATGGAAGGAATAATACTGTAGGTCAGACAATGGAAGGAATAATACTGTAGGTCAGACAATGGAAGGAATAATACTGTGTAGGTCAGACAATAGAAGGAATAATACTGTGTAGGTCACACAATAGAAGGAATAATACTCAGACAATGTAGGTCAGACAATAGAAGGAATAATACTGTTGTAGGTCAGACAATAGAAGGAATAATACTGTGTAGGTCAGACAATAGAAGGAATAATACTGTGTAGGTCACACAATAGAAGGAATAAGACAATAGAAGGAATAATACTGTTTAGGTCAGACAATAGAGGGAATAATACTGTGTACGTCAGACAATAGAAGGAATAATACTGTTTAGGTCAGACAATAGAAGGAATAATACTGTTTAGGTCAGACAATGGAAGGAATAATACTGTAGGTCAGACAATAGAAGGAATAATACTGTAGGTCAGACAATAGAAGGAATAATACTGTAGGTCAGACAATGGAAGGAATAATACTGTGTAGGTCAGACAATAGAAGGAATAATACTGTGTAGGTCAGACAATAGAAGGAATAATACTGTGTAGGTCAGAAAATGGAAGGAATGATACTGTGTAGGTCAGAAAATGGAAGGAATAATACTGTGTAGGTCAGACAATAGAAGGAATAATACTGTAGGTCAGACAATAGAAGGAATAATACTGTGTAGGTCAGACAATAGAAGGAATAATACTGTAGGTCAGACAATAGAAGGAATAATACTGTGTAGGTCAGACAATAGAAGGAATAATACTGTTTAGGTCAGACAATAGAAGGAATAATACTGTAGGTCAGACAATAGAAGGAATAATACTGTGTAGGTCAGACAATAGAAGGAATAATACTGTGTAGGTCAGAAAATGGAAGGAATGATACTGTGTAGGTCAGACAATAGAAGGAATAATACTGTAGGTCAGATAATTGACTTAATGAAATGCTCACTGATATAAGGAGCCTTTCATGTGCACAAGTAATAACTTTAGTGTATGACATTAGAGTTTAACAGGTGGGGCCATGACAGTTAATACCCTCTCAGTCACCCTTTTGCCCAGTCAGTGCGCAAGTAAGTGATAGACTCCAGCGAGCACTCACCTGGGCGGCAGGTGGTGAGTCACACACGCACGGCTATAGGAGATCTTTCACCACGAGGAATGGATATGTTAACACCACAACTATGTCTTAGTCATCTGTATTTTCATTTCAGATGTTGTGATAGGTGTCAATAACTTATAATATGTTTATGTTCAGTCAGGAATTTGAAATTAGTAGTTCTAGTTATGGTATATTTCTCAGCCAGTGTCAGTACAGGTGATAATTATGTATACTGTAGTTGGACTTATCCAGGTCACTTGTCAGTACAGTACAGTATTTACATCTTATTACTATCAACTTTATCACTGTTAATTTTCCTGAAATAAACCTTTTTAAAGATTTTATAAAAAATGTGGGGATAAAATTTGCCAGTGAAAGAGATACCTACTTGCTGTGTGAGTTGATACACTACTGTAGGGCCAACTCACTCCAGTAATGGGATCAAACCTGCCACCTTGAGTTGGTAAGTCAATTTCTTATTTTTGCCATAATGTCTTTCTTGTTGTGGTGTTGACAACTAGCCTATGGCTGATACAGCATAGTGTAGTGTTTTGTGTGAAAGGTAGCCATATATTATAATAATGCTTAAAGAACCATTCTTAGCTGAAGGATTTTTTTAATAAAATAGCTTCTTTCATCAGTCAGTTTTTGCCTCAATTATTGAGTCATAAAATAAAGTACCCTGTAATGCCCAACTTGTGTGTACAGTACAGTATGTCTTCTAGTGGTTTAGATATTGTCTGGCTTGTTATTATCTATAGCTTTCTGCATATGCATAATTGATATTAATTTATAAATTTTGTAAATATAAATTTTTCTATTAAGAACTCTGATAGGGCAAATTTTATGTAAATGATTAAGATATTAGGTGACTTGTGGCCCTTGTCTACTCATAAGATCTTGTTGGTTTTTTTGGGTGCATATATTGCTGTGCCTGAATATCTCATTGTCACGTTTACCATTCAGTGTTAGATGTTTACCATCCCTAGGGCTGCAGCCACCATCCCTGGGGCAGCAGCCACCATCCATAGGTCTGCAACCACCATCCTTGGGGCTGCAACCACAACACAGTGTGTGACACTTATTTGTTATGCTTGCACATGTGAATGTGAATATTTGGTGGTGATATCAAATGCTTCTGCCTTGGCCATATCTGTAGATGCTAGTCTTTATTTCCACTGTGATGATGGTGGATATATTTTAAGTTTTGATTCTAACTTTATTACCCCATCAAAGATTTGTGTGTTTTGAGAATTAATCCATCTTGCCTGCTACTGGGATATGCCTCACCCCATAGATCATGTCACTTCTAAGATCAGCCTAAAACGGAATAGGCAGCAGCACACAGTAGTGATAATGGTCACCAAACATTGTGGTGTGTTCCTCTCTGGGTCTTTGCTGAGCCTCTACATCATGATATTGACACACACAGTTAATCTGTCTTTATAAAATATCCTTATTAAGAAGGTCAATCTTTACTATGTGCTTATGTATTGTAAAGGTTTGTCTTCCCAATATCACAGGTGCTCATCCACACCCACAGACACCATTGGATACCAGATCCACTGTATGATGTTAACAGTTATTGATACACTGCCAAGATGTTAACATTTATTGATCCACTACCATGATGTTAACATTTATTGATCCACTACCATGAAGTTAACAGTTACACACTATTATCATGATAAGAGTACATGTGTGTCATATTCTACAGGGTGACCCATAAGTCCCTGTATGTGTTATTCTACAGGGTGACCCATAAGTCCCTGTATGTATGTGTGTGTGTTCTACAGGGTGACCCATAAGTCCCTATATGTGTGTGTGTGTGTGTGTGTGTTCTACAGGGTGACCCATAAGTCCCTGTACGTATGTGTGTGTGTGTTCTACAGGGTGACCCATAAGTCCCTGTACGGATGTGTGTGTGTGTGTTCTACAGGGTGACCCATAAGTCCCTATGTGTGTGCGCGTGCGTGTGTTATTCTATAGAGCGACCCATAAGTCCCAGTATGTGTGTGTGTTCTACAGGGTGACCCATAAGTCCCTGTATGTGTGCTTTTCTACAGGGTGAGGCATAAGTGTCTGTATGCGTGTTATTCTACAGGGTGACCCATAGGTCCGTATACGTGTAAGTGTGTTCTACAGGGTGAACCATAGGTCCCTATACGTGTAAGTGTGTTCTACAGGGTGACCCATAAGTCCCTCTACGTGTGTGTGTGTGTTCTAGAGTTTTTTTTTTTCCTCGAGTATTAGCCCACCCGGGCACAGGTAATTTTTAATGACCCACGTCAGGGGGGGGGGTGAGCAAAATTTTTAATATAATAATAATGATGATGATAATAATAATAGTAATAAAATATAAAAATTATAATAAAATAATAATTATAAATAATAATGAGTCATAACTAAATACAAAAACAATTATAAAAAATATTGAGTGAGAAATGATACATGTATGTTGTGTTGTCAGAGTAGAGAAACAATTGAAACCCTGCAGTTTTGTGTAAATGAGGCAGAAAGTCAGATCAGTTACCTGGGACTTGGTCACAATTTTCATGATGCCATATGGCAGCAGGGTCTACCATTAGACAATACATTATGCTTCCAATATCTTACCAGGCGGTAGTACATCCTTGTTTGATAGCTGCCAACTACCTACTAGTGACTCATAGGTCCCTGTACATACAGGTATGTGTATTATTCTACAGGGTAACCCAAAAGTCCCTGTACATGTGTGTGTGTTATTCTACAGGGTGACCCAAAAGTCCCTGTACGTGTGTGTGTGTGTGTGTGTGTTATTCTACAGGGTGACCCAAAAGTCCCTGTACATGTCTGTGTGTGTGTGTGTTATTCACAGGGTGACCCTTAAGTCCCTGTACATGTCTGTGTGTGTGTGTTATTCTACAGGGTGACCCATAAGTCCCTATACGTGTGTGTGTGTTATTCTACAGGGTGACCCATAAGTTCCACTTGGTAACAATAAACTATGAGAAAAAGCCCATCAAGAACACTGAGATGAAATATTTGCAGAGTTAGTTGTGTTTTTTTTTTCTTTTTAGAATCAATAAATATTTCAAAAATTTATTAGAATCGTTTAACCCTATTTTTAATTTTAGTTTATTTTATAATATTTTTCTCTCAGTCCTAACCAGTTGGGACTTGTGGGCAGCCAGTACAGTGCTGCTGAAAGGTACAACATCAAGTGTCAGGGGGTGCCAACACATCCACAAACTTTATTCTGTGTTGTTTTGGAGTATCTTAGGTATCAATACTCTTGGACAACTGTACTGTATCTCTCAACTTGTACTATATGTAAATACAGTACAGTATAGTAATTTGTATTTTATTGTTATTAGATTATTACAGTATTACTCTATTACTATTATTTCTATTAGTATTATTACTATTACTGTGCTGTTATTATTATTATTACTAGTATCATCATTATTACAGAGTATTATTGTTAAAGTACCATTATTATTATTATTAAGTATTTATTTTAAATATTAATACATACCTTAGTAATGATAATTTTGAGAATGTTTTATGAAAGTTCAGGAATTGGTAAATATGAGTATAGCATGCCCTTAAAATTCGCAGGGTGGGGGGTCTCAAGATGGCCATGAATTGCCAAATCCGCAAATATTATTTGCTGACTGGTGGGGGGGGGGGTACATTTTAAGTACAGTGATTTCTCTTGTTAGCTGGAATAATTGGTGCAGAACACTTCTGGGAATGAGAGATTTCTGGGTAATGAGACAATTCTCTCAAAGCCGGAAAAAATCCCTCATCCCCAGAATTTTACGGGTCATGGAAAAATATTCTTGGAAGTTCCAGAAGTTGCGCATTACATCATCTCTCGAACCGGGAAAAATATTCCTCATTCCCGGAATTTTCCGGGTACCTGAAAAAATTTTCTCAGAATTTCTGGAAAATGCTCCTGATTTTCATCTCTCAAACCCGGACAAAACTCTTCTATTACCGGACTATTTCGGGTACTGGACTGTATCGGGAAAATTTTCTCTGAATTTTCTGGAAAATGTGCCCCTCGGAAAATCTCAATTCCGGCTATCGGAGAGTTCCGGGTTTGAGGTATACTGGCCAATGGAGATATTACTGTAGTACAGTGAACCCTCGAAGATCCGGATTAAAGGGGGGAGACCACCTGTCCAAAACAGCCGAGTGTCCGGCTCTTCCGAAAATGTACTAAAGGTATAAAAACGATAAATAATGACATAAAAACAGCAAAAATGCAATGCTGTATTTTATGGCATATAAGAAGCACACCCCATTTTAGTGGGGAGTATTTAGGAAAAAACTTTTGTGTGTATTTTCCCCACACACAAAACATACAAATAAATAATAATGGAAAAATCCTCTTGCAAATAATCAGAAACAAGACAACAAAATGCATCGAAATGTTAAAAATGCGAGAGTCTACCCTTAAGTCAACTCCGTGCTTTGTTATTAAAGTTGGGTTGCCATATGGCAATTTTTTCCTTGTAAAAATTAGTCTCTAGAATGAATGGCATCTGAGCACCAGCTGGGTTGATACATAAATCAAACTTACAGAATTTCTTTCATAGCTATCTAGCCAACCCAACATGAAGGACATCGGTAATTGCGGCGTAATTCTGTACTTTTTTCACAAGTGTATGTCGAATGGTGTGTGCATGTAACTGAATAAAGATAAATGAAGAAGGTTACGTAATCCACCTGAAAATACAAGTTGAAAAAACATAATGCCTCACAACTTGTCTCAGTAGCCTGGTGGTTACAATGACAAGCTAACCTGGCTACAATGCCATGATTAATCTCTATTAAGCACTAATCTATCAGTAAACACTAGTAATAACAGTAAATCCAGTGAAATATGGCAGTGAGCGAGGAGAGTTACAGCAGCAGGTGAAGTGCTAAATCACAAATGCAGTCACTCACTCCCCTTACTGCTCCCGTTGCCAAGCATCCATATTTTGTCGTCTAATTTGATAATGTATTTTTCGACAATAACATAATAAGAAACATGAAGTGAATTAATTAATATTCTCACTAAAAAAAATTTACAACTCTATTACAAAAAAAAATAAACACACACCATTCCATGCTGGCTATTTGTGTAGAGCCCTTTTTCCTCTCTCCCCTGCCACTTATGAATATCATGATGAAGATGAAGGCAGGGGAGTTACAAGTAGTGCTCATCTTCCTCAGAACAGGAGGCACAGGAGAGCGGAGATAGGTCAGAGCTGGGGGCAGCAGGAGGAGAGTCGTCCATGTGGGAATCGGAGTCAGGAGGAGGAGGAGGCGGCGGCTTACTTGCAGGTGTAGGACTTGGAGTGGACGATGGCAGGAAAAACATGGTGATTGGAGGCCGGGCAATTATTTCCCTGTAAGAAAGCAGGAGCTGCTCCATCCATCTCTTGAAGATGACTGATCTTTCAATACAGGGATCAGTCTCGAAAATATGTTCATGAGTGCTCTACTAACCAGCAAACACCTTTTGAGGCCTGTGACAATTAAGGTGGACACCTCCTCCAGTTCACCTTCTTCTTCCTCATCCTCATGACACTGCTCCTAAACAAGCTCGGCCAGCTCTTCCCCAACATGACCCAGAAGCTCCTCTTGCACCTCTTCCTCCTGAAGGTTGTCGAACCCCTCGCCTCCCACTTGACGGACAAGCTGGATGATATGCTGCACGTCCTGGTTGACTGTGGTGAAGCCAGAAAAGTCATTCACCACCTCTGGCCACAAGGCCCTCTAGCAGGAGGTAACAGAGGGCTGTCAGGTCATCATGGCACTGCTTGATGAAGTAGATGCAGAACTTCTTCCACATTTCTCTCACTGACTCGGCACCATTCCTTGTGCCGCCGTCCAAGATCTGCCGTATCCTGTTGAAGGTGTGGGTCATGTACTTGGCCTTGAAGACAGCAATGACTCCCTGGTTGAGTGGTTGGAACAATGATGCCGTGTTCTTGAGCAGAAAGATCACCTCGACATTTTTGTTTTCAACCTTGAGGACCTCGGGGGGGTGGGGGGAGTTGTTGATCATGAGAAGGACCTTAAACTCCAGGCCTTTCTCCTGCAGGTAATCCTTTGCCTCCCACACAAATCAATTGTTAAACCAGTCAGTGAACAACAGTGCCGTCATCCAGGCTTTCTTGTTGTCCTAGTAGAAGACTGGGAGGAGGTGCATGTCTTTGCTCTAGAGTGCACGCTGACGCTTGGCACGGTACAGCAGCATGGGCTTGATCGTGTGTCCTGCAGCGTAGCAGGAGAGACACGATCTTTGGCCACCTTGAAGCCCGGTGCACTCCTTCCCTCCTTGGAAATGAATATCCTGGCTAGCATCTTCCACCACAAGTCAGTTTCGTCAGCATTGAAATCCTGCTCCAGCTTGTAACCCTTCTCCTGGATAATCTCGGCAAAGATCGCTACATCGTCCGCCAAGGCTATCTCACCAGTGATCCTCAGGTTGTAGCACTTCTTGAAGTTCTCAAACCATCCTTACTGGCATTAAAACCGTTCTTTGAGTGGATCACCAGAACCACCAACACTAGCATCACCTTCACCACTCACTTTCCCTTCACCACCTTCCTCAACATGGAATCGGTCATGCAGGACCTTGGCTTTGTCACGGATAAACTTCTGGCTGAGAGGGATGTGGCGGCGGTTAAAGTCCTCAATCCAGATGTTAAGGGCTTTCTCCATCTTCACCATAGCTGTATCCCTCACATTAGCAGCAACCTGGGCAGAAGAGGGGCCACTTAGGGCAATGGCATTACGAATCTTCCTCTCTTTTTTCCTTGATGTAGCAGACAGTTGACTCACTGATGCCATTCTCTCAGCTACACACAGAAAAGCTTTGGCCTCTCATAAGTTTGTCCAGCAGTTGTATCTTCTCCAGTAGGTTCATGACCTTTTCTCTCTTCACTTGTTTGGGCGCCTTCCCGCGGCTGGATGAAGGTGGTTAAGGGGGTTTGGTAGCCATCACAAATATGGGGAGCACAGTTGGTAAGAGAGCAGAGTACCACACTCATGAGAGACAAGTGTTTATCCTGAACTGAGGTGGAGTGAGCACGTGGGGCAGCCTCTTGGGACAACAAAGACACTTGTTAAACTCGTGCGCTCCCTGTCCCGGCCGCGAAAATGCTGCCAACTTTAAAACTACCGACAGACATTCTTGGGTACATCCAAGGTGTCATCCGTGAATAATCGAAGGCCATGAATTGTAAGGGCATGCTGTACAGTAATATGTAACATGTGTGATGCATACTAGAGTTTATTATTTTGTGCTGCAGGTGATCACTGAGTGTTTGGTGTAGGATTATTGTATAGCTATGACATAAGTGTTAAATTGCTTTACTAAATTACCTTAAGATGTTTCCGAAAAATGAATACACACTGCCTTAGAGTTATTGTGGAGTTTGCAAGATTGCTTTTATTACAACAGCAACATTGTCCTCACTTGGTGATGTGTGAGGTCTCCCTCAAGTTAGGACAATGTTGCCCTACTAATACAAGCATTCACACAATCTCCACAAAAATCTGGAAGGCAGTGTAAATGCACTTTTCTGAGACACCCTATATTGCATCAATTTTAAATATGTGATATAGTAAAGTTGAAATGGGAGTCAAACATAGTACAATATAATGAGTCTCCCATTAACAAAATTTTTTCTCAAGTTCACAGTCGGAGGACAGATGTATTTTGACTTTCCATGGTACAAGTCTCTTCAGTCATAACTGATGAGTCCCACTTTTCGCTACATTCTTCATACCACTAGGGGCATCTATTGGAGGAAAAGGATGAGTGAAACAATGTTTCCATCCCTCCATAGATAAAACTTAACAAGATCACTCCATTCTTACACAAACTTGGAGGAATTGTATGAGGAGTCTAGAGTATGTTTTCATCCCTGACTGTTGTGGAATCTCGGACATAACCTGCTAAAGCTAGTCCACATGGGAGTAGAGGAAGTGAGAAGAGGTGGTTAACTTTATAGACTAGCTAGGGTGTGTTGATCACCTTACACATATCTTCTAATGAGGTGTAGGACCAGTCAGTTCTGTACTGTAGATACCTCATTTAGTAAGTGATCCAGAGCAGGCAACATACTGTATAATACTGTTGAGCACGCCCATAAAATTCTCGGGTTTGGGTTTGAAAATGGCCGAGAATATTACTTGCTGACCATGTGGGAGGGGGTACATTTTTACCCATATGCAAAGAAATGTATATTACCTTTATGTGTTTGCCCTCAGGACAATTATTTATTTTATTTGCATTGTATATGTGTGTGTATGTATGAATGTATAGACACACACATACAAATAAATAATAATGGGAAAATCCTCTCAAAAATAATCAAAACTTTGTTATTAAAGTTGAGTTGGTTGGGTTGACATACTGCAATTTTTTCCTCATAAAAATTACTGTGTCTAGAACGAAATGGTTCCCTGTCCCGGCAGCGAAAATGCTAGCAACTTTAAAACTACCCGCAGACATTCTTGTGTACATCGAGGGTGTCATCCACGAATAATTGAGGACTGCGAAATGTCAGGGCATGCTGAACTTAACAGAGCAGGCAACATAATTATAATCTCTTCTTAGAGGCCAGCAAGGAGGACATCCTGAAAGAGTACCATCATTGTGGTAAGGTCTAGAGTACCATTAATGTGTTGAGGTTCGGAGTACTATTACTGTGGTAAGATGCAGAGTACAGTACCTTCAATGTGGTAAGGTCTAGAGTACCATTGCTGTGGTAAGGTTCAGATTACAGTACCATCACTGTTAAGGTCCAGAGTACAGTACCTTTACTTTAGTAAGGTCCAGAGTACAGTGCAGTACCTTTGCTGTGGTCTGGTTCAGAGTACAGTACAGTAGAGTACCGTCAGTGTAGTGATATCCAGAGTAGATTTACTAAGAACAGTGTTACTTAGGGATAAAACCTGAATTTGTCAACCTGATGTTCTAAGAAGAATGATCTTATGACAAGTCCAAATATGTCTGATGAAAAAGTATAGTTTAAAACTTCTTACTGGGGTGTAACACAAAGAATATATAATGTTTATGTGTGTGTAGTAATCTAAAAATATAATACTGGAATATTTTTGACAATGTTATTTCAAAGTTTTAAAGGATTACTAAAAACCTGCTTAATATACGACAAAAGGATTTCCTTATAAATTTGCATTGATAAACTGGTTCCAGAAACTCCATATTTGCAGGTTGTAGGAGAGGCTGAACTAACATGACCACATCAAGTCTTCGTCTCTGTTAAGGAGTTGGGTTAGGGAGTGGAAACAAACATACTCTCCTGTGTTTTTGAAGATGAATCTGGCTCTTTGGTCAAAGGAAGCATATAGGGTTGTGTGTTTCAAGCTGACTTCCTGCTGCACTGCCTTAAAAAATTAGTAGTTCATGATGCTGCATTACTTACTGTGTGTCCTATTTTGACTTGTGTTCTATTTCCGAGTAAATTTTAACATATTTTGGTAGTTACACATTCTCTTGTGTGGCAAACAGATCAACATGTGACCAGAGACATGATCCAGATCAACATGTGACTAAAGACATGATCCAGATCAACATGTGACTAGAGACATGATCCAGATCAACATGTGACTAGAGACATGATCCAGATCAACATGTGACTAGAGACATGATCCAGATCAACATGTGACTAGAGACATGATCCAGATCAACATGTGACTAGAGACATGATAAAGAGTAATACAGACTATGTACTGTATTGGAAAGTTTTAATTGTGAAACCTTCAGATGGATATTTATATATTATTATTTATACAGACACTGTCCATGCATCAGATAAGATCCAAGTTTTACAGAATTCCAAGGCATTGTATTAAAACTGACTGTAAAGTGTAGGTGAGGTGCCTGTTATAAAAAATGATGACCCAAACATTAAGACAAGAAACAATCTGTTTTCTTATATTCTCATGTCTCTTATGATTCATATTTATTGGGAAAGAAGGTATAAGTGGTAGAGGGCTCTTTCTTGTCACCAGTATGTCTGTCTCAGTCAGTTCCTATAAAAAACTCAGGCTGTAGTACTATATACAGTGGACTAATTTGAAACTCGGCACAGCTGTTGTGTACATAATGATATGTGCAGCGTGGAAACAGGTAAAACAAACTTTAAACGTTATTACCTCAAAATGGTCTTGGTGGGTTTGTCGCTTGTATTCTAGTTGCCTCCTATCTTACCAGTAGTGACAGGTGTGGTGAGTACATGGATGTTCTCGGAAAGCAGAGGTGATCATCACTAAATGTGTGTATAACCTGATAAAATTATCTACCTTAGACAGCAGGTGAAACATTATTAATCTTGTCATATATTTGTGATGTGGTATTGTATAGTGTCAGAATGCTGTAAACTGTGATGCAGTACAGTGTTAAGTTCTTGTATACAAAACACAGGTAATGTATCCTTACAGAGCCTCTTCCTTTTGACTCTCTTCCTATATTACACTACTGTGCATATAACACCCTGCTCCGACTGTAAAAGTGGTTTGGTGATAAGGAGGGCATTCAGCCGTAAAGCTTACCTTGAATTTGTCCGCTAGCAGTTGTTACTCCACACCATCAGGCAATCATGGCTAACCCACTCGGGCATTGAAAATGGCCTGAAAACAGGGACGACGATGATTACGAGCTGCCATCGAGCTCGGCTATTTTGTAAGGCATGTTTTTTTTTTATGTTCTTCGGCAGGCCTCGCTACATCCCACCCTCGGCCACATGGTGGAAAAAGGAAGAGTCCAGAACTGCGGGCTCTGTCTGATCCATGTTCCCCGTTCTGCTATTTACATCTGGTTAGCTATTGTGGCTCTTTTTCTTGTACAGTACATTATTTTTGTTAAAGCCAAATCATTGATATATTTCAGTAATACAATGTACTGTATTTAAGGCTGGATCACACACTACTAGTTCTTATAAGTCATAAATTTTGGGCCTAATTTAGTTTTCCAACTTATCCTGCATGTACTGTAGTGATGATGTCTTGAGGGGGAAGGTTATATTTCTAGTGCAGTAAAATACTAATTTTTTGTTTGTTTACAATGTTTAACAGCAGTGGAATCCACAATACACTATGTTTAACAGCAGTGGAAGCCACAATACACTATATGTTTAACAGCAGTGGAAGCCACATTACACTATATGTTTAACAGCAGTGGAAGCCACATTACACTATATGTTTAACAGCAGTGGAAGCCACATTACACTGTTTAACAGCAGTGGAAGCCACAACACACTGTGTGTTTAACAACAGTGGAAGCCACATTACACTATATGTTTAACAGCAGTTGAAACCACAACACACTGTGTGTTTAACAACAGTGGAAGCCACATTACACTGTATGTTTAACAGCAGTGGAAGCCACAATACACTATGTTTAACAGCAGTTGAAACCACAACACACTGTGTGTTTAACAACAGTGGAAGCCACATTACACTATATGTTTAACAGCAGTGGAAGCCACAATACACTATGTTTAACAGCAGTGGAAGCCACAACACACTGTGTGTTTAACAACAGTGGAAGCCACATTACACTATATGTTTAACAGCAGTGGAAGCCACAATACACTATGTTTAACAGCAGTGGAGCACAACCATATGTTTAACAGCAGTGGAAACCACAACACACTGTGTGTTTAACAACAATGGAAGCCACAATACACTATGTTTAACAGCAGTGAAACCACAACACACTGTGTTTAACAACAGTGGAAGCCACATTACACTATATGTTTAACAACAGTGGAAGCCACAATACACTATGTTTAACAGTGAAGCCACAACACACTGTGTGTTTAACACACTGTGTGTTTAACAACAATGGAAACCCACATTACACTATATGTTTAACAGCAGTGGAAACCACAACACACTGTGTGTTTAACAGCAGTGGAAGCCACAATACACTATGTTTAACAGCAGTGGAAACCACAACACACTGTGTGTTTAACAACAGTGGAAGCCACAATACACTATGTTTAACAGCAGTGGAAACCACAACACACTGTGTGTTTAACAACAGTGGAAGCCACAATACACTATGTTTAACAGCAGTGGAAGCCACAACACACTGTGTGTTTAACAACAGTGGAAGCCACAATACACTATGTTTAACAGCAGTGGAAGCCACAATACACTATGTTTAACAGCAGTGGAAGCCACAACACACTGTGTGTTTAACAACAGTGGAAGCCACAATACACTATGTTTAACAGCAGTGGAAGCCACAATACACTATGTGTTTAACAGCAGTGGAAGCCACAACACACTGTGTGTTCAACAGCAGTGGAAGCCACAACACACTGTGTGTTTAACAACAATGGAAGCCACATTACACTGTTTAACAGCAGTGGAAGCCACAATACACTATGTTTAACAGCAGTGGAAGCCACAATACACTATATGTTTAACAGCTGTGGAAGCCGTAATACACTATATGTTTAAGAGCAGTGGAAGCCATAATCTATGTACAGTACTGTATACTGTATGTAGTATAGGTAATATTGATATACAGTACCTGAACAGTGTATATGGTAGTACAGTACTGTATATTAAATTGTTTAATTTATACATACAGTACCTGTTTATATTGAACAATGTTATTACTTTCCTAACAGCCTGATGCCAAAGAAAAAATGGTTGCAACAGCATCCTCCTGTTCTACTGATAAGTTGAGGGATGACAATGAATCGTCAAACGATGCCAAACCTCGAAAAATCCGAAAGCATGCTTCAGTTGACTCTGGCAATGAAGCGAGCTCGGAGGACAGTAATGACAGCATGAGGATGAGCGGCCGCAAGACTGACAAAACCAACTCAGGATGTTAGTTATGATGAGATGTTTTTGTGGCATATAGTAATGTAGAAACTATAGAAGGAGATGATAGTATTACTCTAAAGCATTTGGTGGGAAACAAGGAGAGAATGGTGGAGAGGAGCAGGAAGTGAGAGGTTATATGGAGTGAGAGGGCAGCCTGGAAGGTGAAGGAGAGAATGGTGGAGAGGTGCAGGAAATGAGAGGTTATATGGAGTGAGAGGGCAGCCTGGAAGGTGAAGGAGAGAAAGGTGGAGAGGTGCAGGAAATGAGAGGTTATATGGAGTGAGAGGGCAGCCTGGAAGCTCTTGATATAATTACCATCATTGCGAGGAAAGACTGCAGTATTTGGTTGTAACAGTATACAAGATGCAGGCAGGTCAGTAATAGTTAAAGCCTTTGTTGGACCTCCAGTTATAGGGACATGATAGTAGTTTTTAGGGTACAAAATAGTTAAGGATTAATTGACATATGAGTATTGGTCTACCCATTTTGGATATATGCATTCAAAGTCAATAACTTGTTGTCCCTGTCATGTCAGCCTTGACCTGCTCAGCTTAATCATGTATAGAAAAATTTAGTGTTTAGGGGAGACACATGACACATTTTTGTACATGACACTGATTTTCAAGTCCATAATGAAGAGAGGTGGACAGTAATGAAGTAAAGGAGAGAGAAACAGAGCATATGACCTGATATGCGTGACTGTGTGAGACACCATGTACAAGATAATTATGTTGTTCAGTTGTATGGATTTCTCCAGTTTGTTTTTGATAAACAGTAATCTCTCCATTAGCCGGAATCCCTCAAACCCGGAACTCTCCGATAGCCGGAATTTAAATTTTCTCGGACAATTATTCCCAAAGCCGTAATTTTCTGGAAAATTGCGGCTTTGGAAACAGTTTTCCGATACCCGGAAAATTCCGGGGATGGGGGATTTTTTCCGAGTTTGGGGGATGAAAATCTGGCGCATTTTCTGGAAATTCTGAGAAAATTTTTCCGTTACCCGGAAAATTCCGAGGATGGGGGATTTTTTTCCGGCTTTGAGAGAGTCGTCTCGTTACCCGAAAATCTCTCATTCCCGGAAGTGCTCTGCACCAATTGTTCCGGCTAACGGAGATATCACTGTACTGTATTATATACAAGTGCAGGCAGTTAAGTAAAATATATTGTATATTAATTATATCACAATTTTACAGGTGTTGATTTCGAATGTAAAACATCTGTGCTGTCAATGAACACCAATGGTACCCTAGGCACCATCCACAGTAAGAGAGTTGTGGGTACAGATTCAGATGTTGTACGCACAAACAACAAATATGTTTATACCAAACCCATCACCCTTGATAGTCTAGCAGCCAAATTAATGGATACAACAGATCCCTGCAACCTTGGAACATGGCTGGGCTCAGAAGCTTCCATGTTCCGAGTGTTACACAAAGTGTTCCTCAACAACTACTGTGCCATTTCACAGGCTATCTTTACCAAGACTTGTCAGCAGGTGAGTCTTATACAGTAATACCATATTGTACCATCTTTACCAAGACTTGTCAGCAGGTGAGTCTTATTATACCATATTGTACCATCTATACCAAGACTTGTCAGCAGATGAGTCTTATAATACCATATTGTACCATCTTTACCAAGACTTGTCAGCAGGTGAGTTTTATTATACCATATTGTACCATCTATACCAAGACTTGTCAGCAGGTGAGTTTTATAATACCATATTGTACCATCTTTACCAAGACTTGTCAGCAGGTGAGTCTTATAATACCATATTGTACCATGTTTACCAAGACTTGTCAGCAGGTGAGTCTTATAATACCATATTGTACCATCTTTACCAAGACTTGTCAATGTTATTTTGTGTCAAGTGTCAACGTAACCCATATAAGGTGTGACAGATAAGGGTTCCATAAATTATCTGACCCATTTTTAAGCTTAACCACAAAAAACATGTATAGTAGATAGAAAGCACTGGTTTTGTTGCACTTATTAAACAAGTCCTAAGTTTTTTTGTCATAGTAGAATAACAAAAGTGCACCATGTTCTTTCTGTAACTCAACTCAGACTCAAGTTGGTATGGTACTGTGTGTTACAGGTATACTACTTTGCACAAAAAGAGGCAACAGACTTACCGACAGATGCCAGCGTGAAGGACAACACTCCACCACGCAAGAAGAAGAAGAAACACCGCCTTTGGTCAATGCATTGTAGGAAAATTCAGGTATGTTATTTTTATATTCACCTTAATTTCATTAACTTTATATGATTACTTTTGACAAAACTTTATTAGACACTGGTAATACAGAACTGTATTAGGCACTGGTAATACTTCAAAAATTTACTAACATGGCTAAGTCTCTTCTCACCAACAAGGGGAGATAGGGGTGGCTGGAGGCTATCTCTGCTGTCTAGTTAAAGTTCTGACACTGTTAGAATCTTATTCACTGTCTCTTTAATCTCTCTTATGTATTTGACAGTCCTTTTTGTATCTACCTATCTGGTTAGGTGTTTCAGACTCAATAACTTTGCCCTTTTTCAACTCCAAGTATTAGTTCTTTTAACTCTGGGCTGCCATTGGTAAAATGTAAACTCCACCTCTTTCTCATAGCTCACGTTGCTTCTAAAAGGGCACACTCATAATCAAGACATTTAAAAATCGTTAGTCTTAAGACAAACACATCTGGTTCAGATCTTTTCAACATGGCAATAACCAAGACTTACACTCTGGTCATAAATTTAGTTTTGCGACAGTCCAATGTAAATGTAATACGACCCTGTTCATTATGCCCACACCCACGCACACATAGCCACATTACACAATAATACTATATGAGGTTGGAATAAGTAAAGTAATTGGTTAAGTTATTAGCCCCCAGGGTATGAGGGGTCTCTGTGATGAAAAAATTATTTGGTGTTAGCCAAAGTCTTAAAAGTGACATCCAGTAGTCAAGGGGTTAATCATATCAAGTGGCTCATAGCTTAAACCTAAAGCAGTGCCTTTGAATCAATAAGAGTGGTAACATATTCTTAACTAATGAAATGTTAGTACACTGATATCCCTGTTAGCCGGAACAATTGGTGCAGAACACTTCGGGGCATGAGAGATTTCCGGTTAACCAGACAACTTTCTCAAACATAGAAAAATCCCCTATCCCCATAAATTTTTCCAGTTACTGGGAAAAGTTTCCAGGTGCCTAAACTACACATCTTGCACAGACAGACACTAGTCCACGTCCTCAGAATGTTTCTGGGTGCTGGGGAAAGTTTCCCAAGAATCTAAACTACCAGAGTCTGTAAAAGCAGTTCTTTACTAGAATAATCCAGAATAGTTTATCTAAAAGTTGGTTAAATAAATATATTTAAAACTAAAAATCTATATGAAATGGTTGTGAATGAAACTGTGTGTTACAGGAAAGACTGGTATTTTCCACTCCCATGGAGCTGTGGGGGATTAGTGGGTCTCATGTAACTGACCTGACCTGATGCAATGTCAGGTGGAGTTAGGGTGAGGGATTAGTGATCTCATATTACTGACTTTCTGATGCAATGTCAGGTCACCCATTATAGGAAGGGGAATTAGTGGGTCTCATGACCTGAAGATATCTTGAATAAAGACGAAAGCTCAAGTACAGTATTTTTAGGGTGATTGTGATAAGTATAAATGAGCAACGGTGTATCCCTTCAACATTACGTTACATAACATTTTAAAATATGGAGTGAGAAGGGAGAAAGGTGTGGGTGATTAGAGAGATGGAGTGGAAAGGAGTGGTAACGTGCACCAGTGTTGCCAAGCACTCCACTCCTCAACACACTGTAATCACTGTGCACGTCTTGACACTGCTTAAACACTGTGTTGTAGAGGTGACAAAGAAGTTATGAATTAAGTGTGCTGGAATTTTCCAGCAAAATAACAAGCAAACTTCAATTCCGGCTATTGGAAAGTTCCGGATTTGAGGGATTCTGGATAACGGAGATATTACTGTAGCCGGTTGTAGTTAATTGAAAACAAAAATGTTCTTGCCTCTCTAGCTGAAGAAAGACTCTTCAAGCAACCATGTGTACAACTACTCTCCGTGTGATCATCCCAACCAACCCTGTGACCAGAACTGTGCTTGTGTCATGACACAAAACTTCTGTGAAAAGTTTTGTAACTGTAGTCCTGACTGTAAGTACTGTAGTCTCTTACCTCTAACTGGGTGATTGTGAAATTGTATATGTCATTACTGTTGAGATTAAACATAAATTACATAAAAATATATACAGTACAGGGTATCCATAAATTATCAGACCTATTTTGAAATTAAGCGCCTGCAAAATTTCATTATATATATATATATATATATATATATATATATATATATATATATATATATATATATATATATATATATATATATATATATATATATATATATATATATATATATATATATATATATATATATATATATATATATATATATATATATATATATATATATATATATATATATATATATATATATATAGAAGATGATACAAATAACACATTAGTAAGAAGAAGGGTGATTGTCTTTGTGTGATTCCTATTTTGTTAGATAGAAATACAGTACAGTACAGTACAGTACTGTATTCTCATTTTTACTTCACTATCCACTACATTGTTGTTTTTGTTTTGTCATCTTAAATCATATCTTCCCAGAACACCTTGTTATACTTAAAAGAAGGTACAGTATATATTTGTAACTCAATCATTGCTGTGAAGAGCAAATACCCACTTTCACAAAGACATTCCTCCCTCCTTTCTTTGTCATTCATTAATCATACTGCTGTAAGATATATATATAATATATGTACTCAGTGGTAAATGGTTTGATATTAAAGAAAATGTCTGTAATTATATGAGAGACTGCATGTAGGATGCCTCAGAAAATCATACACGCACAGCCTTACAAGTTTTCATGGAGATTACTACAGCAATTTGCCCTTATTTGTGGGAGACCTCACACATCAACAAGTGAGGACAATGTACCTGTTGTAATACATGTATTCATGCAATTTCTGGAAGGCAGTGTGTATACTGTACTGTACATTTTTCTAAGACACCCTGAATTTTAACTGATAACACATTTTCTCTCAAATGTATTGAATATTTTGCATTGTTGTCATGGGCAAGGTGATGAAGCTGAAGTATGATACCACATGACACTGCCCACAAAAGAGGAGCTTCCAGGCTGTGTCCAGTGACCTCCATATTCCCTCCCCCATTGTCTGCTTAATGTAAAGTTCAACCTTTCCTTCCTGTGACCTCCTATCCAAAAGACCAATTGCAGTGTCTCTCTGTAACCTCTTTTACCATTGAATCCTCTTTCATCCTCACATGCTCATACCAACTTAAAACCTCTACACCCATTGCACCATTCCACATTAAATACAGTATTCCATACTCATCACTTAACTATGATATAATATTGTTTCTTTTGCTTATCTTGTAATAATAGGTGGACTGTTTAATGGTTTCAGGTCAGAATCGTTTTCCCGGTTGTCGATGTAAGGCTTCCTGCAACACCAAACAGTGTCCGTGTTTCCTGGCTGTGCGGGAGTGTGATCCTGATCTGTGTGTGACGTGTGGAGCCCATGAATTTTCTATCAATAAAATTACCTGCAAGAATGTTTCAGTTCAGCGGGGATTACGTAAGACACATGCTTCTGTATTGTCATTTGTTAGGTGAAGAAGTGTTTGATGTGAATTAAAGATCATATGGTTTGTTTAGAATGGCATCTCTGTTTTGGATTATGGAGGGTACATGTGGCTGTGCTGTGACAGTGCAACATGTATTCATAGGTTTGCCTGGTACAACTTACAAGCCATCCTAGATGACATATACTCGGGGCTTACCTGGTACAACTTACATGTCACCCCAGGTGAAATATTGTATTAGGTATGCTTGATACACCGTGAAACTCACAATTCAATGCAGGTGAGGATATGGTTATATTATCAGTACAGTACTTGCTTGTATACAATTCCTTCTTGCTGGGTATTTAACCCCAGGATCAGTGGACTGGACTGCCACTGCGATATGATAAACACTCCACCAATCTCTCTTGTGTGTGTGTGTAATAATAATAATAATAATTAACGGTTTATTGAAAAAGTTCTGCAGCCCAAAGGCTGAAAATATACATTGGACATAAATGACTTATTACATACATTGACATTGGTGGTTTAACAAAAGCCTTCATTAGATAAAGGTAAAGGAACATACAGATTAATGTTTACAGTGGAGGTCACGTAGATCTTATGCGCTAAGGTGTTGAACAGCAGATACGTAGTGTAGTAAATCCTTCACAGATGGTGTTGGGAGGGACCTGACGTGGTGTAGTAGTTCCCTCACAGATGGTGTTATGAGGAACCTGACGTGGTGTAGGAATTCCCTCACAGATGGTGTTATGAGGGGCATCACATGGTGTAGTAATTCCCTCACCGATGGTGTTATGAGGGGCCTCACGTGGTGTAGTAACTCCCTCACAGATGGTGTTATGAGGGGCATCACATGGTGTACGAATTCTCTCACAGATGGTGTTATGAGGGGCCTGACGTGGTGTAGTAATTCCCTCACAGATGGTGTTATGAGGGACCTGACGTGGTGTAGTAATTCCCTCACAGATGGTGTTATATGAGTGAGGTGTGGTCCCAGGCCTTCCTATTGTGGAAGGATTAACACATCGCTGCTTGTTGTTGGGTCTCACAGGCAATTACTGGGTACCTGGGATCTCACTGTGTGAAGGTTAACTTGGGTACGACTCGGCTTTTACTGTTGAGTTGTTCTCACTGACTTAAGCACTGTTCACCTCTGTTCAACACTGGTTCCATTCCTTTCCTAAATGAAATTGTTACTTCTGGCGAGAACTTGTTGATATTCTGGTGGGGAGGAGGGGTTCAGGGAAGGGAGTTGGTATGGGCCAACTTAATAGTTGACCTGGCTGCTCCCAGAGGAGCGCCAGGTATGTCTTGACCCTTCAGTGGTCAAGGATGTGTATGTGAGGAGGAGGAGGAGGAGGATGGGGGGGGAAGTACATCTATTTTGCTTCTTTTGGCACAGCAGTTTCCAACTACTTTAGTAGTGGTTGATTGTAGCAGGTAAATAGAAAATATAATGCATGTGGAAACTGTTGATGCATGAATTTGGCTGACTGTGTGAGAGTGAGGAACCATTTTGACCAATACAAATGTTTTCTTGGACAGACAAACACCTCCTTATGGCACCGTCAGATGTAGCCGGCTGGGGGATATACCTCAAAGATTCAGCACAAAAAAACGAGTTTATCTCAGAATACTGTGGTGAAATAATCTCCCAGGATGAAGCCGACCGCCGTGGTAAAGTGTACGACAAATACATGTGTTCCTTCCTCTTCAACCTTAATAATGGTGAGTTTATTATGATTTAGAATTAATAGGTGTAAGGTGTAGATCAGGCATGGGCAACCCACTGCCCAAACCATGTCTTTGTGCGGCCCACGGTGTGATTGAGAAATTATATTTGTTGTGGCCTGTGGTTCAGGTAGATGCAGCCAGCTTATGGGAAAAAGACCTATTGTAAATTGAAAATATCGTAAGGTGGATGTGACGATAAACTGTTTCGCTGTCCCTGTTAATACAATATTAACTTTACTTTTGGGTTAGGTAGGATATAAAATTTGGTGGTGTTGGCCCGAGAAAAATACCTACCGGGTAAATCATAATGCGGGTCATGACTGAGGAAAGGTTGCCAATGCCTGATGTAGATTTAGTGTTGTGTAGTTGATCACGCATATTGTAATAAGTGTCCGTATATATAGGTAGCTTATTACACTTTTTCTTTTTTGACTGGAAGGGCTAAGGTATTCTTAGCATAGTGTGTGATTTATGTGTTCAGTGAAAGTATCAATTGTTTCAGACTTTGTGGTGGATGCAACTCGTAAGGGAAATAAAATTAGATTTGCTAATCACTCAATAAATCCCAACTGCTATGCTAAAGTGATGATGGTGAATGGTGACCATCGTATTGGTATCTTTGCTAAGAGGCACATCCAATCTGGCGAAGAACTCTTCTTTGATTACAGGTTTGTTATTTCCATCATGATGAGCTTATAATGTGTGATTCTAGTGGGTTTTTCTCTCATCCAATACCTTTTATGCTATAATCATTGCTAAATTGAGCCTAGTAAGTTCCTGGCCTAATAAATTTTGAGTTATTAGCCTAAATAATGGTGCATACCTTCCCCATAAATATTTTATAATTTAGACTCAAAGTGATGTATACAGTATTACTGTAGATTGTGAATATTAACTATATGACTCAGAAATTTAGAAAATTGCTAATTTTTTTATTTTTATTTTTTTCTAGATATGGACCAACAGAACAACTTAAGTTTGTTGGGATTGAGAGAGAGATGGAATTTCTGTAAATAGGACAATCAGAAGCACACGCCAATAATTTTAACTTTCATGGAGATTTTTGTAGAAACTGCCAGCAACCATTATGAACAACATGAGTATTATGATGGCCTGTTAACACTAAAGTACAGTACAATATAAACATACCATAGTAACTTAACATACAGGTATTAATTGTTCCCCAGCCAGGACTTAATTTATTTCCACCATAGTTAATATTATGTTACTTTACATTTATTCCTTGTATTATTTGCATGATTACTGTTAATTAATTTATATTTTTGACATGTACATAAATGTTTGTTTGATATGCCAGTGGTTTAAGTGATTGTATGCTAAGACATGAGACCGGTGTAGTGTATAGCAACACATGAGTCCTGTGTAGTGTATAGCAACACATGAGTCCTGTGTAGCGTATAGCAAACACATAGAGACCTGTGTAGTGTATAGCAACACATGAGACCTGTTTAGTGTATAGCATCACATGAGTCCTGTGTAGTGTATAACAACACATGAGACCTGTGTAGTGTATAGCAACACATGAGTCTTGTGTAGTGTATAGCAACACATGAGACCGGTGTAGTGTATAGCAACACATGAGACCTGTGTAGTGTATAGCAACACATATGAGTCCTGTGTAGTGTATAGCAACACATGAGACCTGTGTAGTGTATAGCAACACGAGTCCTGTGTAGTGTATAGCAACACATATGAGTCCTGTGTAGTGTATAGCAACACATGAGACCTGTGTAGTGTATAGCAACACGAGTCCTGTGTAGTGTATAGCAACACAACACTGTGTAGTGTATGAGTCCTGTGTAGTGTATAGCAACACATATGAGTCCTGTGTAGTGTATAGCAACACATGAGACCTGTGTTGTGTATAGCAACATCCTGTGTAGTGTATAGCAACATGAGTCCTGTGTGTAGTGTATAGCAACACATGAGACCTGTGTAGTGTATAGCAACACATGAGACCTGTGTAGTGTATAGATGAGTCCTGTGAGTAGTGTATAGCAACACATGAGACCTGTGTAGTGTATAGCAACACACATGAGACCTGTGTAGTGTATAGCAACACACATGAGACCTGTGTAGTGTATAGCAACACATGAGACCTGTGTAGTGTATAGCAACACAAGTCCTGTGTAGTGTATAGCAACACATGAGTCCTGTGTAGTGTATAGCAACACATGAGTCCTGTGTAGTGTATAGCAACACATGAGTCCGGTGTAGTGTATAGCAACACATGAGTCCTGTGTAGTGTATAGCAACACATGAGTCCAGTGTAGTGTATAGCAACACACGAGTCCAGTGTAGTGTATAGCAACACATGAGTCCTGTGTAGTGTATAGCAACACACGAGTCTTGTGTAGTGTATAGCAACACACGAGTTCTGTGTAGTGTATAGCAACACACGAGTCCGGTGTAGTGTACAGTATATTTACATGGATCACAGATCAGTTCAGGTTTAGTTCTCCACAGTCGAGTAATAAAGTAAAACCGGTGGTTATCACAGACCATTAGCCAGCAGGAACTATCTATTAATTAATGTTTGCATTGAACAATAGTTAAACCAGACTTTAGGTCAAGTCTTGTTACTGTAGGATATTGACAGCAGTCTTAAAAGATTTCTTGGTGCCCAGTAGTAACATATGTCATCAAGAACTTCAGTCAGAAATGTTTTGAATCAGTTATCAAGAACTTTGTGTTGTACATTGCTAAGGACCTTGTGCTGTACATCACTAAGGACCTTGTGTTGTACATCACTTGTGATGTACAGTTAACCACCCTTGTATGTTATGTTCTATGCCTCACATGCAACAAGGTACCTTTGGCAATGCTGCAGTAGCAGTCAAGGTACCCCAACTGGGGAATGATGGGTGGGGCAGCAGTCTAGCAACATATAACAGACATATATACAGTAGCTAAAGGGCAATTAAATGTGAAGTAATTGCCATCTTGGTAATTATATTTTAATGAACTTTGTGTTGTGCATCACAAAATCAAGAGCCTTGTGTTGTGCATCACTAAACCAAGAACCTCATGTTGTACATCACTAAAATTCCTTGTCGTTAAATTGCAGGTTTACAAAACCATGAACCTTATGTTGTACATCATTAAACACCGTGTCATTAAACTACAGGTGTACAAAACTTTACTTGTACCATAGACACTTAAGTCATTGTTTCTGGGAGGTGTATTGTGGTATATGAAAGTCCAAGATTATTCTAGTGCATTTTATTTAAGAGTATTACCTGACAAAATACCTTAAGTTTTTTCTCTCATCTAAACCTAAAAAAAAAAGAAAAGCAGGGAAAAATTGTGCATGAACTGAAAGTGTGATTGTGAAATAATATAACGAAGTGAATATGTGGTGGTATATCATCAAGTATGGAAAAATATAAACTTTTATAACGGGAGCACAGGTAAAAGATTATCATAAATTGGCTTTGTAATTCACCATTATAAATTCAGGCTTTAATTGAATATTTAAAGTGACTAGTTTACCCAGATAATTATCCAACAGTTTGTAGACAAGGATCCAGCACCAGTCATGTAACTGCTTCAACAAACCATTTCTTGATACCTACATCCTATGTTTATGGTTCTACACAACCTCCTGGCTTTAGTATGGCATTCTTTTTTTGACATTTCTACCTCGCTTAGTTCACAATTGTTCTCGATAATTCTCACCGAGCTTTTTTTTGGAACAAAGATTCATAGTTTCTTAGTGTTTATATGGTAAAGTTGGTCTATATTCTTGAGAAAATGTATACTTGACTAAATATTTTAAATGCATTTAATCACATGAATTTTAAGTTTTTTAACCCAGATCCTTAATCAGCACGTAAAGGAAGATCTTTGAAGAGAAATTTGAACAAAATCTATGTTCTGAACTCGAGAGACAAAATGCAAGGTAATTGGTGAAGTGTTTCTGGAATGAGAAATGGTTTTTCTGTGGGACTGTGGGAGGTGAAATCTATCGTGTTTGTATGATGCAATGCAGACGACATCTTTATAAGCGCCAAAAAAACGAAAACAAAACATAGTTAAAGTTTTGAAAAATGGAACTCGCTATATCTCTTTAACTACAGTAATTGTGATACTGCAATCTTTGTTTTAATAAATTGAAGCTTATATACTCAGAATCATGTTGCCTTAATCAAATAATGAGAATCTTGGCATGGTTATTAGTACAGTAATGATGAAAATGATCAAAGCATTAGCAATTTAGATGCTTTAGATTTTGAATAAATTGTAATATTTTGATATAGGATACTCCTGTACACCCCATAAAAAATATCTTTACAATTCTTGTGCGAAACAAAGACACCACGAATAAAGGTTTTTGGTAAAGGCTCCCGAGGCATACAAACTAATTTATATTTTGAATGAAATAACTAAATTACGCCTACCATGATAGCTAGGAAATGTTTCACAATCACACCTGCCAACCTTGGCAAGACAATAGGATTGTTCAGTTCCAAATTCATTGGACCCCTCCTGAAATATTTTTTTTTTTTTTTTTTTTACAGTTAGTACTGAAAATTTCTAAGAGATTATAGTAATCACTTTAACTGTTTTCTGGCAAAATTTTATGTACGTGTTGGAAATAAAGATATTGCATGCAAAATAACACACACACAGGATCACATTCAGGCATAAATATGTACCCTAAACTCTGTGGGTAGCATGGTGGTGGTTTTGTGGACTATAGCATGGTCTAGCACACAATTAGTAAGGCACCCGATTATAACCTCATTGTTAAACTGTACAACCTGTCACTATCACATATGAGGCTTTAACTTAATACAAGAATGATGTGTCGCTACACTGCAGACCTGTAGTCCATGAGCTCGGCGGCGTCATCATCTGTTACTGCCTGTCTGATGGTCTCTGTGGTCCTTGTCAATGTCCAGGAAGAACTTTGCCTTGTTTGCCAGCACTGTAAACTTATGGCTGACAAATCCTTTACAGAAATGGGATTTTATACCCTACAAATTATAGCTTCACACTCCCTTGGCCCAGAATTGAGAGGCAATGTGTGGGAAGACAGTGGGATAAACAACGGTTTTGACCTGGGTAGTGCTTACGAAGTTATGGTCCACATAGCCTCATATGCGTAAATGATGTTTTAATTATGCTATAAGTATTTAATTATTTCAAGGCTCATTAATTACCATATAGGGTGGCATATAAAATGACCTTTGAAGCTCAAAATTTTTTTCCATGAAACTAGGGGTCATCTTATTTGCCAAGTATAAAATGTGAACCTTCAACCATTTGACAGCAGACAGGGTGAGAGCGTCGCCTAACACTCACTCAGCACCATCAGTAACTCCCGTCAATATTTCCAAATGGAACTCATGTTTGGTAAACCTAATGAAGAGAGATTATATTAAAATATTAAAAATGCATCATAATTAAACATTTACCAAAAATATATGTGGTGGGATTGCAAGGCATTAACTCAAGATCATTGGTCACCATATGCCATCTCCAACTGCTTTTGTAGAGAGGATCACATTCAGGCATAAATACATACCTTTAACTCCGTGGGTACAGGGTACCATTATGGTAGTTTATTTTGGGAGGCCAAGTTAAATGCCAATAATGCATGGATTACTTTATTCATTAATTTGATATAAATACATGCAAGAAGCTGCTATGGTCACTAATCTATATTTGCACATACAAACAGCAATGAAATTTATTTAAATTTAGATACTGTATGCCAATTTGTTTTATGGTGTTTACGAGGTGTTCAAGAAATTGTCTCTCACTGCAATGAATATAAAAAATCTCATCTGTTTCAACTTTGTTTGTAGTGGTGGGGCCACAGAGGCCTACTACGAGTAGTTTGGGATACATCATTTTCTATATTTTCTTTTTTTTGTTTTTATGCATTTTATTTATTTATTTATTTATTTTTTGCTGTTCCCATCAACATGATGTAAACCAACATATTGAGACCCATTCATTAAGACATTTTCTTAGTGAGAACATCTGTTTCAGTAAAGGTGAGTAAGGTAAACATTCCTAATAAGTATAATTATTACTAAGTCACACGATTATATATATTGTAGTTCATACTGAACTACAATACTACAAAATTAAACATTTTCAACACTGTTAAGTGTAATGCTATAATTATACTCTCATATTGCAACAAGTTACACTCACTAGAAATACAGGATAAATAATATGTGTATTGCACATGGGGATATGAACATACCATCAAAAAGATTAGCTTAGTGAGGATGTCTTCTTTTTGCACACTGCATTACATTCTCAAAAATCTTTGGCTCTACCCACAGCAGTGACTCTTCATGCTGTGATTGGTAGAGATCTCTAGGTGGGCATTGCTAGCATGACATACCTTCAGTATTTGTGGGCATCACTGAATTTGACCACAGAATAATTGGCCTCTCCAGTGGTGGGCTCAAGCATCTTGTCTTTACTAATGCAATGTAGATTATGCAAGAAGAAAATAATCATCTAGGCTCTTCTTATATCAACCATTTCATACAACACTGCTTAATTAAATAAAATGTAGTCAATATAAAATCTACATTAAAAGCTAAATATTCATAGAAACAAAAACAAAAAGTATGTGTTGTGGTGAGTGAGAGCCAGCCAAAGACTATCTGTGCCTATAGGAATGTAGTAAGTACAATACAATACTAATATGGAACGCTTTCCATTATATCAGTTCTTTTCACAGCTCTCAAAGGAGATAGGACAGAATGCCTCGACCAACTTTTTGAGCAGAACTAACTAAGATAACATCTCCATCATACTGTATATACACACAGGCAGAAAATGGAACTGGAGACAAAAATTTTCTATCACACTAATGGAATGTGCACATGAAGTATGGAGCATAAAAAATGAAATGACCTTAAGAACTAAGTTATCGCTAGTGTAAAAAGCCATGGAAATCAGGTAAAGGATTATACTGGAATGCTATGATTATTAGCACTACGCAAAAGAAAGCTGAAGTTACCCACATTCAAAACTCACAGATAAATGATATCTGCAATATTATCACTGAAGATAACTGTTGGTCACTTCAAATTTCTTTTGATTTATAAACTACCAACAAAGGGAGAAGCAAACACAGAAGAGACAAAGAACTGGGGAAATAATACATACCCTAGTTTGGTGTACCCAAAGCCGCAAAGAACCAAAGCTAATGACTGCCTCAACCACCTTCAAAAAATCATTATTACAGACTGGATTGACGGAGCAGGACCCAAGGTGAGCTACAGAGCAACAAATGATTTATTTACCAATAACCAGAAGTACCTTCCAATGCACCCGGTGGAAAATAATACCTACAGAAAGAAAAAAATAGACCCTCACATGGCTCCCCAACGACAGATATACAAAGTGGCACAAATATTTTGTAATGCCTCTTCTACAATAGAGATCTCAAGATTTATTGTGACTGATTTCATAAAGTAATGCCTGTTGTGAGCACCATAATGAAATATTTAAAAAACAAAACATTATACTGTAGTGTAATTTTATACATCGACCCCAATACTGTATAGTGAAGTAATAACAAGATGCAAAGTACAGTACTGTACTGAATTAAATATGTAACAACTCCATTAACAAATAAATAATATCAATTCACAAAAAAAAAAAATTCCTTAATAATCTCATCAGCTTCCACACTGTTTCTGTCGAGGATGAGCCAGAATATCCCTTTACACCCTGAAAGATGCCCGAGACGAACCAGTAATTCTCCCAAAATCATGGTGAATTTTAGCCACAAATTAATAATCAACTACTGAGCACCTGTCTCCCTGGCATTCCATAAGATGGCTCTTCACACTTTAAAATATCACAGATGATGGTCACGAGATAATGCAATGATTATACCAGCGATCATTATATATATTATAAAATCCTTATTCACTTGTTACACATACTTTATCTTTGGATACTGATGACTTGTTAAACATAGGAAATAATTTAACTTCTGTTAATTTCTCACAAACTCTTTTTATCAAATTCATACTGGTAATATATGTGTAATAAATAGTTTACAGCCACGTACACCACAGTAAAAACTAAAAATTATAAAAAATGAAAAGATTTACAATGAATGTTAATCAGATCTATCCAAGTAATAAGAGTACATAAAATATTAACTCAGTTATGCAGAAAGGATATAATATTGACTATGTCAGTTTTAAAAATAAAATATCTAAGAACTCTAAAATATATAAATGAGATATTAATGTTTATGTTGTATTTTTTACTCAATTCTGGTATATGGAGGTGAAAACCAAAATGGAAGGGTAGCCAGTTTAAGTTACCAACATATGAAATGCCTGTTAATCTAACTTCAATTTATATATACTGTATTATTTCCCACATTAGCTGGGTGCTAATGTTCTCCCAAGTAAAAAATAAACTTTGTCCTCAGCATGAACAGGACAGTGGGACAAGTTCTATGCACTTAGTACAGACATATCACAATCTTTTTCGTCTTTGATGTCCTGGCTATTCTCATCAAGACTTTAAGGTAACCAATGAACGAACCTCTGTATGTATGGTACTGACTCCTTACATCTTTAAGGTTACCCACTACAAATACTACATTTGAATAATAATATTGAATTATTTGCATATTGCACCCAGGCACTGTACACCTATCTAACATGAGTCAAATGCAGGTCTAGAAGACTCCAAATATTAACTGTTAGTTTCTTTTCTAATGCTGACAAATCAAAGTAACTGACTAATGAGGTGAATAATAACCTTTATTTGAGTCCTGATGATTTGTCAACTGCAAATCAGTAACATGATAGTTATCCAAGTCAAATTTAGTCGAGTACAGTATTTAATTTTAAAGGCCTTTAGATTTTCCTAAATACACAGGCACTGTACTGTAAGTACATACGGTACGTTCCGATACAACTTGTCAAAAGCTGCAGTCGGGTAGATTTGTGTGTGGGCGTGTGAATATCTCTCAAACCTTTTTTGAGTGATTAAGTATGAATAAATTTCACAGTAAATGACAAGAAAATAAACTGCAGCAAATGTTACATTAAAGAGTACAGCACAGTATGGCTTTACTGGAAAAAACACATTTCCTGGCATAACTGAGAAATACAACATAGGGGTACCATTATGAAGTCAAGTATTTAGGTGTGTGGTGCACGTGGCTCCTGAGCATTAGGTTGAGAGTGGCTTGAGCACCGCTGCGGCTCACTACTCACGCTGTCACGACTAGGGTACGAAGAACAAGAAATTGATGAACTGCAGCACTCAAAATGCAACTAGCAAGTTGAAAGCCCTATACTCTAAAAGTGAGGGCTACTAATAGCTATAATATTAAACTAAATAATTTTATAACAGTATAGTTATAACTCCCATGAAGTTCAAAAGGGGAGCTTACTTAACAATTATCATGACAACTAATTACCTACAGCACTTCACTGTGTTGTGTGGAGCACCCTGTCTTCAGGCATAAAGGGCTACTTAATAATTATACTATAATAATCATAGAAATATATAATAATAAATAACTAAAATTTCAACAAAATGACAAGTGTACTGCAGTACATGAAGAGAAGGTATGCAGGCAATAAACCCCAATTTCTTATACAAGGGCAAAAAAATATGCTTATTCAGGAGAAAATTGCTGCATATCTTTAAAAAAATGCTGATACAGAAAACTATAAATGAAACATTATATTTGTTTCATTGATAATGTGGCAAGACCAGTAATTACTTCTGTAAAATAGGAGATCTGTGGCTCAATTTTATCTATTCCATTAAGCCAAAGGAAAATCCTATAGAACTTCCACAACTTCTATTTTTTGCCTCATTATAGATATGGTAACTTTAATATGAAAGCACCCAATGGGTAACACTATTTACAGTATGCCAGAACAATTATAGGGAATCCATGTACCTGGCTGGGCTGGGCAGCAAGGGTGGGTCAGCAACAGCACTATTGGTAGAGATCACATTTTCTCCACTTATAATCATTCCATTTTCGGAGCCTTATGCCTTCAAAAATTTTGGACGTGAAACTCTAAAAAGGGATTTAATTTACTGTACTCTTGTTCACTTAATGGAACACCTGTAAAGATTGACAAAGTTTCTTGGGATTAAAAGGGTTTGAATGTACTGTACTGTACTGTACTGTATTGTTCAAAGTCATAGAGGATGAATAAATACTGTTCTGTAAAATGACATTATTTTGCCAGTAACCATCTTCCTACTGTCTTCTTCATTACTATGAGTTCATATTATTAGCTCTACAGCAACAGATAAAGTTATAGGCAGCCCACCCACCCTTGTGAAAAAGAACATAACTCCTCCATCTGCACAGCTTCGCTATGATATCTATGACTTAACATAATCTCTTAATCTCACTGCCTGTTAAATCAGGACTTCTTAGTACCAAGGAATTTCTAAACAGTTTCATCTGCTATTAATAACAGTTAGCTGTACTTTGACACTGCAGATTTAAGAGACATTTTGTACATATCTTTGCTCTTACTAACCGACTGATAAATAATTATAATGAAACTCAGTCCTTTGCAGGATATCTGAAACAAAACTGAGGGGCAACGGCATCACACTGTGGTACTGACGGCGGTTTGTAGTTAGCAATGCTCAATACAACATGTAACTTCAATAAGGCACTTGGAATGCACAATGAGTAACAAAGAAGTAAAAATTAAGGTAGAAAACTTAAAATCTATAAGGAGAATAGCATATGCATGTATGCTACAATATTTACTGTCAACTCATATTGTAGACACCTGTAGGTACCTACATAAAATTCACTTAAAATAACTACTGGAAGACTTTGTGATACTTGTTGTCACATGAGTTGCAGCCATCAGGCTCTTGCAACAAGCTCCTTAACCTAAGGACAATTATCAATTACACAACCTAGAGAAAAGCAAAGAAAATTCTATTTCATAAGTTCATATCAATTATAAACATTCTAAATAAATCAGTCATTAAACAATATACAGTACTAATATTAAAGAGGTTTTCATTAAAGAATATTCGGACAGCTGGCAGTACCTGTATGTATAAATTCTTGTGCATTATAATCTCCTGCGAGGATTATGGACCATGAGAGATGAACGATATTACTGTATATAGTACTATGTTACATCACATACCACTTGCTGTACCTCTGCAATTCAGTGTCAAGTTATTCTTAGTATACATTAATGACAAAGTGTAAAGGGAAAATGTGAATGCACATTTGCTCTTGTGTTCGGTCATTCTGCATTAAGCAGGAAAAGGTATGAAAGACAAATAAACCTTCCCTTTCTACAAACTTATTCTGTTGTAAATATTAATAATGTTGAACCATGCTACTTTTTTCAGCACTTCATGACAGCTTTAATTGTATACACTGAACTTAAGTAATTATTTATATTTTTCATTCTCATAAACACTTTTGGTCTCTAGAATCTAGATGAAGCAATCTTATTTTCTTGAATAACTTCACACACATTACCACAAGATCTTCCTCACTTAGGAAGAACAACAAATGTAAGATGTTCTTTAAAATAGTCTTAGTTTCAATGAATTATGATAATCTTTTATCATTTCAGTGACACAAAGGCTCAAGCAATAAACAGTATTTAGTGTGACGTTTCAATTAACACAAGACTTCCCGGTGTTTCACATGGTCGCCACAGCCTCACCATTGTGTCGTGAGGTGTCACCATTTGCTTGAATGGGCATACACTCTGGTGCTATCTGTTAAAAAAGAAACAATAATAATAATTACATCTTATGAGGATACAGTCCTAAGACCCTAAATTTTTTTTTTATTTACTAATTCAGCTGTCATATACTGTATAACAGTTGTCTAACCCAAACTACCATGCAAACCAATTCCTCCTACATTTTTGCTCTTTACTACAAGTTACTGTGGTGAACTCAAAATCAGGCGGATTCTTCACTTTCCATGGTTTAACAGTGTTAAAAATATGCATAAATTTTCTGCTGCAATGTTCTCACTTTTAAAGTAATTCTGGCAAGAATAAAGGCAATCTGTACACAAATATTTGTAATGTTTTCTAAATGTAGTTTACCATGCATAAACTAGAAATTCTATAATCTTATCATTTAGGCAATATTGTGGATGGGAATAAATATGAACAGTCAGCAGCTCAGTCTGACCTCTCTCGAGTGGCCAGAGCTTTGAAAATGAGGTCATGTGTATTTGTAGACATTATTAGACTTCTTATGTACAAAAGATCACATCTATTCAAATCTTTTACGAAAGTTAGTAGGAACATTATATTTTATAGAGAAGAACTTGGTTGGAAGTGCACTTGAGCAATCAAGTGATATTATGCCATAGTATATGTTTTTGATGGAGATAGGAAACAGTTTGTTTGCTGGTGTTATGGAGACAAAGTGAACATGGTAAGAGCCTGACTTCATTTTTAGTGTTAATGTAATTACAATATTCTCCAAAGTGAGCTTTTCCTTTATTTCCTTCACAGGATCAAAGTTATCATAAACTTTAATTTAAAAGTACTTTTAATCTTATTAACATCTAGCAGTTGTAACATTTTAAACTTATTCTCTCAAAGGATTCCATTTCATTTACCGGGTAACTTGTTTAGGCAGCACTGTGTTAAGAGATGGATAAGTTTTCCTCTCCTCTAGATATCCTTACTGTTACTATACAGAATCTAATCTAGTCATCATCACTTATTATGAGACAGGAAAATAGTTTGTTCCAATAATTTAGTTATTATGCACAGATTAATTTTGTTGGTCACCATCTTCCATGTCTTGCTGCCTGTATGGTTATGCACACTATATATTCAGTACAGGTAAAGTGCACCTGATCACCACTAAAATGTTCATAAAATTCTTGAGTGTTATTCCTGTCTTGATTGTTCTATGGGTTCCTTTTTGAAACATTGTTATTGGTTTTCTTTTGCATTTTGATGTTAGTACTTTTGAACTACGTAGTTTGGTTTTCTTCACTCATCATATAACCTAATCAGCCTCACATTTCTGAAGGAAGAAATATTTGTGTCACAGTTTCGTAGGGTGGCAAGAAGTGTTAGTTTAGCTTGGGACTTTGGCACAACAAAGTGACATGATGCACCGTGCAAAGCTGTCTGACCTGCCGTCTCCACTAAAGCATAATTGTAATGAACAGCAAGAACAGTTTTGTCAACTATAAACATTTGTTATCAACTCCTCTGTTGCTAACATAAAACAAAAAAAATATCCACAGAATAAAACTCCAACATGCCTGAAATACTGTAGTCAACTTGTACAGATATTCCCTGACATATAAATCCCATGAGACCTAGAACAGCATTTTATATTCCAGTACAGTATGTTGTATTGGCCAGAATTAAGCTTCCCTGTCCATCATCTCCACCAGGGCAAACATCTTATTTTTTAGATTTCTATTTTTTTTTCCTCATCCCTGAATTGAGTTGTCCATATTTGCTATTTATTTATTTATTTTTATTACCATTCCCTGCTTTCTAATGTTTCAATGACCAATAAATGTCCAAGTTTGATAATGACAACAGTGGTGTAAGAAAATGTACTTAATACTAATGATACAGTACAGTACTGATAATGATGATAAGCCTTTGTTGATCTTAATATTGTACAGTGACCCCTCGTTTAACGAAAACCTTGGTTAACGAAATTTCGGTTAACGAACTGCCTTCCATAAGGATCTTCAATTCGGTTAATGAACAAAAATTCAGTTAACGAATTTCTTACGAACCGACCTCAACATGTTTTCGCTTGCACTGACCGGGCAACCAGCTTTAGTATCAGACCGCCAATACATTAATCGGTTCTAGGGCTTAAATTCCTTACTATTTTAGTAAATATCAAGAAGTTTATACTATTCAATAATTTTAAAAGTTTAATATTCAATTTTTTAGTCATTTTAACAATTATTGAACATAATTGAAGGTAAAGTGACTAGTTTAATGCGCGACATCCAGCCTCTTAACACAGCAAACAGGAGTTAGTCTCTCTCTGTTTTCACTGGAGGTAACATCTTGTTTGAGACTCTCTTCAACTAAACGCATTTTCTGTGTTTCCAAGCAAATTATTGGTCATTTTGAAATATATTTTACATATTGACAATATATAATGCAGTGCAGTGTTGATTTAAAGAAAATAATCTTGAATTACACCAAGAGAGCTAAAATTTTATGGGTGAAATGGCGCCATGGGGTGACTTCTCTTCCACCCCAATGCCTTCTCTTCTTCCTTCTCCTCCACCCCCATTCTAAATCCCATCATCATCATCATCCAGTAGCCTTCTACATACACACCTCAAAGTAAGAACTTTTCTACCATTTTTGTTGAATTTAGGAAATTTTCGGTGAGCTGGAACCAATTACCCAAAAACCCATTGAAACAATGTTTTCGGTTAACGAACTTTTCGGTTAATGAACGACCTTCTGGAACGGATTGAGTTCGTTAACCGAGGGGTCACTGTATATATATTGAATGCCTTGCTGACAGTGCAGAAAAACTGAAGCTTATTTAACATGCATGCAAATATTCACCCTTTTAGATAAGTTAAATTATGTACACACCTTATTTTGTGCCTTTTTAAATTTTTATGATACCTTAACGTTCAAATAACAATAAAGCAACACATGCACATAATATTTATAACAAAAATTATATCTCTTGACTCGGCAGAACTTGCCCTTAATTTTGGAGTTGTACAGCATCATGTCTTAATGATACGAAGACTACTTTTTTCTATTTATTTTTGCCTGGAGAATAAAGCCAATGGATTGTTTAATTTATTTTTCTGATGAGTTTGTCCTCAAATGGTCCATTGAAAGTGCAATAGGAAACTGGAGTACTGTACTGTATCTGAAGAACACCTGTCACATTTGGTAGGGACACACTGGACACTCTCACATTTGGCTTAGGTAATCACACCCTGGGTTGCAGTAGTTAGGGAAGTGCACTGCATAGGCCTAGTACAGTATCATTTTTCTTGTATTCATCATGCAAAAGTGACATAGGGTTAACACTACCTAAGTTGGACATCCCATTTTATTTTTTCATTACATATGCTGTACTATGTATTTATCATGTATTTATCCATTTTTCTCTCTTGCAAAACAAAGTCTCCCTCAAGCCATTTATTCTCAATATTTCTGGGATTCCTGGGCAGGTGGCACTATTTGCCTCAGTGATTAGGGGAACCTGGATATTAATCTGTTAGTGTAACATATCTTTGTGTAATAGTTAAGACTGTGGTTGGCAAGTTATCCAGTATACAGTCTCTCTTGTGTTGGCATCAGTTTTTACTTTAAATAAATTTGAGCCCAAATGGTACAGGAAAAAAACAAAATTCCTACAGATATTTGATCATTATGGTTAGGATCAGTGTTAGCAATGACCTACAGTACATCTGTTGCTATACTCTAGTATACACTATCTATAATAACACCGGTGGTATGGCATGCACCACAAGGTTACAAAAAAAAAAAAATTAATGCCTTCAGAAAGACAAACAACGAACAAAAAAAGTAAAAATATAAAAAACAAAAACCAGAGTGAAAAAAAGAAGTGAGAACTGCCCCAGGACTTGAGGCAACACAATACTGTACTGTATTCATTCATTGCATGCAATTCACTCAGGAGCTGTAAAGGGAAGAATTTGAGCCAATATACTACAAAAACAAAGCCACTGTGCTACTACATACAATGATAAGGCACAATGCACTTAGAAATAATGATGTGCAATGGAAAATGAGCAGATGAGTAATATTGGGCACGAGGATGTGACAAATGGCAAGGATTAGGATACGAGTAAGTGAGAAACATTTGCTACTAACGTATAAGTGGGTGAAACATGTTGACCAAGAAGACCTAAGTGGGTAAGTGGGTGAGAAATCTAAGATGTGAATGCATGAGGAGGTGAGAAATATCAGATACTGTACTAAGAAAGACAAAATGTAAGTGTGTTTATGTTAAGTGCCTGTAGAGAGAGAACTTCACCATATGAAATGGATAAAGAGCTGCTATTACTGAAAAAAAGCATTGGAGGTTGTTCACATGTAGACATGAGACAGATGCACATGTACGGTAAGTGTTTATATTTAGAGAAGACAATAAAAAGGAGGAATTGTAAATGATAAACATGAAAGAATTCCTAACATACTGTAAATGCAGGCAATGAGACACCGACACCTCACAATTTATTAAGATGTAAGGGTTGTTAAGAGACTATAAGAACTCATCCCACCCTCCTCTTCACTTAAAGCAAAATGGTTACAGGGAAGAATATGATTGTAGTATAATGTGGGATGCCGTAAACACAGCTTAGTCCCGCGCAGTGTAATACTGTATATGGTAATACTGTACTGTATATGGTAGTTAAATGAGGCTGGCACTGTTGAAGCTTGAAAGATGATACAAAAAGCTTAAAAAATTTAGAGTACTGTACAGTACTGCATATTGGAGAAGGGAGTGCAACCCCAGTTTTGAATTGATCACATATAATGTTCCCTCTTACAGATGCACTTATGAAGAGTGGAGTCTCAGGAATCATAATGGTATAGTTTTCTTGCTAATGTCTAATGTACTGAATAGTCTTTCAAAATCTTGAGTTGCTTTATCTTCTAAAGATAAAGTAAGTAGCCAATAAAATCATCCAACAAATAAACAAAACTGGGACATTCAGTGTGTTGTCTTGCAAATGAGGTCATAAACCCTTCTGTAACACTTCAGCTGTTGGTGGTACATAATGCACATATCCCTCACCATTACTTCAAGGATTCAAAACCGGTTTGGCCCAGACACACATAAGAAGAGCGTTATCCAGTGTGACCCTCCCAACATCACAGGTTTCCCTGGTACGGTTTCCTGCTGTACTAACAATGGATAGTCCAATTGACCAAATGGCTATGAAGCTGATAATTGGTACAAAAAATAAAAATAAAATAAAATAAAAGACTACTCCTATGTTGACTGATACAATAGATTCAGTGCTGTACTGTATTCCTTTCTGGGATCATTGTATGTAACGACTTGTTGAAAAGCACAACAGTACATATTATATACAAAATATTGTCTTTACAGTACCAGAAACCAAACATGAAGAAGTGTTCACTACATGTACAACCAACATTAGTTTGAGCAAAAATAAGTTAAGTCAACGTTTACCCGGTAATGCCATCACCAACTGGTTTGAGGTTGAAATCAGCAAAGCAGACACAAGAGTTATAAGAAAAAAAATGTGTATAGCCTTTTAAGCATTTCAAAAGCAAGATAAATTAATTAAAAATCTGAATTAATGGGGTGTGCGAAATATTACACGAAAAGGGAACACACAATTAAAATAATTAGAAAAAATACATGCATATGCAGTGAAAGGTAAGAGGGCAAACAGATGACTTAAAGTAGAATGTGAGGATAAGGATATAACTACAACCTGTTAATGAGAGGTGACTGATTGTAGGTGCAAATATGGAAGAGTAGTGACCAAGCTGTTGAAGTTATGCATGAGCCATCCTGAGCAGAGTAACAAAGGATATGAAAGAGAAGTTAAGATCATGGCAATAAAAAAAGGCTTTTATCTAAGGGATGATATACAAATACTGTAAATTGTCAAATAAGAAAGTATTGTTTAGATACAAAGATAACAGGGTCACAGTATACAATGAAAGAAGAATACTAGGGAACTGGGCTATGCATAAAATAAGAACAGCATCTTGGTCGTGTGTCACTAGAGTGACTTTAGCATTAAAAAATCTGTACATACAACTACGGTTTCCTGCTGCGTAGGGTGACAACCTCATCACCTGAAATCAAAATTGTAAATGTTTGTCCAAGGAGGTTCAGTCAGAATGAATAGTTTATGAATCTGGCAAAGATCAATTCAAAGACTTTTATTGCCATCAATCACAGGTGTTTTAAAGTAATTATATATTTTTGAGATTTTATCGATGTGGGACTTATTATTGTAGCTTACTCTACCACCTTTCATCTATTTGATTAAAGCACTTGCATTATATTCAGTAAATTCAGTTATTTTCTACCCAAGTGTGAATTAATCAGTCTGATTACAGTGACTTGCAGATCTAAACACAGTTTTCCTTCTTACAGTAAATAAGAAAACTACTGTTGCTTAATGTCTAACCTAATTCCTCAAATGTTAAAAAAACTAAACAAAATTTACTTAGGACTTCCAAAATTACAATCTACTAAAACCAATAATTATGCTTCAGATCCTCGACTTAGACTCATGCAGAATATTCATACTGTATACAATTATGTAAATGAATAAACTTATGAGAGTACCCGAATAAAAATTTAAGAGTACCCCAAAAAAATAAACTTATGAGAGTATCCCCACCCACTGCAAAAGTCAGTCCCGGCAAATTATATATTGCCAGCATAATATGTAAAGTACTTGAGAGTATTATCAAAGATGCCGCGATGGAACATCTACTACGAAACAACCATGTAAAGGATTGCCAACACAGTTTTATGCCGGGGTGCTCCCGCTTAACACAATTGCTCAAGGTATTGTATATTTGGACCCATATTCTGGAACGGGGTGGTAATATCGACAATATATACCTACATTTTGCCAAGGCTTTCGACAGTGTACCCCACGAAAGGCTGAAAATCAAACTAGAAGGATACGGAATTCGGGGAAATGTCCTAGCGTGGATAGAAGACTTTCTACATGACCGCAAGCAGTGTGTGGTGATTAATGGCACAAAATCATTGTCTGTACCTGTCACAAGCGGGGTACCACAGGGCAGCGTATTGGGCCGGCTGCTGTTTGTTTCATAAATGACATGCCTGACGTTGTACACTCCTCCATACAAATGTTTGCCGATAACCCCATGTTATTTCAGAAAATCAAGAACCAAGCGGACTGTGAAGAGCAGCAGAAGGATCTCTGAGCTCCAGGAATGGTTGAAGAAATGGCTGCCGAAATTCAATGTCACGAAGTGTAAGAGGCTGCACCTGGGGCATACCAACGGTAAGGAGGCGTATCATATGTCCCAATGGGATGAAGAAACTGCACTATTTGAGATTGAATGTGAGAAGGATCTAGGTGTCTATGTTGACAATGAGCTGAAGTTATCGGGCCATTGCGAGAAGAAGGTAAATCAGGCAAATAAATTATTGGGTCTTATAAGAAGATCATTCAGATATCTAGACGGTCCGTCCCTCGTAACGATCTTCAAGAGTGAAGTGCTTCCCCATCTGAAGTACTGTCACCCCGTCTGGTCCCCGAGATATGCTAGGGACTATCAGTTGGTTGAAAATGTTCAAAGGAGGGCCACCAAACTGGTGCCTGCCCTTCGGCACCTCAGCTACCCTGAGAGATTGGAGTGCCTGAACTTGCCTATAGCTTATACTACAAACGGGAAAGGGGCGACCTAATTAAGGTGTATACTGTATAAGCATCTCAAGGGGCACTACTCAGTCGAGTGCCCTTACTTGGAGCTGGTGGACGCTCGCCCCACAAGGGGTCACAGCTCAAGATTAAAGAAGCCACAAGTCCAGAAAACTGTGAGGGCAAACTTTTTCAGAGTGAGAGTTGTGAACTCTTGGAACAACCTACCAGAAAGTGTTGTGACGGCACAGAGTGTGAGTTTTTTCAAGACCAGACTTGACCAACACTGGAGCAGGTTCAGGTACATGCAGGAGCCAGTGCATGCCCAGTACCTGCCAACAGTGCATAACAGAGAGCCAGTACATGCCAACAGTGCATAACAGAGAGCCAGTACATGCCAACAGTGCGTGACAGACGTGATCGATCGCCGAAGCAGCTAACGAGCCGATCAGTGGTGAAGAGGATAAAAGTAAAAGCAAAGTATTAATATAAAACTGACCCGCTCAAACATTATCCCATGTTACACCTAACCGGTGAGTTCATATTCATCATTCTTGCTTTTCACTACTGTATCATTATTTTTCACATACCTAATACATATAATTTACTGTACTGTACAGTAATTACAAATTTTTATATGTGGCATGTTCAGGAGTACATATAATGAGATTTTGAGCAAAATCGGGGAGATCAAGATTGTGGCTGAAATGGTAAGCCTTAGAACACACACTGGCAGGTTTTTCCAATAGTTCACAATTCTCACCCCACAAAAGTTTGCCCTCACAGTTTTCTGGACTTGTGGCTTCTTGAATCTTGAGCTGTGACCCCTTGTGGGGCGAGCATCCGCCAGCTCCAGGTATGGACAATCAACCGAGTAGTGCCCTCCGAGATGTTTATACTCCTCAGTTAGGTCACCCCTTGCCCATCTGTAGTATAAGCTGGGCAGTTGCAGGCGCTCTAATCTCTCTGGGTAGCTGAGGTGCCAAATTGAGATTGTGAACAAATACGGGGAAAACAAGAGTATTGACGAAATGGGTAAACCTTACACCCTTATAGGCTTTTAGGCCATAAACACTTTTCTCTCTGAATTGAAATTTAAGGTGTCTAACTATTTAAGTACATCCAGAATAACAGATAAACACCAAAAAGTGACTGAAAAACCATAGGCAGTAAGTAATTAGCATGGTGATTTAAAACTTATGGGCACAGCATAATTAACCTAAATATTCTAAATACTACTTGTATCTTTAATTATTTGAAAGATCATTAATCAGATTTAACTGTTACTTGGTTCACGACCAAACCAGGCCAAGGTTCAAATATTACAATGGAAATTACGACGGGATGAGGGATGAGATGAGGGGCATCCACTGGCCTGACTCGCGCAGACACTACGCTGAATATCATAGCCAGTAAAGTGAACCATTTGATCGAGAAATATATACCCAAGACCAAACCCAGTGCCTCCAGGAATGCAAGGAGACCACTACACATGAACCATGCGGCGGTCGACAAAGTTAAGAAGAAAACCTCCAAATTCAAGATGTGAGTTAGGAAAAATGATGAGCAGGATAGGAGAATGTATGCCAGATCCAAGAACCAAGCAAAGTCAGAGTGTAGAAGGACTGAAAAGGAGTTCCAGAGGCTGATTGCAAGTGAGGTCAAGTCAAACCCAAAGGCGTTTTACTGCTACGTAACATCGAAATTAAAAATGTGAGTAGAGGTATCAGCTCCGAGGCTTGAAGATGGTAGTTAAGCAGATTTTGACAAGACCAAGCGGAAGCATTGAACAGTTTCTTTTCCTCGGTTTTCACAAGGGTAGGATGAGCACAATCTTCCTGCCTTTGAGGACAGATGGTTCGACACAGCGCTAACCCAAATTGTGTTCTCGGAAGAGGTTATAAGAAATAAATTGTGAAAGATAAAGGTTCATGAGAGTCCTGGCCCTGGCAAGGTGCATCCCAGAGTGCTAAGGGAGTTGTGCAAAGAGCTTGCTGAGCCCCTGAAAATACAGTTCTGCAAATGTCTGGGTGAGCAAAAGGTCCCGTGATTGGAAAATGGCTTATGCGAGTCCTATTTACAAGAAGGGCGATCGACACTCCATGAATAATTATAGACCAGTGAGCCTGACCAGCATAGTATGTAAAGTACTTGAGAGCATTATAAGAGATGCCATGATGGAAAATCTACTACGAAACAACCTTGTAAATGATTGCCAACATGGTTTTATGCTGGGACACTCCTGCTTAGCACAATTACTCAAGGTACTGGATGTTTGGACCAGAATTGTGGAACAGGGTGGCAATATCGACAATATCTACCTAGATTTTGCCAAGGCTTTCGACAGCGTACCCCTGAAAGGTTAAAAATTAAACTGGAAGGATATGGGATTCAGGGAAGTGGCCTAGCATGGATCGGAGACTTTCTCTATGATTGTAAGCACTGTGTGGTGATTAATGGCACAAAATCGTCATGTGTACCCATGACAAGCGGGGTACCACAGGGCAGTGTATTGGGCCCGCTGTTGTTTGTTTGCTTTATTAATGACATGCCCAGCTATTTATGGAAATTAAGAACCAAGCAGACTGTGAAGAGCTGCAGAAAGATCTCTAAGCTTCAAGAATACTAAGATTCAATGTCACGGAGTGTAAGAGGATGCACTTGGGACGTTCCAACGGAAAGGAGGCGTATCATATGTCCCAATGGGACAAAGACACTGCATGAATTGAGACAATGTGAGAAGGACCTAGGTGTGTATGTTGACAATGAGCTGAAGTTCTAGGGCCATTGCGAGAAGAAGGTAAATCAGGCAAATAAATTATTGGGTCTTTTAAGAAGGTCGTTCAGATGTCTAGACGGTCCGTCCCTCGTAACGATCTTCAAGAGTGAAGTGCTTCCCCATCTTGAGTACTGTCACCCTGTCTGGTCCTCTTCACCACTGATCGGCTCGTTAGCCGCTTGGACAATCGGTCAGGTCTTTGTTACGCACTGTTGGCAAGTACTGAGGGAAGAGGAGGATCAATGGAAGGTTTCTCTTTGTACATCAGTTCATTTTCCCCTCCTAAGGAGTTCTTCGAAAAGACTTTCATTTCAAACAATGGGAGGACCTTACGTAAGTTATAGGCTTTATTCTCCCACCTGGGCCACTATCCGATAAATGGTAACCCTGAGGTGTGACACTGAACCCTAATATAAATGAACCACTAATCAATATATCACATTGACTTTTGATCTCAATATGTGAACATGTGACTGCATTGTAAAGACTGATTTACATTCATTTTATTGGATCCTTCAGGTAAACAACTGTACGACTATTTTTCATAAAGAAAATATAGTTGCATAAATTTTTCTTGACTTAATTGTAAACTACCTGGACACCATCTCCAAGCAATAATATTAAAGTTTACATAAAAAATGCAGAGTGTTTCTTTGGAGTTTCAATGG